TGCATCTGCAATATTTATTTTGTGGCTGCGCGGACTTTATGAGCTTTGCTATTTATATACCGTATTTTTTGCACCATAACACTCACTTTTTTCCTCCTAGAAAGTAAGGGGAAATGTCTGTGCATGTTATGGAAGGAATGCCTACGGGTGGCATGCCTATGGATTTTCCTCCTCTGAAAACTACGTGCGTGTTATGGTCGGGTGCGTGTTATAGAGCGAAAAATACGGTAAGTAGCGCACGGTGACAGACATGCCCAAGGTAATTTTGCAGCCTCTGCCAAAGTGAACACCCTAACTGCCGAATACGCTCTCAGTTGAAATACAATTTTTTAAAAAATGTATTAGGTGAGCCTCTTTTAGCAAAAAGCCAGGAAAGGATTAATAATGATCATGGCCACTGGTCCCATCACCTCCTGGCAAATAGAAGGGGAAGAAATGGAGGCAGTGAGAGATTTTACTTTCTTGGGCTCCATGATCACCGCAGATGGTGACAGCAGCCACGAAATTAAAAGACGCCTGCTTCTTGGGAGAGAAGCAATGACAAACGTAGACAGCTTCTTAAAAAGCAGAGACATCACCTTGCCGACAAAGGTCCGTATAGTTAAAGCTATAGTTTTCCCAGTAGTGATTTATGGAATTGAGAGCTGGACCATAAAGAAGGCTGATCGCCGAATAATTGATGCTTTTGAATTATGGTGCTGGAGGAGACTCTTGAGGGTCCCATGGACTGCAAGAAGATCAAACCTATCTGTTCTGAAGGAAATCAGCCCTGAGTGCTCACTGGGAGGACAGATCCTGAAGCTGAGGCTCCAATACTTTGGCCACCTCATGAGAAGAGAAGACTCCCTGGAAAAGAGAGGAAGGATTGAGGGCACAAGGAGAAGGGACGACAGAGGACGAGATGGTTGGACAGTGTTCTCGAAGCTACCAGCATTAGTTTGACCAAACTGCGGGAGGCAGTGGAGGACAGAAGTGCCTGGCGTGCTCTGGTCCATGGGGTCCCGAAGAGTCGGACACAACTAAACGACTAAACAACAATAAGGCCCTATTATGCTGATCTAGGACCACTTTGTGACTCTCCGGCCTTTGCCTACAAGTGTATATAAGCTCCATATCCTTCCCCCGCCGCGTTTTGAGTGCATCAAACTTGGGAGTTCTAATCCTTTCCTAATGCCTGGCTTTGAAAAGCCTCTTTCGGTCTGCTTGGGAAAGCAGTTTGAACGCTTATTTGTTTTGTACATTTTCTATTGCTGTTTGTATTTTGAAAAGCACTCCGAGGACATGTTGCGTGAAAGGCACTCTACCAAAATCTAGCTGAAAGTAGCCTGCTGTATAACTTTGTACACATTCAGAAGATTGATTCTCAAGAGCACTTGACAGACTTTACCGGTTTCTGCAGCGAATACACCCATATAGTATAAGCAGAACACGCCTCGCCCCCCTCCTCAAGCGAGGTGATGCTCGCTCCCCCTGCCTGTTCGAATTGAATTCTCAGGACGACTTAGCGTTGGAAGAAAACCCAGGAGGAAAGGATCTAATCCTGTCCTAAAATGAGGATTTTCAACACAGTTTCTTCTGGGGGGAAAGAAAAAGAATATTAGAGACATACAAACGGTATAAACTGAAAACAACATTTTTTTATTTTACTTTTTGCTAATGTGTGCAGTTTATTTTAGTTACCGTATTTTTTGCACCATAACACTCACTTTTTTCCTCCTAGAAAGTAAGGGGAAATGTCTGTGCGTGTTATGGAGGGAATGCCTACGGGTGGCATGCCTACGGATTTTCCTCCTCTAAAAACTACATGCGTGTTATGGTCGGGTGCGTGTTATAGAGCGAAAAATACGGTATATTCTGAGGTCTCACTGAGTTCCAAATCCTTAGTCACACTCTCAGCTGTTACAGTGGTACCTCGGGTTAAGTACTTAATTCGTTCCGGAGGTCTGTACTTAACCTGAAACTGTTCTTAACCTGAAGCACCACTTTAGCTAATGGGGCCTCCTGCTGCTGCCACGCCATCAGAGCACAATTTCTGTTCTCATCCTGAAGCAAAGTTCTTAACCTGAAGCAATATTTCTGGGTTAACGGAGTATGTAACCTGAAGCGTATGTAACCTGAAGCGTATGTAACCCGAGGTACCACTGTAGTATCCTTTGCATGATGGGAAACCCAGCAGCTTGGTCCTGTGATCCAGCTCAGGTGATTACATCACAATCTCTACATGTGCCCTTGCTGACTCTGCAAATTAAAAGAAATACCTCATTTGGGTGATTTTAGCTTAATAAGCCAACATATAAATTAGTATATTGCTCATTTGCACAGCTTCAACTTAACACTCCCCCCACCCCCAGCTACTGATTTCCCCCTGCAGTTGCTCCCAACCTGTTTTTGGTCCACAAATGAAAGTTAGTTTGTTGGAAGTTAGTCTGTTGGTATAAGGTAAAAAGGTAAAAGACCTCTAGATGGTAAAATCCAGTCAAAGGAGACTATGGGGTTGCGGCACTCATCTTGTTTCAGGCTGAGGGAACTGGCCTTTGTCCGCACACAGCTTTCCGGGTCATGTGGCCAGCATGACTAAACCACTTCTGGTGCAATGGGACACCATGATGGAAACCGGAGTGCACAGAAACACTGTTTACCTTCCCGCTGGAGTGGTACCTATTTATCTACTTGCACTGGTGTGCTTTCGAACTGCTAGGTTGGCAGGAGCTGGGACAGAACAATGGGAGCTCACCCTGTCGTGGGGATTCGAACAGCTGACCTTCCGATCGGCAAGCCCAAGAGGCTCGGTGGTTTAGACCACAGCACCGCACGCTCCCTGTTGGTATACATATGTCTCGAGAAACAATGTGCCTCCAGAGGTGAAGTCAAATTGCTGCAGTAGCTGCACCAGAGGGACCTCCCTGGGGCACAAGTCTGGGCAGTGTGTATGGAGGTCCTGGACTGCCCAGACAACCAGATTCTTTCTTTCTTTTCCAAAAATTTTTATTGATTTTCCAAAAATTTAAAACAGACAAACATACATACATACATCCTGTCTGAATCTTGGTAACATTATTAAGTGACTTCAGCCCCTTGGCTGAATTTCATTACATATCATTTTAACAGTTTTCCAAAATCGATTTTCTCAAAAAATTAACTTGATCACTTAACATCTTTCATTCTTTCTAATTTAGCTTTAAACATCTTAAATCCTATCCTTACATATCTAAATCCTAAGCCTATTACTTGCAAGCCTTTCCAATTAAGTTATCTTAACATAGTTAGCTAAATAATCTTTAAATTTCACCCATTCTTCCTGGTACTCCTCCTCCTTCTGGTCGCAGACTCTTCCAGTCAGGTTAGCCAGCTCTGAAAAATCCATCATCTTCATCTGCCATTCCTCCACTGTTGGGACTTCTTGTGTTTTCCAATTCTTAGCTAACAAAATTCTTGCTGCAGTTGTGGCATACAAAAATAATTTAACATCTTTCTTGGGCAATTCCAAACCTGTTATTCCAAGAAGGAAGGCCTCTGGTTTCTTAGTAAATGTATATTTTAACATTTTTTTCAGTTCATTATAAATCTCCCCAGAAGTCTTTCACCTTGGGGCAGGTCCACCACATATGAAAAAGGTACCTTCTTTTTCTTTACATTTCCAGCATAGATTATCACTATTGTGATAAATCTTTGCTAATTTTACAGGGGTTAAGTAACATCCCAGACAACCAGATTCTTGGCTTCACTGATGTGGTTCAAAGGAAAGCAGAGCAATATGTTTGGCACCAGCTTGCCTGCAGGAGTTGCCGGAAGGAGGCGTACAGGCTGCTCTCCACTCTGGATTGGTGTAGAGTTTACTTCTTAGGATTTTCTTCTCCTGAAGATACCCCTCAAGGAAGCCGAGGTTTAGGATCAGAGCTTTCCATCTAGATGAGTTCCCTTCCCAGGTTGACAAGCCCATCTGGCCCTCATTTCCCTCTATAGCTCATGCAGAAGGCTCCTTCTTGACCATAAGACCCACTCTTGGTCACATCTGCCAGAGCCTTGTCTTCACATGCAGGGGAAGACCCTAACTCACCGATGGGTTGAGACCCATCAGCTACCCTCACCTGGTTTAGCCAGCCAGTTGAAGCTGCCCCGGGGGTGTGGCCACTCTCACATGTGTACAGCTTCTAGGAGCCACAGGTGAGAGCTGAGTGCAGGATGGGCAAACTATCCCAGAAGGACCATGAGGTGTGTCCCCACCACCACCAGAGGCACTACCAGTGACAAATGCTGATCGTGGAGTATTACAAAGGCTCCAGCGATCAAGGTGGAATGGAGGAGCATTTAATATCAGGACAACGAACAGGAATATCAAGAGATTTCAGTTCAGATGCATCACAAACAAACCTGAAGCAAAGCATTTTGCACAACTTAAAAAAATGCACTAGGAAGTGGACTAGAAGTACAGTGGTACCATACGCTTCAGGTTACATACGCTTCAGGTTACAGACTCCGCTAACCCAGAAATAGTGCTTCAGGTTAAGAACTTTGCTTCAGGATGAGAACAGAAATCGGGCTCCGGTGGCGCGGCAGCAGCAGGAGGCCCCATTAGCTAAAGTGGTGCTTCTGGTCAAGAACAGTTTCAGGTTAAGAACGGAGCTCCGGAACGAATTAAGTACTTAACCTGAGGTACCACTGTAGTGACAGATCTTCAGATGCAGAATGAACACCTTCTCCAAATGAGTATCAGCTACAGATCATGCAGTATACTGCTCCATTTTCTTCTTAATAGGGAAAAACACTGCAATTTTAAAATTGAGGGGGGAGCCAGGGAGACAATGAAAGAAGTTCTGTGAAGGATAATGTTACTCTCACGGTTGGGGGACATTTGCAGGGAAACCCACCCTCGAAATCCGAGTCTGATCCTTTCGAAATCTGCTCTCTGGCTTTCTTTCTCTCCCTTCCCTGACCTTCCCTCTTGCTGCTTTCAACAACTTAATTTCCTTTTGCTGCCATAGCAACGCAGAAACAACCTCAGAGCGCAATTGGGATCATGGTGGCGTTTCACAAATCCTCGGACCAACCAGAACGGAAGAAACGGCCACAGGACAGGCAGTCGAAAAATTCACACCCAGAAAAGTGAAAACGACAAGAGGACTCAGCTTGAAGTGGGCTTTTCTGTGGATGCTATCCGTACCTGGATGCAGATCAAGTTTACGGAATAATGCATGCCATTAAAATGAGCCAAGCCTAAACAGCTTTGCCCAGCGTTCTGCTTAGATGAGGCTCTCCTAAAATGGATAGGAGCAAAGGAAAAAGCTACTGAAGTCGTACACATACGCACTCGTTCTAAAATGTCGCACCTGTCTATATTAAGTCGTGGCACTGGGCAGGTGGTCCGAAAGAAGGAGGAGAAGCTGGAGGTGTATTTTAATCCAGAGGTGAGTCCTTGTCCCCAGGTTGCAATGTAGACACTTAGCTGCTAATGCTGAAATCGCGGCGCAGTTATTTTCTATCTGTCCTCCTTAACCAGTGTTAAAAGAGATGTTTTGCCTATGAATCCTCCCCCACATGTACACAATTTGTTGCAGCTAAGATAAAAAGGTAAAGGGGCCCCTGACCATTAGGTCCAGTCTTGACCGATTCTAGGGTTGCCGGTGCTCATCTCGCTTTATTGGCCGAGGGAGCCGGCGTACAGCTAAGCCGCTTCTGGCGAACCAGAGCAGCGCACGGAAACGCTGTTTACCTTCCCGCCGGAGCGGTACCTATTTATCTACTTGCACTTTGACGTGCTTTCGGACTGCTAGGTTGGCAGGAGCAGGGACCGAGCAATGGGAGCTCACCCCGTCGCAGGGATTTGAACCACCAACCTTCTGATCGGCAAGTCCTAGGCTCTGTGGTTTAACCCACAGCGCCACCCGCGTCCATATATATATATATGCAGATGCAAATGTAAAGATAATTGTTGTTGTTGTTTAGTCATTTAGTCGTGTCCGACCCTTCGTGACCCCCTGGACCAGAGCACGCCAGGCACTCCTGTCTTCCACTGCCTCCCGCAGTTTGGTCAAACTCATGCTGGTAGCTTCGAGAACGCTATCCAACCATCTCATCCTCTGTCGTCCCCTTCTCCTTGCGCCCTCCATCTTTCCCAACAAGAGGGTATTTTCCAGGGAGTCTTCTCTTCTCATGAGGTGGCCAAAGTATTGGAGCCTCAGCTTCAGGATCTGTCCTTCCAGTGAGGGTAAAGATAATTACTCGACTTCAAATAGAAATACAATACATCTCGCCGCTGTGGCCGCTTAGCTTGCTGTCTGGGTGCTAACTGTTGGTGGGCTACTTCAAGGCCCCTTTTTATCTTTTAATTGGACTTGGACCAGGCAGCTCTTCAGAGAGAGACTGCCCTCTTTGTTAAGGTCGCAAGCCTACTTTAGTGGCAACTCATCACATGGTTCCGCCCCAAGACTTTCTCTACAGTCCATGTCGGTTGACGCTGGAGGATTACAGTAGTCCCCTGTCGAGGCTGAAATACAGTATAACCCGTGTTTCTGAGGCCTTGATCTCATGACCGCTTCATCATGCGGAAGCCACAGGGAAGGCCTCGCCTGCGCTGACTTCCAGCTGCTCCCAGAGGATGCTGAGCCCATCACGTGAATCCACTTCCAATGATAAATTCAGTGTGTGTGTGTGTGTGTGTGTGTGTGTGTGTGTGTGACAGAGCAGCTTAATTGCTAGAAGTCAGAACCTTCCCAATTCCTTCATGTAGTTAATTGCTTGTAAGGCTAGCTGCCAGTCACATGTGGCATTCATGCGAGTACCTGAATAGATTTATGGTATGAATGTTTTCTTTTCAAATACTCCTCAAATACATTGCACCTTATTCAGATAGTTTGCATGGTGAACCATCTCAGTCTAAAAATATTCAGAAACACAACAGAGATCAATTCCCTTTAATCATGCACAGTTTTTTTATTATCATTATCAGGCAGCAGCTGCCGACATTGTGACACAGGGTCCTGTAATAAGATTATTGGAGAAACCCTTTTTCTAGGGGGGAAGCTGTAAGAATACAAAGACCAGGGAAACCATTTTGTGTTGTGGAATCGTTTCGCAGAGCTGATGTGGAATACCTTTTCTTTTTGCACTCAAGTCTCTGTGTGCAAAATTCGATGGATACGGTTGTGACAAATGTTGCAGGTCCTTTTTTCTGAAGTATGTTCTGGAGGCTTCTGTGATTTGTGTGCTGTGTTCATGCTTCACATGAGATCAGTCATGCTGCCCTGTAAAGCCCCCATAACATAATAAGGAGGGTTGGGAAAGGTACCGGTATTTTATGGTGTTTCGTAACGGGGGGGAAAGGTTGCTGCTGTTCCCTCCTCATCTCACATACAGTGGTACCTCAGGTTAAGTACTTAATTCGTTCTGGAGGTCCGTTCTTAACCTGGAACTGTTCTTAACCTGAAGCACCACTTTAGCTAATGGGGCCTCCTGCTGCTGCTGCTGCGCTGCCAGAGCACGATTTCTGTTCTCATCCTGAAGCAAAGTTCTTAACCTGAAGCACTATTTCTGGGTTAGCGGAGTCTGTAACCTGAAGCGTATGTAACCTGAAGTGTATGTAACCCGAGGTACCACTGTACAGTCGTACCTTGGATCCTGGACACCCTGGACACTCGGACATTTTGGCTCCCGAATGCCTCAAACCCGGAAACGATTGTTCCAGTTTGCGAACGTTATTTCGGAACCCAAACATCCAACAGGGCTTCTGCGGCTTCTGATTGGCTGCAATCAGAAGCTGTGATTTGGTTTTCGAACATTTTAGAAGTTAAATGGACTTCCGGAATGGACTCCGTTTGACTTCCAAGGTATGACTGTATTTAGAAGCAAGATGACATGCTCTGAGCTGTAGAAAGTTTAAAAGAAGTCCAGCTCAAGGAGCACATTATACACTCTCTCCACACGGTCACCCACATAATTCCACAACAGCTACTGTATTAATGAAACAGAATTGGTTTAGTTTGAGAAGAACCAGAAAATACATAACACAAAGGGGCCTCAGTGGCTGTTGTAAGAGGGTAAGCACATCAGACAGAAGGACATTATTTCTCAAGCTACAGGATACCAGTGGATTGTGGCTAATGCCATGTGTAAAGGGACCCCTGACTGTTAGGTCCAGTCACGAACGACTCTGGGGTTGCGGCACTCACCTCGTTTTATTGGCCGAGGGAGCCGGCGTACAGCTTCCGGGTCATGTGGCCAGCATGACTAACCCGCTTCTGGCAAACCAGAGCAGTGCACGGAAACACCATTTACCTTCCCGCTAGAGTGGTACCTATTTATCTACTTACACCTTGACGTGCTTTCGAACTGCTAGGTTGGCAGGAGCTGGGACCGAGCAACGGGAGCTCACCCCATCATGGGGATTCGAACCGCCGACCTTCTGATCGGCAAGCCCTAGGCTCTGTGGTTTAGACCACAGCACCACCAGCGTCCTTAATGCCCTGTTTACTAGGCTTCAAAAAGTAGCAGGGGGCACTGTAGTGGATGAGAAGTGAGCGGTGAGAGGTGAGCATGCCAGCTGCATGTGCAGAAGTAGGAAACCTCGTTGAGTTTCCCTTCTTAATGCCCATGTTTATATTTTAACGTTTTGATGGGATTATTCTATTGTGTACGGGCAACCACAATTTTAGGCGCAATCAATATGTGCATAATTGTGCACATGTATGCAGCGCTGAACCCGGAAATGTCATAAAAGACGTTGCTAAAAGGGCAGGTGTCGGGCAGAAGGGGGTGTTTCAATTGCGTGTGATAGTGCGCAATGACCCGGAACGCAACCTCCACACAGATCAGGGGTTGCCTTTATTTTAATTATGGGTGCTTACGTTTAAATGTTTGTCTTTCTCTGCTTCTGAGATCTTTGCGTGTCGAGGTCCCCCGGCCACCCCAATAACTCACACATCACACATCAATTTTTGTTTAAGGTTTTTGGCATGATTTTGGCCACAACCTTATTTGAATACACACATGTGAGTGGTTGCTTAGGCATTGGTTACGACTATCTGTCCTTGCCCAGGGGACAGAACTGACTTCTGGATTCCAGAGGAAGCCAGTCAGGGAAACAAATATTGGGGAGAAATGAAGCTGGGCATCAGTCCCTCACTTCTCACCCTCATGCTGCTGGGGGCTTGCACAGCGCAAGTCCGATGCCAGGGACAAGGACGAAAAGGATGGCAAGCCCCTGGATTCCTTTAACAGAATTCCCTCTCAGCACCACCATTGGAGGGGTAGGCATTTACCCCTCCACCAACCAATGTGAACCAATGCCTAACCGCCAACCTTACAAGTTGTGACGATTTGCTACGCAGTAGGCAAAAACCAAATGGCACCAGCCAATCAGCCAAATGGACAAAATTCCTACCTGGCCCCTGCCTCAAAGCAGACGACCCCATGACAGGCATAGCAAGGTCAAAGCAAACGAATCCCCCCAATTCAGGGAGGGTGGGCGGGTGATCCGCTGCAAGCAGCCAAGAGGACGCCCAAGGTTGGGCGTCCAGTATTTAAACCTCTGACCCCTCCTCCAAATTGGCAACAAGGAAATCAACCCAGAGACCCGATTTTCCCAATCCCTGCCTGGGTCTCAAACTTCCACCCAGCAACAGTGGGGTGGCCTGTAGGCCCCCACCGCAACACGTGCTCTCTGTTAGGGAGAACACACTTTATGCTTTGTAAAAGCGCTTAGAGGCCTGTTTTGCCATTAAGCGATATATAAATTAATAATGCATTTATTTATTTTTTACATGTTAGGATTATTTGAACTGGCAGTCCCTTGAAACCGATTTCCACGACTATCATGACCTGGAGGGAGACTGCGGACTGTGTCTTCCTAAAACCTACAGCACGAGAACAGGCGCGTTACTTCTCTATTCAGAAGATCTAGCCAAACCATCAAGGAAGCTGAAAGGAATAAGGAAGACGCAGCGAAGACTTAGAAGCAAAAGCCAGAGAATACACATAGAGCTTCACACCCTCCAAGATCTGGTGCGAGCCATCTTGGCATATGGACGCAAAAAGGTAAGAGAGCACAGCCCAATTGTATTCAGGAATTAGTAGGTTATTTCTAATTATACATTTAAAAAAAGAGGGGGGGAATGCACATCTAATAGATCACATATGTGGGCATTTCAATATCGTCTATGCCCATATATATATATATATATATGTATATATATATATATATGTTGTTGTTATTATAGTTTAGTCGTGTCCGACTCTTCGTGACCCCATGGACCAGAGCACGCCAGGCCCTCCTGTCTTCCACTGCCTCCCGCAGTTTGGTCAAGCTCATGCTGGTAGCTTCGAGAACACTGTCCAACCATCTCGTCCTCTGTCGTCCCCTTCTCCTTGTGCCCTCCATCATTCCCAACATCAGGGTCATTTCCAGCGAGTCTTCTCTTCTCATGAGGTGGTCAAAGTATTGGAGCCTCAGCTTCAGGATCTGTCCTTCCAGTGAGCACTCAGGGCTGATTTCCTTCAGAATGGATAGGTTTGATCTTCTTGCAGTCCATGGGACTCTCAAGAGTCTCCTCCAGCACCAGAATTCAAAAGCATCAATTCTTCGGTGATCAGCCTTCTTTATGGTCCAGCTCTCACTCCCATACATCACTTCTGGGAAAACCATTGCTTGAACTATACGGACCTTTGTTGGCAAGGTGATGTCTCTGCTTTTTAAGATGCTGTCTAGGTTTGTCATTGTTTTTCTCCCAAGAAGCAGGCATCTTTTAATTTCGTGGCTGCTGTCACCATCTGCAGTGATCATGGAACCCAAGAAAGTAAAATCTCTCACTGCCTCCATTTCTTCCCCTTCTATTTGCCAGGAGGTGGTATCCTAGCCATTTTACTGCCATTCTTTTGCCCAAACCATCCTGGGAATTGTAATTTGGTAAGGTGCTTTGAGATGTCCTCAGTTCCCATGCAAAGTGCAACAATTCTGAGAAGAGAGCATTAAACCAACTCAAGCCTGTAACGTGGATTTACTCACACAAATAAATTTCCTTCAACACGACTTCTAAATGAGAATTCAAACCATTGAGGAATATTACTCTGTGCACTTAAGGAAGCTGATATTAGAAGTATCTGGCCTATGGATAGATTAAACTAGCCATAATCAGTGCTTTTTTTCTTTAAAAAAATGTTTAGGGGTACTCTCATTTTCCTACTCATATTGAAATACTGCCCCTCAATGAGGCCAAACATAGATTCACAAAATGTTTAGGGGTATTGTTGTAAACAAAAATTGCCCTTTTCCCTTATGGGGTATCCAAGAGCCCATATAGAGGTCCTTACATAGGTTCCCTATTGGTAGGAGAGAATAACAGAGGCCAACCAGAGAATATTGAGAAGCAAAGCAGCTAGTAAGCTTGATCTTTATTGATCTGTTGCAACAGGGTGCTCCCCTCACACGCAGGAAAGGAGGAGGACCCAGAAAAATGGCATGAAAGGCCTTATAAAGACTTTTGAAATTTCCATCCTGCAGATCAGGACCACCCCCAGAAACATCATACATACATCACAGAAGGGGTGTAACCTAAGACCACCCCTCAGATACATCACACCTACATCATAGAAAAGGCGGTCTTAAAACAGAAATTTGAATGTTGTTTTTCTCCTCTCATTGTTTATCTCCTGTCTGGCAGGTTCCTTGATTGTATTTCCTGGGTAGCCTGGCCAGTCTTTTGTAATGATAAATACTTAGTTCCTGGGCCAGGTCACAGGTGCACACCCTATTCAAACAGAGACATACCCTTAAGACAGGATTTGTGAAGGAAAAGGCAATGGGGAGGCTTTTCCACTTGGACCTTGCAGAGAAAACATTTGCTCAGTTTAGGAATCAAAATGGTTCCAGGTTGGCCTTCCTGTGCTGATCTATGTACGTGCGGTTATGAACATTGCCATATATCTAAGTCCATAAAATTCCTATCACAGTATGGATACCCCCAGGAAAAAAGCACTGGCCATTATGGTGTACATCCAACAGAATTCCCTCTTTCACAAAGCTGGGAAGGGAATCCTTTACTAAATACTGTCTGACCCAATAAGGACTCCATGCCTGAAGAACGAAGACAAAAGACACCCCTGGAATCACTGCCTGTGGTACGAGCCGTATCAGTGTAGCCAAGCACGACATCCATCAAAGATTAAAGGAGAGAAAGGGTACTGCTGTGACCAAACACATGGAATCGTGTGCCGACTGCCACGAACAATTAGAATCCAGCAGGGATGTTCGCAGGCTTTTGCAAATCACGCTGCTGTCGGAGATGGCAGGGAAGGAAGGTGGAGTTAACCCAGTGCCATATTTACGTATAAGCTAAACAAGCTATTGCTTAGGGCCCCCTCTCTTGGGGGCCCCAGGAAAATTTAAAGGAAAAAACAACTGGATGTACATTTCCAAAATACAAGATAAAAAGCAAATAAAATAAAACCTACATACAGCAACAGTGTTTTGTGTTGTGTAGGCTCCTATTTGTTACGTGCAAATGGACCTATTAGGTCCATAAATTACCATATAGCATATATTGAACCCAAAAAACAGCGACAATTAGTTGTTGACAAAGGACAGCTGGACATATAAAGGGCCCCATTACCTTCAGTAGCTCAAAGTAAAGGTAAAGGGACGCCTGACCATTAGGTCCAGTCGTGACCAACTCTGGGGTTGCGGCGCTCCTCGCTTTATTGGCCGAGGGAGCCAGCTTCCGGGTCACGTGGCCAGCATGACTAAGCCGCTTCTGGCGAACCAGAGCAGCACACGGAAACGCCGTTTACCTTCCCGCCGGAGCGGTACCTATTTATCTACTTGCACTTTGATGTGCTTTCGAACTGCTAGGTTGGCAGGAGCAGGGACCGAGCAACGGGAACTCACCCCGTCGCGGAGATTCGAACCGCTGACCTTCTGATCGGCAAGTCCTAGGCTCTGTGGTTTAAGCCACAGCGCCACCCGCGTCCCTTCAGTAGCTTAGGGCCTCATCAAACCTAAATCCAACCTTGAGTTAACCCATTGCTCCATCTGATCAGGCATATCGACGTTTTTTTAATTGGGAGAGCAGCAGAGTCCTAAAAGGTCTTTTTGGAAAGTCCACCCTTCCTTCAAACCACAATTCATCCTGCCCCCATTTAACTGTTTCTGGTATAACCTCCACTGCCTTGTGGGATATCTTTGGGAGAAGGAAAAGCTAAGGCGTAAACCCTACACAAATCCAGTGTGGAATTTCTTGGGTGGTGCCTTGTACGCCTCCTACTGGCAACTCCTGCAGCCAAGCTGGTGCCAAACGTATTGCTCTGCTTTCCTTTGGACCACATCGGCAAGGCCAGGAGCGGGGTCTTGCCATCTGGGCAGCCCAGGACCTCCATAAACGCTGCCCAGACCTGTGCCCCAGGGAGCACAAGTGGGGAGAACATTGTTGTGCTCAAGTCCTCCTCTTTGTGGAGTTCCCATAGACATCTGGTTGGCCATTGTGAAAACAAAATGCTGGACTGGGTGGGTCTTTGGTCTGTTTCCTCATGTTCTTTTGTTCTACTTTTAATCGCCATTGCTGGGGTAATCAGTTGTTGTTGCTGTTTAATCGTTGAGTCGTGTCCGACTCTTCATGACCCCATGGACCAGAGCACGCCAGGCACTCCTGTCTTCCACTGCCTCCCGCAGTTTGGTCAAACTCATGCTGGTAGCCAGGGAGTCTTCTCTTCTCATGAGGTGGCCAAAGTATTGGAGCCTTAGGTTCAGTATCTGTCCTTCCAGTGAGCACTCAGGGCTGATTTCCTTCAGAATGGAGAGGTTTGATCTTCTTGCAGTCCATGGGACTCTCAAAAGTCTCCTCCAGCACCATAATTCAAAAGCATCAATTCTTCGGTGATCAGCCTTCTTTATGGTCCAGTTCTCACTTCCATACAATATACAGGCATATCTCGGAAGCTGAACAGAATCCGTTCCGGAAGTCTGTTTGACTTCCAAAGCGCGGCTTCTGATTGGCTTTCCCCGTCGGACGTTCAGCTTCCGAAAGAATGTTCGAAAACTGGAACACTCACTTCCGGTTTTCGATCGTCCAGGGGCCGAAACGTTCGACTCCCAAGGTGTTCCAGATCCAAGGTACGACTGTATAGTGAAACTAGAAATATCTACCCAAATCCCCTCGAGCAGAAGTGTTTAAATTGGAACCTGGGAACAGGGTGAATATATGGAGTAACTAGCTGCAGTACCAAAGAAAACGGACAAGTCTCAGCATGCCTGCAATTACTCAAAGCACTTCAATAGTTTTCATAACAAGGCACCAGCACATGCTAATATAATGCAACACAATGGCATTTGACTCAGTTAGAAACCAAGACCAATTTAAGCTTTATCAATTCCCCTAAATTTCAAGTTTGCTTTGGCTGAAAAGTGGGAGGACAGCTACAAAACGGTAAAGAGGACAAACAAAAGTTCTTTGCCATTAATGAGGCATATGAATTGCTGTTTTCATATAACACCGTTCACCTTTCCAGCTGCGTTTTAAAGCTATTTATTTCTCTTCCTCTCCCGTTTGTATTCCACCATATCCTTACCTTCAGAAGGCTGACATATTTCAGAAGACTGAAGTGTTTTTAATCAAACGGAGCAGAAATACAAAAATAGAGCAAGTTTAAAACCAGCGGCTGTTCTCTCAAACAACATGCGCTGCTTTGAGCTCCTTGAGACACAAAATGTGGCAAATAAATCAATAAAATAAATGTTTGCTCCAGCCGTTGCTTTTTAATGCAATTATTTCCAAACTTTTAAGATATTTATCATGTTGCAAGTAGATGTTTATGCACCAAGAGAAGGCAGCCATTTCTTCTTCTTTAGGAATTTTCCTTGTTCATTCTCATTTTAAAATTTATTTCGTACATAAATATACCACTTGATGACTAACACACAATATGCAGCGCTCACCCCCATTAATGTGAACACTTCACACCCAGTTTCTGCCTCATAATTACTCCTGGTTCCCCTATTATACAACATAAATCATGCCATGTGACCCCCGAGCCAAGGATATAAGTAACTGTACAACCTTTAGAAGACATCTGAGGGCAGCCCTGTATAGTTTTGTTATGTTTTGTATGTGTTGGAAGCTGCCCAGAGTGGCTGGGATGACCCAGTATAAATAGAAATTATTATTATTAGTAGTAGTAGTAGTAGTAGTATTGAATAGTATGTCCCTATTGTTAAGTTGTGGGCGAACATATCAGACGACACAGCGATTCTTCCAAAGCAGCTCTTTATTTGTAAGCTGGAACAGAACTGAGCTGAGGAGCTCAGTCAGCCTGCTTATATAGAGCTCCAGAACAATCGCAACTGTTGCAACTTTCTAAAACTATCCAATCACTGAACGCCACTTTCGATCCTTCATTTGCATAACTATCTACAGTATCCCCCTGCTGGCCCAGGGTGAAAACTTCAGTACATAACACCTATTTTAATCAACTATCCCTCATCCCATTCTTTTCTTACACCTCTCACACATCTGTCAACACACACAAATGCCCCTTCTGTTCCTCCTTCCGCTTTGCTGAAGGGGCGCTGCACAGCTCTCCCTTTCTTAGCCCCTTAGCCTCTTCCGGGCAGGGGGAGCCTTCATCCCGCTGCCCTGAAAAGGCTTCGCACGGCTATCCCAGAAGCCAGAACAGCCAGAGGCTATCCTAGAAGCCAGATCCCTCTTGCTGTTCTGGCTTCTGGGATTCAGAATATTTTTTTTTTCTTGTTTTCCTCCTCCAAAAACTAGGTGCGCCTTGTGGTCTGGTGCGTCTTATAGAGCGAAAAATACGGTAATCGATGGGAGAGAACAACACACTAGTGTGGGTGGGAAACATTGATGTGCAGTTCAGTCGAAAGCGCTCCTGTGCACAAGGAAAAATAGGGTCTGTGTGACCCACATGCACTTTTACAGCCTTACTGTTTTCAATCTTAGTTTGAAACTCAGCCTGGAATGGCAATATTTAAAAAAAAAAAAATGAAGCAAAATGATTCACGCAATTCTTTGATCCAGCATCTGGTTTAAGTTAAAATTCAGTTTTATTTAATATAAACTTGTTTACTGCCCAAAATTGTAAATGTTAGTCATCAAGTTCCAAACAGAAAATAAGAAGTCTTAGAAGTCCATTGTAAAAATTTGTTGTCTCATCGTTACTCATGAGTGAGTCCGAGCGAAGATAGATGTAACATTTTATTTTATTTTATTCCAAAAATATTTTATTGCTTTTCCAAATTTTTAATGAAACAAATAACAATACAAATATAAAACATACATAATATAAAACATACATAATAAGAAAAACAGAAAACAAAAACACAATACTAAAAAGAAAAAACATAAAAACAGTTATTACTTTCAGTGCCTAATTTAACTTTCATTGTTAAATTACTTCCTCGAATCCCCCCATCTGAATTTCATTGTATCTCCTTGTAGCAGTTCTCCAAAATCTTAATTCTAATAAAATTAAATCCATTTAATTACTATCTTCTTCTTTTATTAATTCTAATCCCTATTGTTTAAAACCCGTTGTTATTGTAATCCTCCGCCTGTTTGTTACTTCAAAGTAACTTCCATTATCTTATATTACAATATTTAGCCAAATATTCTTTAAATTTCTTCCAATCTTCTTGAGTCTCCTCCTCCTTCTGATTGTGGATTCTTCCAGTGAGGTCGGCCAGCTCCAAAAAGTCCAACATCTTCATCTGCCATTCTTCTATTGCTGGTATTTTTTGGGATTTCCAGTTTTTCGCTATTAGCAGTCTTGCCACTGTAGTGGCATACAAAAACAATCTAACATCCCATAGATGTAACATTTTAAACGTATTCATAGAAGTCCTTCACCACAGCGGAATGGTTCTCAAACCTTACCTTCCCAGCTTCTGTCCCAGCTTCTGCCAACCTAGCAATTTGAAAGCATACCAGCACGAGTAGATAAATAGGTACCGCTCTGGCAGGAAGGTAAACGGCGTTTCCATGCACTTTGGCTTCCGTCACGGTGTTCCGTTGTGCCAGAAGCGGTTTAGTCCTGCTGGCCACATGACCCAGAAAGCTGTCTGTGGACAAACGCCGGCTCCCTTGGCCTGAAAAGCGAGATGAGCACCACACCCCATAGTCACCTTTGACTGCACTTAACCCTCCAGGGGTCCTTTTACCTTTTTTACCTTTACTTACTTTTAAGAAAAACGTAAAGTGGCATATAAATGTTCATATGTGTGTATGTTCAATTCATTCATTGTCTTATTTTTTTAAAAAATACAAGCACTTAATAACAGTTGGGCTTTGGGAGACAAGTGTGTTGGTGATTGGTGTGCCAGCCAATAGGCTCCCTGTAGAGGTGGCTTTTTCCCGTTCAGACTTAAGTATTTATTTATTTTATTTATTTCATTGAAATATATATATACACCGCCCTATACCTGGAGGTCTCAGTACACTGAAAACATTCAGAACTGGGGGTGGGGGGTGGACAGAAAATATATATACTACGTTTGTGCTGAATAATGTAAAATTGCTTTCTAATTCTTTATTGTCATCGTGTAAAATAATCTGGGGATTTTTCTTAATAATTTGGGGGTCTCGCTTATCTGTCTGCATTGCTTCCCTCTTCAGCTCTCATAGCTAGAGATGCCTTCAAAGATATTTGGGGGGGAAGTAATTTATTAACAGCAGTCAATTGCCAATGTTACCCAGCTGCAATTTTTAAGCTTTTTAACATCTTGTCATCTATATTATGGTTATGCAAGGATAAGAACAGAGTCACTTGGCAGCCGTACCTTCACTTCCTAACTGAACCAGACATCCGGACTGACAGACAGATGAGACCAGGCTATTCACCAAAGAGGTACCTCCTCAAACTCTCTCAGACCTGGGACCCGCACATTTTACGAAAGCTTCAGTGTGCAGGTCAGTATGATTTGAAAACAAGCCAAGAATCTAAGAGAGGTATTCTTATATGCAACCTCAGGGGTTTGTATACTTGTGGCCAAGGGATGGAAAGATCATGAGGCTCCCCAAATAACAGATTGGCAAATCGAATTGCAGGAATTGGTGGAGACGGCTCAATTGACTAGTAAACTCAGAGGAAACTCAAAGCAAAAATTTGTGGGAAAATGGGATGGTTATAGAAGATATGTTCAAAAATACAGTAATAGTTTTGACTCTGTGCTAGCATGTGAGTGATAAAGGAACTAAAAGGAGGTGGACAGCAATTAAGGATTTATTATGTTTTCAGAATGTATTGGAAAATTTATATAGAAAGGTTTATTGTTGTGTGTACATTCGATTGTAAGATAAAATATATGCAAAGGGACTTGACAGGAAGTCAAAGTTGAAGAAAAGATTTTGTAAGATAAAAGGGGACAAATATTTACTTTCATTATTATCATTTTACGTGTGGGTGTGGGTGTGTGGGTGTCTGCACATATGTGTGTTTTTGTATGGAATGTTTGGGAGGAAATAAGACGGTAAATAACAAATAACAAACTAAAGATTGATGTACGTAATTTTTATTTCTTAATTATATTTAGTGGTAGTATGGTTGTATTGTTTTTTGTAACATAAAATCATTCAATAAAAATTATTCAGAAAAAAGAAAAAAACCAAGCCAAGAATAATGCAGAGAACATTTGGGACCACATGGAAACAAAATCGTGAAAAATTACTTGAGAAATTGTTGGAAAGTTCTTATGCAGGAGCAAAGGAAGGGGAGGTGGCGGGGGCGGGTCGCCCCAGGTGTCACCACTGGGGAGGATGACAAAATGGCGGATGGCACTCACCGTGGGGCCTGCAGCGTGCCCAAGCCACACATCTCTCCTGGGAGTGACGTGGTGGCTTGGGCACCCGCCACCTCCATGCTGCCCCAAACGGTCCGCCTGCCACCTCCACCTCAGTTGTAGGGCGGCTGAGTGGGAGGAGGCGGGCAGAGTCCTCGAAGGCCCCGGGGAGCGGCTTGCCCCATCTGGCACCGCCCTGTGGGCAGCTGGCCCTGCCCCTGGGCACAGGGCACACACGCCGCCCCAGGTGCCTGATCGACTTGCTCCGCCGCTGTAAGGATGGAAACAGGGGGGAAAACAATTGTAGGAAACATGTTTTCCTACTAAATAATGATCTTCAAGAAGACAAATAAAAACAAGACGACAACAAGAATCCGCCGACAGCATACAAATCAATCTGGCTAATCTTTTTTTTTGTTTTTTTATTCAAAATTAAAACAAAACATATTATCCAAAAACATATCATTTTTATCCCCCCCCCCCATTTTTCCTCCCTCCCCCCCCCCACCCTCCCATACACACACCCCCCCTGGCTTCCCTCAGTTCCAGTCTTTGGTTTCTCTGAGAATACTGTTTTCTGCATGTTACAAAGTTGTATAGATCCTCAAACTATTTAGCTGATTATTATCAATAAAAGGTTTGTGAATGTTTCTTCAAAGCCAGCCAAGGAGTCCAGTTCGCTTTGTTGCGTCTTCAATTACTTTGTAAAGGGTTCCCATTCATCTTTAAAGTCACAGTTATCCTTGTCCCATAGCTTATATGTCAGTTTTGCCAGTTCTGCATAGTCCATCAATTTTTCTTGCCATGATTCTTTAGTTGGGGTTTCTTCAGTCTTCCATCCTTGTGCTATTAAAACTCTTGCGGCCGTTGTCGCATACATGAAGATGTTTTTCGGCTTTTTTGGCAGATCTTTCCCCACAATCCCTAACAAAAATGCTTCAGGTTTTTTAACAAATGTTAAATGGAACATTTTCTTCAATTCGTTGTATATCATTTCCCAAATTTTTAAAATTACATTACAATCCCACCACATATGATAAAATGTTCCCTCCTTTTCCTTACACTTCCAACATATATTTGAACTAGTTTTGTACATTTTCTCTAACTGCACTGGTGTTGTGTACCATCTGTACATCATCTTCATGTAATTCTCCTTCAATAGGGAACAATCTGTAAATTTTAAGTCAGTTTTCCATAATTTAACCCAATCTTGCATCATAATGTTGTGACCTACATCTTGTGCCCATTTAATCATAACTGATTTTACCTCTTCATCAGAGACAAAATGACTCTCACCCCTACTACTATCCTGGAACGTTGCTGGATGGCAATCGAAAATAAGGGACAAAGACGTTTTAACCTACGTATCACAGTTCAAGATCATCCTGCTCCAAGAAACCTGGATGCAAAATCCTTTCGAACTACACAATTACTTTGCTTTCCATTCCCCTGCCTCAATCGGCCCAAAAGGCGGAAGACCGGCGGGAGGTTTGAGCACCTTCGTATCGACAGATCTAGGAGCCTCCATATCCAATTGAAAATCGATAAAAATGGATTTTGGCCGTTAAAATATTCTCCACCCATTTTAAGATCATATGCATCAATGTTTATATTCACCCACTTATGAAACAAACTGATCTTAAAAACATCTGGAACGAACTGGAAGACTGCATTCTCCTTGTCTCAAATAAGTTTCCTCTGCCTCCTTAATTATTGGTGGGATTTTAATGCAAGGCTAGGCCACTCAGACGAACAGTTAATCAAGGAAAGTGGAATGGGTCCCCTAAATGCTAATGATGAATATTGGCCCCTATTCAGGCGTCACTCACTTGACCCAGTCACCAATTTTGCTGGTACATGTCTTTTTAATGGCACTTAGATTAAACCTTGTTATTTTAAACGGCCTCTCCTCGGGGGACTGCCCTGGCCAATTTACTTACTGGTCAGGCCTAAGGCATTCTGTTATTGACTACATCCTTGTCTCCCAAGAACTTTTCGATGAATATATTGAATTTACTGTAGATATAAGAACCGAAAGTGACCATTTACCCCTAAATCTTAAAAGGACTGAATTTTGGGAACCCTCTAGATGTGGGCTTGTCCCGCAGACTCCTGATCCTAGCGCTTTACAACAAATAGGTAGATCCAGAATTAAATGGTCCCCTTATGTTAATAACCATTTTGGTATTTGGACACAATCAATGGAAGGTCAACTCCTCTGGGCTGATCTGACTTCCAACGACACTGAAGAGACCTCCCCAATTGACCACTATAACACATTAATCCGAAAACTCCAACCGTTATTGTCAAGACCCAGAAGATCTAACCAAAATGACTCCCCTACCAACAAAAAATGGTTTGACCACGAATGCACTCAGGCAAAACTTATACTCAGGGAATGCTTTAAGGTCTTCCAGCAAAATCCTAACCCTATCACTAAATTGGAGTTACAACTTAAAAAAAGAACTACAAAGAGTTATTAAAAACCAAAAAAGAACCGCAGACTCTCTCATCTGGCAGGCCCTCATAAAAGCGTCAATAGAAAAAGACAATTCTAACTTCTGGAAAATTATCTCCAGTCAAACCAAAGCTCCTAATGAGGGCACAATAATCCCTGCAAATTCATGGGAAGAGCACTATAAAGTGCTGTTTAGGGAACATCGTCCTTCTGCGCCGCTTAACATCCCCTTAGATAATGATACACCATGGCCCCCAACATCTGAAACTGAAATCGCTTCGCTAATTCTACAAATGAAATCTGGCAAAGCCCCAGGAAGTGATTTCATTGTCGCTGAACTTTTGAAAGCGCAAATAAACTGGTGGGCCCCGGTCCTTGCAAATCTATTTTCATATATAGACAAGACAACTGAAATCCCTAAAGATTGGGGACTAGCTATAATTGTTCCCATATTTAAAAAGGGCAACCCCTCTGATCCATCTAATTATAGACCAATTAGTCTCCTGAATGTGATCTGTAAACTTTATACAAAACATCTATGCCTAAAATTATGGGAATGGTTAGATCATAACAACTTGCTAGAAATTGAACAAGCAGGGTTTACATCTGGACGTTCCACCATTGATCACTGCTTAGTGTTAGATTACTTTGTCTATAAGTATGCGAAATATTGGAAAAAGTCATTATATGCGGCCTTTGTGGACCTAAAGGCAGCATTTGATTCTGTATCTAGGAGCAGGCTCTGGGCCAAATTGGCCAATATGGGTATTAACAGAAGGTTATTACTTCTGATGATTAAGCTTCATGAGAACAATACCCTCCAGATAAGACTTGCACAGGACGGCAGACTCTCTAGAGAAATCCCAGTCCAAAGAGGAGTTAGACAAGGATGCCTATTAGCCCCATTCCTATTTAACATCTATGTTAACTCCCTGGTCACATGCTGCCGTGAAATTGAAACCCACCCCCCTGTGTTCTCTAATGGCAGAAAAGTACCAATTTTAATGTATGCGGATGACGCTGTTCTTCTCTCTCAAACCAAAGTGGGTCTGAAACGTGCCTTAGGAAAGTTTAGTGACCAATGTAACACTGAACTGCTAACAATTAACTTTGCCAAAACCAAAATTGTACATTTTAACCGCTCCTTCAGGAAGGATAATTGGAGCGTAAAGGGAAACGCCATTGAACAGACTAAGACCTTCCAATATTTAGGCATCACTTTCTCTTATAATGCCAAATTCTCAGCACACTTGACCACATCAGCTATATCAGCAGAAAGAAGTGCAAATGCTATCCTTAGATTATTCAGAAGGAAAGGAGCTGGCTTCCTCCCGATGGCCCTAACAGTCTTTCAGGCAAAATCTTTAGCCCAACTTCTATATGGCTCTCAAATTAGCCCCTCTGCCAACCTTAAGACCCTTGAAACAGTACAATCTAAATTCTTAAGATCATTATTTGCTACCCCTAAGTGTACACCTAATGCAGTCTTAAGGCAAGAGGCAGGACTGCCCAGAGTGGAATTAAAAGTCTGGGAACAAGCAATATCCCTCTGGTTGAAAATCCATTACAATCCTAAGGGTCTATTACCTTGCTTCCTGGCCGCAGTTCCCTATCCTCCTTGGCTTATGCAAATAACTAACAAGATCAAACAAATTGGCCTAAACCCTGAAAATATTTTTATTGGAACTCTGAACAAGGCAAAAGCTACTATTACTCGGAGACTTTATGATATCGAATTACAACAAGAAGGCGCCCTACTCCCAGAGACGTATAGATGTTTAAAAGCTTGGCCTAATTTTACAGCTGCCCCTTACTTAACCAACATCACTAGCGAAGCCTATAGATGGGCTTTCTCTAGAGCCCGCTTTGAGACAATGCCCTCAGCAGTGCTGTACGGCAAATTCACGCGGGTTCCAATGCATGCGCGTCTCTGCCCTTGTATGTCTAATAAGGTAGAATCTGTCACACACATTCTTCTATCTTGCGAATTCTATAGTGAAGAACGAGCTCAACTTATTTTACCGCTTCTATCAAAATTTATACCCCTTCAATATTATTTGGAATCCTCCCTGAAATTCTTCGAAAATACCTCCTGGAAGATTCCTCAAGCTCAGTATCATATGAGGTGGCTAAATTTTGCACTTTAGTAATTAAGAAACGTAAATCTCTTCTGTCGAATGGCACACTGCGAAGTTCCCTTGTGTAACCTTTTTTCTTTTCTGAAGTTGTTGCTGATTTCTTGTTGTCTGATCTTGGGATGTTTAGTGTCACTGGCTTTGGCCGCAATAAACTTGAACTTGCTTGGTTTTGAACTTTACCTCTTCATCTTTCGTCTCCCATTCTAATAGTATGCTGTATGTGGCCTTCAGTAGTTTCACTTTCCCTTCAATCACTTCCATTTGAAACCTAGATCTAGTATAACTAAATCATTTCTTACTGTCTTCTTTATGTGTTTCATATAGTTGTCGATAATGCAACCAACTCTGAAAGTGGTCTTTGATCTCACCATAATCTCTTAATTTGCATTTTCCATCATGTTCCTTTAATAAATCAGCATATGTGAGCCATTTTCCTTTCTTTCCAAGTGGTTTGAGCAGCAATGCTTCATGTGGTGAGAGCCACCACGGGGTCTTTTGTTCCAATAAGTCTTTGTATCTCTCCCATACTCTCATTAATGATTTTATATGGTTGTAAAAACTTCTATGAATCTTCCCTTTCCCGTACCATAAGTATGCATGCCAGCCAAATCTGTTGTCATGTCCTTCTAGTTCTAATGCCTCTTGCTTGTCTAATCTCATCCAGTCCCTGATCCATACCAAACAAGCAGACTCGTAATACAATTTAAGGTCTGGGAGGGCAAACCCGCCTCTATCTTTTACATCTGTAAGTATTTTATGTTTTATCCTGTCTGAGACCGTGGCAAATGGATCAATGAGTTGCCTCAGAATAAGGAATCTACCTTTGTTCCCGTCTTTTCCCAAGTGATATATGAATGCTATGTATACATTTTGCAGGCTATATCAGGGACCCCCTGTTGCTAGAGGAAGACACACCAGATCACAGAAAGAATCAGGATCTGTCAGCTGTTCCGCCGAAATATAATCTTCTGCATATTTTCTGTTCACCGTACCAATACTTACAGGCTGAATTAGAAGAAGAACAGGCTAAGCCAGGTACAGTAGCAAATGAATGAATATCTATATCGATCTATCTATCATCTATCTATCTATCTATCTATCATCATCATCATCTCACAACTAGTATTTTCTTATTCCCCTCTCCTTATATCAATTACAGCAGGCACCCCAAATTCAGTTCTCCAGATGTTTCAGGACTACAACTCCCATCATCCTAGCTAACAGAACCAGTGGTCAGGAATGATGGGAATTGTAGTCCCGAAACATCTGGGGGGCTGAGTTTGGGGATGCCTGAGTTACAGTAGAGGAAAGAAAGAAAATTAAATTAATGTGGGATGCAGATATTTATGGCTTGATTGTAATGTCTGCACAGTGAATTTATATTTATATTTATATTTATATTTATATTTATTTATATTTATATTTATATTTATATTTATATTTATTTATATTTATATTTATGTGCCACCATAGAAGAAAAGAGGGAGGAGAGACCATTGTCATAAATCATGAAACAAAGAAGGCTGTGATCTTATGTAGACTGGACTTGGGAGCAAAGACCAAAGACCAAAGTTTTATATTTATATTTATATTTACATTTACCGTATTTTTCGCTCTATAAGACGCACCAGACCACAAGACGCACCTAGTTTTTGGAGGAGGAAAACAAGAAAAAAAATATTCTGAAAGCAGCAGTGAAAGCAGCAATCCCTCTCCTGTTCTGGCTTCTGTGATAGCTGCGCAGCCTGCATTCGCTCCATAAGACGCACACACATTTCCCCTTACTTTTTAGGAGGGAAAAAGTGAGTCTTACAGAGCAAAAAATACGGTATATTTATGTGCCACCATAGAAGAAAAGAGGGAGGAGAGACCATTGTCATAAATCATGAAATAAAGAAGGCTGTGATCTTACGTAGACTGGACTTGGGAGCAAACCCTGTTGAACCCAATGGTGCTTTTTTCTGAGCGGACGTCTGTGAGGTTGTGCTGCCCATGTCTTCTTCTGCCCCCCTCACACTGAATTTCGTAGCATTGGGAAGGGCAAACATGCTCTGAGAGAGACAGGTTGTCTCTGTGGCCATTTTAGGCGGCAGCGTTCGGTTGTCGTGGAGGACAGCCAGGTGTTTGCAGGTGATGGGCAGACCAGGAGACAGTCTGCTGCGCGGATTCTCCTGTTCCACAGTTTTTGCACCTCTTGCTCCTCTTCATTTCAGCGAGGCTGGCTCGGGAAAACTTCCCAGTAGATTTTACCTAGTATTCAGTTGCTAACCGAGGGAAACCATTAAGATTTTCTGCCTCAGGCATCATGAGGTCCTGTTTTCGTTTTCACATTTTTAAAATTCTCTCCGGGAACACTCTCTCATCATGCTGAGTGTGTGTATGTGTGAATGTTATTAATGCAGAGGAAAAAGTGGAAAATTAAAACCAATTGCACATATCTATTGCCTTGGGGCAAATTATCTGGATGGAATCTTAGGGCTCACCCATGCAGTGGACCCTCTGGTTGCGAATTTAATTCGTTTCGGGGGTCCATGCGCACCCTGAAAAATCAGTAATCAGAGACGCCGCTTCTGCGCACGCGTGCGGCGTGATAGAGCGCTTCTGCACATGCACAAGCGGCGAAACTTCCGGGTTTGCCGCTTTCGCAACCCGAAGATTATGTATCCAGAACGGTAGATAATCTGAGGGTCCACTGTACTTCCACTTGTCCTGTGTCTGGAAAACACAGTTCCAAACAGTTTTCCGTATAGCCCCACCGTTTCCCCGCTCTTTTGCGCTAAATTGGAGCAAACATCGATCTGAGGAGCACCCGGCGGATGTTTGTTCTGATTCAGTGGTAAAGAGTGGGAAGGCAGCACGACAAGCCCCCCCAAAAACACAAAAATGTAAACATAACTAAAATATACTCGGAGTCCAGAGTGGATTTCGTGCTCTTTATTCAGCTCATAGTGGTGAGGAGGAATGGAAGTTCCCCCAGAATGTCTGCCTTATATACATTATTTACACAATGGCCCCACGTGATTGGCTAATTCCGGGATTCTCCTGTAGGCCAATCAGGTTGCGGATTCCCTTCCACCTGGAGCTGGATTGGGTGGCTCCTGTGGACCAATCAGACTGCTGCATTCTGAATCCTATTGTTCTAGGACCAATCAGACTGCTGCATTCTGGATCCTATTGTTCTAGGACCAATCAGACTGCTGCCTTTTGGATCCTATTCAACTCAGTACATAACAATAACTGTTGAAAACTGCCTAAGGCGTACCTTCCTAGGAGTAAGCCCCATGGAACCCAACAATAGTTATGCCTGAGCAATGGCGGAACGTTCCTCGCTGGTGCCCGGGGTGGGTATGCATGCGCCAGGGCGTGCACAGCAGACCTGGGGCGGGGTTTGCTGCCGGAGCAAGCTGAGCAGGTCTGCGCTGCACTGCCTGGCTGGCTGGCTGTGCAGTGGGGAGCCCAGCCAGCGGGCACAGCCAACACCGCCCTGCTTTGAGGGGTGTGCTCATCGCACCCTGCTAGCCTAGTGCTACTTTGCGAGACTCGCGGAAACGGTGCAGGGCGCATGCCTGTTGTGTCCTTCTCAAGCAGCGGCCCTCGCTCATTGCTGAAATACGAGATGCCCCCATCTGCATTGGCATTCCGCTGGCTTTTGAAGATGCAACTTTTAACATAGACATTCCCTTGATCTCCTGACCCAAGTCTCCTGTTTTAAGTGCTGTTTTAATTGCTGTGTTGTTTTAATGCAGAGGTGGGGAAACTCTTGGTTCTCCCAATGTTGCTGAACTACAACTCCCATCCTCCTTTGCTGGCAGGTTGTGATGGGGGTTGTGGTTCAGCAACATCAGGAGGGTCAAGGTTTTTTCCTGTTTTAATAAAGGTAAAGTGACCCCTGACCATTATATCCAGTCGTGGCCGACTCTGGGGCTGCGGCGCTCATCTCGCTTTACTGGCCGAGGGAGCCGGCGTACAGCTTCCGGATCATGTGGCCAGCATGACTAAGCCGCTTCTGGCGAACCAGAGCAGTGCATGGAAACGCCGTTTACCTTCCCGCTGGAGCGGTACCTATTTATCTACTTGCACTTTGACGTGCTTTCAAACTGCTAGGTTGGCAGGAGCTGGGACCGAGCAACGGGAGCTCACCCTGTCGCGGTGATTCAAAACGCCGTCCTTCCGATTGGCAAGTCCTAGGCTCAGTGGTTTAACCCACAGCGCCACCCGCGCCACCCCTGTTTTAATAGTACTGTCTTATTGCACATTTTAATCATGATAATTGACATTTTAATGTTTGATGGATTTGTTTCAATGTGCATTTTAATTATGGTGTCTTTTTCTGTATTTTAACAACGTTGTGCAGTTTTTCTTTTATGTTTTGAAAACTGGTTAGAAGCCCTCTGGGCATTATAAATTAAGATGAAAACAAAACAACAACAATACAACTGCTTTGCATTGTGCCGTGATACTGACATGCTCACCTGTCTGACAGGCCTTGCTTCCTCATCTCGGAAACAATATGAGGAAAAAGTCAAGCTGGGAGAAATCTATGAAGAAGGAAAACATGCCAGAATAAGAGCTCGTATTCCTTTAAGGATTTCAGTAAGAAAACTGAGTTTTCACCTTCCACGGCAGAGGCCAAAGGAGTCCACCTGGAGCCAGCACATAGCATATAGCAGGATTCCAGAGGTATTAATAACTAGACCAAAGTTTTTGGCTTGGTGTGGGAGATGCTCATATGGGGAACCTGTGGCCCCATCAGCCCCAGTCAGCATGACCAATGGCCAGGGCCTCCCTCCACTGTTAGGTAAAGGTAAAGGGACCCCTGACCATTAGGTCCAGTTGTGGCCGACTCTGGGGTTGCGGCGCTCATCTTGCTTTATTGGCCGAGGCAGCCAGCATACAGCTTCCGGGTCATGTGGCCAGCATGACTAAGCCGCTTCTGGCGAAACAGAGCAGCGCACGGAAACGCCGTTTACTTTCCTGCCGGAGCGGTACCTATTTATCTACTTGCACTTTGACGTGCTTTTAAACTGCTAGGTTGGCAGGAGCAGGGACTGAGCAACTGGAGCTCACCGTGTCGCAGGGATTCGAACCGCCGGCCTTCTGAACGGCAAGTCCTAGGCTCTGTGGTTTAACCCACAGTGCCACCTGCATCCCCACTCCACTGTTAGGCCATAGGTATTGTTGCAGAGGGTGCACATGTTGAAATTCCTTCTTCTTCATGGCCTATAAAGAGGGCTTTTTTCCATCAAGAACGCCCTGGAACTCAGTTCCGGCGCTTCTCAGTTGGCCGCCATTGCCATTGTAAGAGAACAAGGGTTCTGTCGGGATCTCCGCTCGGTCAAGCTGATGAAGCTCATTTTCTTCCCCCGAGTCTTCGGAATTGCCTCCTGACGTGTTTAATGACCTGAGCCTTTAATGAGGCCTCAGGCACATTCTTCAGCAGAGTTTCCAGCACAGAAATGAGACGAGAGGTTTGGCTACATGCTATGCTTTATTTCTAAGCTACGCAGACAGCAAAGAAAAATACATCCTCTCTCTCTGAGCAGAGAGCAACTGAACAAAGGAACAAAGGAAACAGGGAACCACTAACGTCACATCCTGTCTCCTCTCCCGTGAGACTTCCAATAGTATGGAATCCCTGGAATGTCAACTCCAAGCATCTGCTCAGTGGCAAAACAGAAACTAACATCCTCCCCCTTTCTGTGAACACCACTGGGCAGCGTGTCAGTACAATCTCAGTACAAACCCAATTTCTGTACTTAGGTACAGTGTTGATCCTTTGAAACAACCTTGGACAATAAATCAGCAGGAATTTTATTACCTGGCATGTAGGACACTGTTACGAGTCCTTTCTGAACACATTCCCTAGCATGTTGCAGCTTCAGTTGCAAGTGCTTCGTGCTTTGCTTACAACCTTCAGAAGTCAGCAAAGCCAAACATGCTTTGTTGTCCTGATAAACCTGATAAAACAGAAACTAACAACTCTCGTCCACATGATACCACTTTGTTCTCTCATGAGCCCTGACTTCACATAGGGATGGAAACACACATGGAGCCCTATGTCATAGCTGTCAACGTTTTCCCTTTTTTAAGGGAAATTCTCTTATTCCGAATAGGATTCCTCGCAAGAAAAGGGAAAAGTTGACAGCTATGCCCTGTGTGCGTGTGCCTGCAACACACATGTAGGAAAGCCTTGTGAGTACAGTGGTGCCTCGCAAGACGAAATTAATCCGTTCCGCGAGAGTCTTCGTCTAGCGGTTTTTTCGTCTTGCGAAGCAAGCCCATTGACGGATTAGCGCTATTAGCGCTATTAGCGGTTTAGCGGCTATTAAAGGCTTAAAGGCTTAGGGGATTAGCTGCTAAAAGGCTATTAAAGGCTATTAAAGGCTTAGCAGATTAGATAAAGGGGAAAAGCGAAAAAAATCTCTAGACTCGCAAGGTATTTTCGTCTTGCGAAGCAAGCCCATAGGGGAATTCGTCCTGCGAAGCAACTTCAAAACGGAAAACCCTTTCGTCTAGCGGTTTTTCCGTCTTGCGAGGCATTCGTCTTGCGGGGCACCACTGTATTGTAGAGTGATGCCGTAACACTGTCCCGACTTAGGCAGCCTTCGTTTATCTTCCCTTGGCCTAACTAAGGGCTTATCCACCTTTTGCCCGCTCTTTCCAGGCAGAGATCTGCAACGCTCCATGTCCGAACATTGTTGTTTTTCTGCCCCAGAGCTTGCCCTCTGAAAACCTGATCTTTGGTGCTCAATCAGAGCAAACATTGTTGTGGGTTTTTCACAAATTGCTGTCTGCTACGGTTCAGCTTCAAAGAGTGGGTTTTGGAAGGGGCAAGGTGAATATAAAACGGAAGAACAGTATAAAGAGGTGTGGGAGATAGCTATTAATGATAAATTAACGTGCTATTGAGGAAAGACGGCGAATATGCAGGAGAAATGATTTGGGGGAGATATGGAAGGGATTTGTAGAATTTGTACTGTTCAAACGGAAAGGGGTCAAACCATCGCAAGAAGTGTTGAAATTTTGGAAGGTTGGGTAGTTACAGTGGAATGGTCTTGGGGGTGGGGTGCGCTTTTCTAAAAATATATTTTAAAAGAGAGGGTTTTACAGGGAAAGCTCTGGAGCAAAACAAAGAACGCTTGGACACACAGCTTTAAATCGCAGGCTGTGCCTGGAGAGAGCAGGGCAAAAGTTAAGTGTGGAAAGGCTCTAACCCGAGATCCTTTATAAATCAACTCCAGTGTTCAGTTCCGTCCCTTTAGTCTTTGAATTTTGCACCACTTGCCTCCCTCTGCTGGCTTAAAACTGAAGTGTTGGTGAGTAGAGCAGTTTTTTAGTTTTGTTTTTTTTTAAGAAAACCTCTGGTTTAATCCCAGAGTCTATGAGCCCTGCATTAAAAATGTTTGATGTTTTATTATGGTTTTATATTTGTTGGAAGCCACACAGAGTGGCTGGGGCAACCCAGTCTGATGGGTGGGGTACAAATAATAAACGCTATTTATTATTATTATTATTATTATTATTATTATTATTATTGGCTGCTTAGTGGCCCAAGGTAAGTGGACTCCCACACCCACACCACATAAATATATACTTAATTAAATTACTGTTTGCTGCTCGTTAATGGCGTCCAAAATCTGAAGTATGAAGTGGACCAGAGAGCCATTGCCAGACATTGTTGTTGACAATGCTGAGCTAGTAGCTTGACTTGGTATAAGGCAGCTCTCTAGGTAAAGGTAAAGGGACCCCTGACCATTAGGTCCAGTCGTGGCCGACTCTGGGGTTGCAGCGCTCATCTCGCTTTATTGGCCGAGGGAGCCGGCGTACAGCTTCTGGGTCATGTGACCAGCATGACTAAGCCGCTTCTGGCGAACCAGAGCAGCGCACGGAAACGCCGTTTGCCTTCCTGCCGGAGTGGTACCTATTTATCTACTTGCACTTTGACCTGCTTTTGAACTGCTAGGTGGGCAGGAGCAGGGACCGAGCAACGGGAGCTCATCCCGTCGCGGGGATTCAAACCGCCGACCTTCTGATCGGCAAGTCCTAGGCTCTGTGGTTTAACTCACAGCGCCACCCTCTATGTTCCCATAAATGCTTCTTTTCAAGTGTACATTTGTGTCATCTCCTAGGACAAATGGGTGGAAGTTCACCGAGATGGGGAGGTTCAAGACCATAGTGAAGAAGTGGCAAACCAACCCAGAGATCATCAAGCAACGGGGAAAACCAGCATCGATACTTCCGAGCTTTGGTGTGAGAAATCCCACGTGACTTTCTATGGAGGTTTCTTCCCTGGAAAAAAGATCACGTACAGTGGTAAGAAAGTTAAGGCTGCTGTGAGCCGTTCAAAATATTCTGAGGATTGCTAACGACAGCAATTGTTTCTGCCGGTTAAAAGCAGAGGCAAATAATTTGTTGATTGGCAACAGTCTCAAAACGCAGGATTAAATGCAGGACAAAGGTAGAAAATTCCATCAGTATGTTTCTACCTGCTGAAGCCCGCAACCCCACCTCCTGGGCAGGCCGGAAGTGGCTTTGTTTCAGAAAAAACGGTGATTAAGTCAATTTGCATTAGAATGTGAACGGAACCAAATTTCTCCCCATCTCTGATCAGGATGACTGTATTTGATCTCTCATCTCCTTTTGGTTTCCACAGTTAACCGAAAGTATCTGAAGGGCAAACATGAGAGAGATAAAGGAACCCCTGTGACCACAGACTTGTTCTCTCCTATTCAACCAGGAACAAGGCCAGAGCAAAGTGAAGTCATGGAAGAACATAGAAAGGAGGTCCGTTTTTGTTTTACCCCCAAAAGTTTAGCATGTCCAGGTCCGGTCCAGGCCTGGATTGAAGACCACTCTGAAATCCCATGTGATTTGTGTCCCATGGTGGAAGAAAGATGAGATATTAATAAATATTAAAATTAATAACATTAATATTAATAATATGTAAATTAAAATAAAATAAAAATAATATAAATAAAAATAATCTGGGAAGGACACAGCCTGCCCAGCAATCCCTTTTTCATAGTTTTACATTTCTCATAGTATTACTATTGCAGCAGGATGCGGGTGGCGCTGTGCGTTAAACCACAGAGCCTAGGACTTGCCGATCAGAAGGTCGCTGGTTCGAATCCCCGCGACAGAGTGAGCTCCCGTTGCTCGGCCCCTACTCCTGCCAACCTAGCAGTTGAAAGCACGTCAAAGTGCAAGTAGATAAATAGGTACCACTCTGGCGGGAAGGTAAATGGCGTTACCATGCGCTGCTCTGGTTCGCCAGAAGCGGGTTAGTCATGCTGGCCACATGACCTGGAAGCTGTACGCCAGCTCCCTCGGTCAGTAAAGCGAGATGAGTGCCGCAACCCTAGAGTCGGCCACGACTGGACCTAACGGTCAGGGGTCCCTTTACCTTTACTATTGCAGCATGATTTAGGTGGCATTTTTTTGGTTTGACATTGTTGCGGTTACCCCCCAAAAAAGTTGTTTTGCAAAATGGGGAACGGTGATGCCATTCCTGGCAGCCTTCTGCTTCTGATGAACTGTCAGCTAATAATCCCAAAACAATACACATGAATAATAGTGAAATAGAGGGCAACACCCTTGGGTGCAGCACAGAGAAGTTAAGTATGGCTTAGGCTGCAATTCTATGCTCATTTACCTATAGGTAAGTCATATTAATCTCTATGGGGCTCACTTTTGAGTAATCACACATAGGACAAGGTGGCATTTCCTCACTGAAATCAAAGGGGATTAAGCATGATTAACTACATGCTAGGCTCCTGGTGTTGTGTTTAAACTACAAGTACAAACATGGATTCTCCCGATTCTTCAGAATGCTTACAGTTGAATGCATGTAGGAAAACGTAATAGTTCCAAAACCAGAAACTCTGCCCACCTGTAAAGCCCTTCCCTAAGCAGCGTTGGGTAACAATTTTCAGGAATGCCATCCAGGGTGAAATGGGTGGCGACAAAATGAGTGCTGTCAAAAACATCCCCTCCCCCCCCAAAAAAATCCCTAACATTAAAACATTTTGAAGTTGTTGTTTTTCTCCAGGTGCCAGAGATTTGCAGGTTACCTCAGATATCCGAAGACTCGCCCAGAGCTTATAGGGAAAAACTTAAATCTGGAAAGCTTCCCAAAGAACCTGTGGCCTTCCCTTTGCTTGTTCAGCTGGAAAAGGAGCCCGAGGCAAAAAACCTGAGAGGTAAAACCACCCCCACCCTAGATAAATGGCAGGTGCACATTCAGTAAAGGGGAACGTCCCCTGTTCTGGGCAATACCAGTTATAGCATCGCTCATGTTATCGCCTCAGAATAACTGTTTCCGCTGTAATAGGAATTTTATGGTCTTGTTGTTGTTGTTTAGTCGTTTAGTCGTGTCCGACTCTTCATAACCCCATGGACCAGAGCATGGCAGGCACTCCTGTCTTCCACTGCCTCCCGCAGTTTGGTCAAACTCATGCTGGTAGCTTCGAGAACACCGTCCAACCATTTTATGGTCTTAGATATATGGTAATGTTCATAACCGCACATACATAGATCAGCACAGGAAGGCCAACCTGGAACCATTATGATTCCTAAACTGAGCAAATGTTTTCTCTGCAAGGTCAAACTGGAAAAGCCTCCCCATTGTCTTTTCCTTCACAAATCCTGTCTTAAGGGTATGTCTGTGTTTGAATAAGGTGTGAGCCTGTGACCTGGCCCAGGAACTAAGTATTTATCATTACAAAAGACTGGCCAGGCTACCCAGGAAATCCAATCAAGTAACCTGCCAGACAGGAGATAAACAAAAACAGGAGAAAAACAATATTAAAATTTCTATTTTGGACCGCCTTTTTTGTGACGTATGCATGATGTATCTGAGGGGTGGTCTTAGGTTACACCCCTTCTGTGATGTATATATGATGCTTCTGGGGGTGGTCTTGATCTACAGGGTGGCAATTTCAAAAGTCTTTATAAGGCCTTGCACGCCATTTTTCTGGGTCCTCCTCCTTTCCTGCGTGTGAGGGGAGCACCCTGTTGCAACAGATCAATAAAGATCAAGCTTACTAGCTGCTTTGCTTCTCAATATTCTCTGGTTGGCCTCTGTTATTCTCTCCTACCAATAGGGAACCTATGTAAGGACCTCTATATGGGCTCTTGGATACCCCATAAGGGAAAAGGGCAATTTTTTGTTTACAACACGCCAGCGCTTGTTCCCAGCTACGTTCAAATTCTGTACCTGCATCAAAGGCAGTCTCTGTGCTAACTTCAAAAGTTTTCCCCCTGCCAGAATCAAAGCTCACATAGTGCTTTACTTGAGGTAAAACAACAGTAGGCCTCAACAGAATCATAGACTTGTAGAGTTGAAAGGGACCACGAGGGCGATCTACTAGTCCAATGCCCTGCCGTTCAGGAATCTTTTGCCCCAACATGGGGCTTGAACCCACGACAAGTAGAAGTCAAAACCCTTGCCTGTCTATTGCAAATCAGCCAAATCTCTACCAGAAGAAGCCAGTCTACCTTCTGTCCATCCCTGCTACAGAGTACATCTCGTAGGCCAAGTCGTTGCCCTCCAAATAGTGTTGCGGGTGGCGCTGTAGTCTAAACCACTGAGCCTCTTGGCCTTGCTGATCGGAAGGTCGGCGGTTCGAATCCCGGTGACAGAGTGAGCTCCCGTTGCTCGGTCCCAGCTCCTGCCAACCTAGTAGTTCGAAAGCACATCAAAATGCAAGTAGATAAATAGGTACCGCTCCGGCGGGAAGGTAAACGGTGTTTCCGTGCGCTGCTCTGGTTCGCCAGAAGTGGCTTAGTCATGCTGGCCACATGACCCGGAAGCTGTACGCCGGCTCCCTCGGCCAATAAAGCCAGATGAGCGCCGCAACCCCAGAGTTGTCCGCGACTGGACCTAATGGTCAGGGGTCCCTTTAGCTTTTTAAATTGTTTCTTTCCCTTATTTGCATTATAATATAAAAGTGCTTTGCTCTGGTGCCAGGTAGATAAGACAATGGGTAAATCTCTTTTGTGGGGGTGGGGTGTAACTTTTAGTTTTTGCATTTTAAGTTTTGAGCCCAGGCTCACAGTGCATAAAAGCAACTGGGATGTTGCAATAATAGCGCATACTCTCCAACATTTATTAAATGAAAATAGCGAAGTCTTATTCAATAACGGCAAGAACAATTTTATTATTTATACTCCACCCATCTGACTGGGTTGCCCCAGCCATTCTGGGAAGCTCCCATCATATATAAAAACATAATAAAACATTAAACATTTTTTTTAAAACTTCCTTATACAGGGCTGCCTTCAGATGTCTTCTAAAGGTTGTATAGTGACTTATCTCGTTGACTCGGGGCTCGCATAACTCCATACCCTCCAACGTTTCTCCAGTGAAAATAGGAATGTCTTGCAGAAAAGCGAAACATTCTAGGATCAAATCAAAAACCGAGATGACTTCTGTAAATCCGGGACGGCCCCTGGAAAACAGGGACACTTTGAGGGTCTGTGAGAGGATGGGTGAAAACCTGTTCTTGTTGTTTAGTCGTTTAGTCGTGTCCGACTCTTCATGACCCCATGGACCAGAGCATGACAGGCACTCCTGTCTTCCACTGCCTCCCGCAGTTTGGTCAAACTCATGCTGGTAGCTTGGAGAATACTGTCCCACCATCTCGTCCTCTGTCGTCCCCTTCTCCTTGTGCCCTCCATCTTTCCCAACATCAGGGTCTTTTCTAGGGAATCTTCCCTTCTCATGAGGTGGCCAAAGTATTGGAGCCTCAGCTTCAGGATCTGTCCTTCCAGTGAGCACTCAGGGCTGATTTCCTTCAGAATGGATAGGTTTGATCTTTTTGCAGTCCATGGGACTCTCAAGTCCCCTCCAGCATCATAATTCAAAAGCATCAATTCTTCAGCGATCAGCCTTCTTTATGGTCCAGCTCTCACTTCCATACATCACTACTGGGAAAACCATAGCTTTCACTATACGGACCTTTGTTGGCAAGGTGATGTCTCTGCTTTTTAAGATGCTGTGGAAACCTGTATGTTAGTTAATAAAGTCCATTTATTCTCTCTCTCTCTCTCTCTCTCTCTCTCTCTCTCCCTCTCTTACCTTTCAGGAACTAGTTGTAATGAACCCAGACCTGAGGTCGACGTCTGTGATGAGCATCTGCCTCCTTTGCCGAATGATCTCATTTTAGAGCCAGAACATAAAAATCAGCAGCAGCAGCAGGAGAGGGTGATGATCAATAGTGAGATCCCGGAGGCTTCCCAAGGTAGTTTCCACCTACCGCCAATAAATAATGGAGAGTTTCTGCTCAACGGAAGGAAAATGAGAAAGAAAGAAGAGCATTCTGAAAAGAACAGCCAATATCAAAGAGGTCTGTGGTGGCGCCCAATGTATCCCACTTTGGGGGAGGACACTATTTTTTGCATACATAAGATCTCAGGTTCAAGTGATGGCATCTTCACTTCCAGCTGTGAAAGACTCCCATCTCAAGCTGCTGAGAGTCCAGGCTGTAGATCAAGCATCGCCAAAGCGGTGTCCTCTGGGTAACCGTTGGAGCTGTTGGACTACAGCTCCCACAATCCCTGGTCATTGGCCAGGCTTGCTGGGCTGATGGACACTGTAGTTCAACAGCACTTGGAGGTCACCTGGTTTGCTTCCCCCAGTGTAGACGACTGTGTACACTGTCTACACAGTGTAGACAGTGTAGAGCCAGTGTGGTGTTGTGGTTAAGAGCGGTGGACTCGTAATCTGGTGAACCGGGTTCGATTCCCTGCTCCTCCACATGCAGCTGCTGGGTGACCTTGGGCTAGTCACACTTCTCTGAAGTCTCTCAGCCTCACTCGACTCACAGAGTGTTTGTTGTGGGGGAGGAAGGGAAAGGAGAAAGTTAGCCGCTTTGAGACTCCTTCGGATAGTGATAAAGCGGGATATCAAATCCAAACTCTACTTCTTTTTCTACTACTACTAAGCCAGATGGACAAAAGACCACACAAAATGGTGGAAGGTTACATCAGTTTACGGTCTACAGTTTATAACTACCATATGATGCAAGTTTCTCCACAGTCACAAGAGGTAGAAACTTGCCTTTAAAGCAAACAAAACAAAACACCAAACCATGCAGAAATTCTTAAAATGCTGAGTTTCATTCCAGTTGGTGGCTTCCTGCCTGGTTCATCAAAACCAAACATGTGCAGAATGCCAATAGCTCTCGACATAAACTCTAAGGGAAAGTGAAGGAAACAGCACTGGAAGATAGAGATACAGTGGTACCTCGGGTTAAGAACTTAATTCGTTCCGGAGGTCCGTTCTTAACCTGAAACTGTTCTTAACCTGAGGTACCACTTTAGCTAATGGGCATAGCTGTCAACTTTCAGATTTGAAAATAAGGGATCAGCAGCCTCGAAAATAAGGGATCAGCAGCCTTACCTGTCCCGGGGACAGTCTACGGGATATCTAACAATCCGGGATAGCAGCGGGAAGCAGCGGGAAACGGCGCTGGAATAAGGGAATTTCCCACAATAAAGGGAAGGTTGACAGCTATGCTAATGGGGGCCTCCCGCTGCTGCCGCGCCGCCATCCCCCCAATTTCTGTTCTCATCCTGAAGCAAAGTTCTTAACCCGAGGTACTATTTCTGGGTTAGCCGAGTCTGTAACCTGAAGCGTCTGTAACCCAAGGTACCACTGTATATTTCTGGAGTTAAGTTGGCAAAATCTATGGTTGTGCTCTAGACATACAAAAGAAGGCAAATTTGTTTTCTAGCACATAACTTTTAATAACATGTGCTTGTTTCCCCCTCCCCCTTCTTTGTTCTCAAGAACATCAGAATGGCACCTCACTCCACCATCTCCCCCCTGATACAGAAATCCCGTATCCATCACCCTTGGGATCCGTCCAAACTACTGACGATTCCAGGCACTCTGGATTCATTCCAGATGAAGAAGGTAAGGTGGATGTAAAAATCTACTGTGGTTAAGTCTCTTGTCCAAAAGGAACAGATTGCACATCTAACTCTGCACGTATAACCCAAATGTCACATAATATCCTGAACGACTTGTTTAGCCAGAACAGTTTTTCTTCTTCAGACAATACTATTTTTATTATGCTCAGACACAGCAGTTAATATTTGTGTGTATTTGTGTATTTTTCTTTTTGTGTGTGTGTAGGTAGGTAGGTAGATGATAGATGATAGAGATAGATAGATAGATAGATAGATAGATAGATAGATGATAGATGATAGAGATATATATAGTTGTTATTGGAACTTTGCAATAGAAGCAGTGTATTTCTCTGTTGTTGTTGTTTAGTCGTTTAGTCGTGTCCGACTCTTCGTGACCCCATGGACCAGAGCACGCCAGGCATTTCTGTCTTCCACTGCCTCCCGCAGTTTGGTCAAACTCATGCTGGTAGCTTCGAGAACACTATCCAACCATCTCATCCTCTGTCGTCCCCTTCTCCTTGTGCCCTCCATCTTTCCCAACATCAGGGTCTTTTCCAGGGAGTCTTCTCTTCTCATGAAGTGGCCAAAGTATTGGAGCCTCAGCTTCATGATCTGTCCTTCAAGTGAGCACTCAGGGCTGATTTCCGTCAGAAAGGATAGGTTTGATCTTCTTGCAGTCCATGGGACTCTCAAGAGTCTCCTCCAGCACCATAATTCAAAAGCATCCATTCTTTGGCGATCAGCCTTCTTTATGGTCCAGCTCTCACTTCCATACATCACTACTGAGAAAACCATAGCTTTAACTATACGGACCTTTGTTGGCAAGGTGATGTCTCTGTATTTCTCTACTCTGTAGCAAGTATCTAAAGGAGATGGTAGCTCATTTATAATCTGGTCGGGTATTTGTACTGTGTTTTAGCCAGCCAATATGAGTCACCATGCTTCTGAAATGCACTTCAATGCAATCTTCAGAATTTGACTGGCATGTTGTTGGCTTATAAGTCAACTCCCTACTCTCCAGGTCTAGTACAAAAACACACACTGGGCAGAGTATTCCTAGTCTTGCTGGCAGTGGCAGCCATTAATGCTAGGATAATACCTGTGCAATGGATTAGATCCTATGCATTATACACAGCAGCAGCAGTAGTAGTAGCAAAATAAGACAGCAAAACAGTCTAGAAATTGCATGTTAACAAGCACAGATGGCTCCACAGCAACCATGGGAATGTCACCTCTCCACTCATCGATCATGGGATTGCGTGCTGACATCACAGCCCCATCAGTCCTGTACAGAAGAAACCAAGCAAAGACACCACAGGGCCGAGGCACAGCGGCAAGGCAAATGCCACACATCTGACACCAATGTTGCACACTCCCAAAGCACCCTCCGCATGAGGGTTGAAGTCCTCTTATAGCAGAGATAGCTGTGCCACCACCCTTTCAATGGGCACAATTCAAGCTGCACAGATGAGGAAGCGTGGGCGTTTTCCTTCGCAGTCCCCAGCCAGTTCCATAGCATTCTTCCAAAATGGCAGACAGCATTCAAGTTGCGTGACTGGATCCAAAAGAAGACCCAGCCCCTGCTCCTATTGAAATCCCTGCTTCTGAACTAAAAATGCAGGAGCCCAGTTCTATTTTCCATTTGGCCATCCTAAAATTGTATACAGACTTTTGCCTTCCTGTTACCAGGATCTCTTTAGAGGAGTAACTCTGCAGCTTGGTCACAGTAAAAAAATTAAATTCTTTATGCTTTTCCCCTTGTCTCCATTTTTCAACCAAAATAGACTTCCAGCCTCAGTATTCATGTCTTCTAACTTTTCATGCTCCAAAGCATTTGCCCTTGAACTCTTGGCAAACAATTAACATTTAATTAAGTCTCCACAGCATGGTGTTAGTTCTCCCAAATCCAGCAATAACATATTTACACAAAATCTTTCTTTCTCTGCTTCTTTCTCTTTAATCATGGTTATCTTTATCCGCACTCCTGGGGTTGCAAATATTCCCATTCAGATAAACAGGAACAAGCTAAACACTATAATCCTGTGAGTGATAAAAGGAGACAGCATCTGTATTTAAACGCTTTGGTTTTTTTCAGTTGTTTACCAACTTGGGAGAAAATAGCTGGACTTTGCAGAGTGTTTGTATCCCACATGAGTCATAATGAGATTTCAGATACCCTATCGGGCCTTTTAGCAACCATGTGCATATATAATATAATATTATATTATATAGAGAGAGCCTTGAGGCTATTCTAGGGTTACCAGATGTCCCCGGTTCCCGGGGACAGTCCCTGGATTTGCAAATCTGTCCCTGAACAAATTCCGTCCCCGGAATGTCCCCGGACTTGCAAATCTGTCCCCGGGAAACGTGGCAGTGGCAGCCTCAGCAGCCCGGAGCCCGCCTGGTAGTGCAGATGGCTCTGGCTGGCTCCAGGAGTTGCTCGCTTCCCGCTGCCGTGGCATCCGCCATTTTTCCTTGCTGGAAGTTCCGCCACTGCTGAAGGGAAACCGGGGACATCCAGCGGTACATATCTCCTGCCCCCTTCTCCCTTTGTTTTGACTGATTGGGGGAGGCTCAGGAGTTGCGGGCGGGCGGCTGTTGCCCCGTTTTTTAAAAAAAAACCTGCACATTTATGTTTCACAAGGTGCGAAAGAAGGGCTTTGCACCTTGCCTGGCAGAGAAACCGCCTGCCCGCGACTCCCGAGCCTCCCCCGATCTGTCAAAACAAAGGAGGAAGGGGGAAGGAGATATTATATTGATATACATTGTTATACAATATGCATGTGTACTTGGGCCCAGGGTCTTTTGCCTCACCATCCGCACTACTGACTCCCCGTTGCTACTCAGCTTCAAAAAGTGTCCCCGGATTCATTGAAAAAAATCTGGTAACCATAGGCTATTCCCCATTCTGTACTGGGGGAAGTCACAGCCAGTTGGAGGATGGATGGCGGCTAACAGATTGAGGTTGAATCCAGACAAGACAGAAGTACTGTTTTGGGGGGACAGGAGGCAGGCAGGTGTGGAGGACTCCCTGGTCCTGAATGGGGTAACTGTGCCCCTGAAGGACCAGGTGCGCAGCCTGGGAGTCATTTTGGACTCACAGCTGTCCATGGAGGCGCAGGTTAATTCTGTCTCCAGAATTACGTTTCCAAGCACATTTCAAAGTGTTGGTGCTGATCTTTAAAGCCCTAAACGGCCTTGGTCCAGTATATCTGAAGGAGCGTCTCCACCCCCATCATTCTACCCGGACACTGAGGTCCAGCGCCAAGGGCCTTCTGGCGGTTCCCTCACTGCGAGAAGCCAAGTTACAGGGAACCAAGCAGAGGGCCTTCTCGGTAGTGGTGCCCTCCCTGTGGAATGCCCTCCCACCAGATGTCAAAGAGAACAACAACTACCAGACTTTTAGAAGACATCTGAAGGCAGCCCTGTTTAGGGAAGCTTTTAATGTTTGATGTATTACGGTATTTTAATATTTTGTTGGAAGCCGCCCAGAGTGGCTGGGGAAGCCCAGCCTGATAGGCGGGGTATAAATAATAAATTATTATTATTATTATTATTATTATTAAATCATTTTGAGATATGGAATGCTTTGATGTGCAGCATCAAATGAGCATAGGATGCAGTCTAGCCTCCTGCTGCTACTACAACCACCATAGGCAAAAGGGACCCCTTGCAATATTGTCTGCACTGAAGACTAATGGCGAATCAAGGTCTCTTGGCCTTCCTGTTATCAGGGATCCCTTTAATGGGAGATGCCGAGAACTGAAGTGTTGGACCTTCTGACCTATGTGCAAATATGTGCGACACCGCTAAGCCCTTAGGGCAACAAAGGTGCTTGCAATTTCATTTTAGCATTGTGTCAAGAAGGCCAGGAGCATTAACAGGACCTTGACTGATAGGGATGAAGCTTAACTGGTTTGTGGGGAGGCCCTGATTGCACTTTCTATAGGGTGTTAAAAAGACATTTGTCCTTAGGCCACACTGATTAGCACATCTGAGGAAATTTTTCTTCCCCTTGCAGCACTTTGCGTGGCTCAGTTGCTTGGGTTATCTGGATTGTTTTGGGGTATTTAAAAATTATAATTAAGATTATTTTCTTATTTAATTGTGAAAGAGCTTCTGCATAGCTGTCAACTTACAGATTTGAAAATAAGGGACCAGCAGCCTCAAAAATAAGGGATCAGCAGCCAAAATAAGGGATTTTGGCTTAGCTTATACAGAAATCCCGCACTCATGGAGCCAGGCTGCTTTGGCTGCCACTGACTGTGTTTGGCAGGGGTTGGACTAGATGATCCCAAGGGTCTACAACTCCCGCCAAAGAAGAGTGGCAGACAAAATTGATGAACGACGCAGAGGTGCCAAAGCTTACAGGCACAATTCGAAACCAGGAAGAGGTCCTCTGTAATAAAGGGGGAAAGTTTATAATTTAGTTGAAAACTATTGTAAAGAGCTACATACATTGGTAGGATTGACAGAAGACTTGTAGAAAAAATTTGAACTATTGGATTAAGAAAAAAAAATTTAGCCACGCACAACCTCTCCAGCCGGGAGAGGCTGCGCGCGGCTTTGGCAGAAGCCAAGACAGCTAGCAGGATGGATCCCGCTCGCTGTCTTGGCTTTCTTTTTAGCCGCAGGGCTGGGGCGGGGGAAGCCCGAGCTTCCCCCGACCCCAGCCCCCAGAACGGGTCCCGGAGCGGCAGCGAGGTTGCGCGCAACCTTGCCTTCGCTCCCGGAGCTTGCTGCTATCCACAAGCCTTCTGAGCCCGGCGAGAACTCCCGCCGGGCTCTGAAGGCTTGCGGATAGCTGCCCAAAGCCCGGGGTGCGCAGCGCTGTGCTCCCCGGGATTCAGGCTGCTGCCTGCTATCCGCAAGCCTTGGAAGCCCGACGGGAACTCCCGCTGCGCTCCGAAGGCTTGCGGATAGCTTCCTGAAGCCTGCATTCAATCCATAGGATGCGCACACATTTCCTCTTCATTTTTGGAGGGGGGAAAGTGCGTCCGATAGAGCGAAAAATACGGTAATTCCTTTTCAAAATGAACTTCTCAAGCTCTGGACTAGATGGGCCTATGGTTTGACCCATGAGGGCTCTTCCTCGCAGTTCACGAATAGAGTGCTACAAATGAAAGGCCTTTCCCCATCCCTGTGAAACCACTTTGCAGGAATCGCTGCTAAAACGAACTTTCCTCATAGTTTAAAACAATTCATTCATTCATTCTTTTCAAGTTTATACATTTCACTAATTCTACAATCGTTTTGACATTTCAATACTTGACTTCCTTCCCCCTCTTTCTGCAGTTCCTTAAATTTGTTTTTAATATCTTTAGCATATCCAAATTAACTTAATTTACTCATTTATTCATCTTCTTTAAATATATACTCTTCTAAAACTGCAGGTTATTACAATGATCCTGCCAATGTTTTTATCTGTTTACAATTTATCTGTAAATATTCAATAAACCATTTCCATTCTTTTATTAAAAAAAGTTTGTTATCTTGATTTCTTATTTTTCCGGTAAGTTTCGCCATTTCTGTATATTCTATAAGTTTTTGTATCCATTCTTCCTTTGCCGGGACTTCTGCTTCTTTCCATTTAGGAGCAAGTAACATTATTGCCGCTGTAGTAGCATACATGAATAAGTTTCTATACATTTTAGGTGGTTCTGTCCCTATAATTCCCAAAAGAAAAGCTTCTGGGTTTGTTTGTTTGTTTTTACAAATGTTATCTTAAACATCCTTTTCATTTCATTATATATCATTTCCCTGTAAGCTTTAACCTTACTACTAAAACAAATTTGTAAATCTGGTTCATTCACGAAGCCAGGGAAAAGTCGCTTTGTCCCCGAACTCTGTGGTTGCCTGTGCTTAATTCATGAAAATTACCTTTGATTGAATATTTCTGCTTCACATGGGAGAAGATTTGCTTGTGTGATGATTTAGGTGTTGCTGGTTTTCAGTATTTGGTAGAGTCATCACAATTAAGCAGAGAGAGCGCGTTTCTTTAGTTTTTATGAATGCACCAAGCGTAATCATTGGGATACTTCTGGTTTCCATTGCAGGGGATGGCAAATTATTCCTTAAAACGAGGGCAGCTGTTTCCATAAGGTCACCAGAGACCCCGCCTGCGGCTGAAGAACTGCGTGGGAAGGTTGGTTTCATACAGAGATTTGGCAGAGCTATGAATCAGCAAAGTATGATTTGCCATTGTGAATTACTTGTAATTTTATTCACGGAGATATTCCTCATATTTTTGACTAGGAAATAATGGCTACAATTCAAACTACAGTTTCACACACACACAAACATACAGCTCTCTATCATCCATCCATACAAGCAAAGAGGTATATTCAGAGTTTGAGGACACATTCCAGACAGGCTAAATCACAAAAAGAAGGGCCATAGCAGGGTCGGTGAGAGGTGAAATTCAGAGCCTGGGAAGAGTTCTGAGGGCCAAGTAGGGAGGTAGCAAGGGCCGCATTTCAGGTTCCCCACTTTGTTGATTTTGAAATGGGCAAAATACAGTGGTACCTCAGGTTAAGAACTTAATTCGTTCTGGAGTTCCTTTCTTAACCTGAAATTGTTCTCAACCTGAAGTACCACTTTAGCTAATGGGGCTTCCCGCTACCGCTGCGCCACCAGAGCACGATTTCTGGTCTCATCCTGAAGCAAAGTTCTTAACCCGAGGTATTATTTCTGGGTTAGCGGAGTCTGTAACCTGAAGCGTCTGTAACCTGAAGCATCTGTAACCCAAGGTACCACTGTATCCTGTCTCTCCTGCAGCTGATTGGTCACCTGTCTATTTCTTCCCGATACAATCATCGCAATAATGTGATGTGTGGGCAAACATATAAGAAAAATGGCTCCCTTTCCCTTATGGGGTATTCCGGAGCCCGAACAGAGTCCTTAAGTGGGTTCCCTATCGGTAAGAGAAAATAACAGCGGCCAACCAGAGTATATTGAGAAGAAAAACGGCTAGTAAGCCTGATTCAAGGAACTGTTGCCACAGGGTCCCCACTCACCACACGCAGGAGGGAAGAGAACCCTGAACAGTGGTGCGCAAGCCCTTATATAGACTCTTGAAATTGCCCACCCTGTAGCCCAAGACCACTACCCCTAAACATCATACATACATCAGAGAAGGAGGCGGTCTACAGCAGAAATCCTGTCTGCCAGGATACCTGATACTGGTCACTGATTGCTTTACCTGGGCAGCCTGGCCATTCTTTTGTGATGATCTGAATCCAGGTCATGGGCTCACCCTATTCGTACACAAATACGCCCTTAAGACAGGAGTTGCAAGCAAAAAGTCAATGCGAAGGCTTTCCCCATTTGCCTCCCTTACTGCAGAGGAATATTTGAGGTTATTGGGAGAGTCAAAACGGCTTCAGGATTGCTCTCCCATACTATTTCAGACACATGGTTCATATATTTAGATATGTGTGCATTTATGAACATTTATTCCATATTTGAGACCTTAAAATTCTTATAACACATGCGATAGAAAGTATGTGTGGTGAACTGGTCACACGTCTGCATTTGTTCTTTGAATGCAATTGGGACATTTTTCTGCAGCTGGGGGTTAGAAGGAGCCTATCTGGCGTCTGAATTTAGCTCCCCACCGCCACAAACAGGCTTGTAATCTGCCAAGGGAGAAACAAATCTATATTTTTCTTATCTACAGATGTTAAAGCGCTTCCTTGTATACTATTGACATGTCTCTGTTGCTGTGCTTGAGGTTCCCTCTGAGCAATGCTTTTTCATCTCGGCATGTGGGAGGCCACTTTTGCAAGCTCCCGCTGCCAGCGATACACAGAAACATTCCCACAACACACCGCACTCAGAACTTGTGCAGACATCTTAGTATCGTATCCCTTTGTGGTGGCATCGTGCATTGCCTCTTCTGACTGTTTTGCTGGGGAGAGGATACTGTTGTGGTCTAAACCAGGGGTCCCCAAACTAAGGCCCACAGGACGAATAAGTTTATCCGGCCTGCGGCGACGCCCGCCGCCCGCTCTTACCGGCATTGTGCTGCGCGGCTGCCCACTTCCGGGTCGGAGGAGCACCGGAAATAGCTTGTGCGCATGCGCAAGCATTGTGCGCATGTGCAAGCCTTCTTTCTGGTGCACATCCAGGTTGGTGGAGGCCCGTGCCCATGCACACAAGCTATTTCCGGTGCTCCTTCAACCCGGATGTGTGCCAGAAATAGCGCATGCGCATGCATATAGGCACGCGCTCCCCCGCCCTCTGGCCCACCACGCGATCGGCGCTGGAGACACCGGCCCAAGGCACGGTAAGTTTGCTGACTCCCGGTCTAAACCACTGAGCCTCCTCAGCTTGCTGATCAGAAGGTCGGTGGTTTGAATCACTGTGATGGGGTGAGCTCCCGTTGCTCTGTCCCAGCTCCTGCCAACCTAGCAGTTTGAAAGCACACCAGTGCAAGTAGATAAATAGGTACCACTGCGGTGGGAAGGTAAACGGCGTTTCCGTGTGCTCTGGTTTCCGTCACGGTGTCCCGTTGCGCCAGAAGCGGTTTAGTCTTGCTGGCCACATGACCCAGAAAGCTATCTGTGGACAAACACCGGCTCTCTCGGCCTGAAAGCGAGATGAGTGTTGCACCCCATAGTCTCCTTTGACTGGACTTAACCGTCCAGGGGTCATTTATCTTTATTTTTACATAATTTGCCGGGGAGAGGATACGGCAGCCAAGTGTCGGATTTATGTATAAGCTATAGCTTAGGGCCCCAGTCTCTTGGGGGCCCCCAAAAAATTTAAAGGAAAAAAAACAACTGGATGTACATTTCCAAAATATAAGATAAAAAACAATTACTTTGATAAAATACATATTATGTTGTGTGCAAATGGCTTTAGATACCTATTAGGCCCATAAATTACCAAATAGCATATATTCGACACAAAAAACAGGGACAATTTGTTGTTGACAAAGGACAGCTGGACATATAAAGGGCCCCATTAACTTCAGTAGCTTAGGGCTTCATCAAATCTAAATCCGGCCCTGCCTATCATGGTGATGTTTTAGAACAGTGGGGCTGATCTAGAAGCAAACAGTGTGCTTCCCTCGAAGATCTCTGAACCCAGGCAAGTACAGATAGCTTGGACCTAAGTCATATAGTTTTCTTAGCAAGGATACTGGAGTGGCTTGCCGGTTCCTCCTCCAGGTGGATCACGTTTGGCCAAAACCCTCCACTATGACCTGTTCATCTTGGGTGCCCTGCTCGGCATAGTTCATAGCTTCTCTGAGTTATTCAAGCCCCTTCGCCACGGCAAGGCAGTGATCCATGAAGGGGTCCATGATCACTGCAGATGGTGACAGCAGCCATGAAATTAAAAGACGCCTGCTTCTTGGGAGAAAAGCAATGAAAAACCTAGACAGCATCTTAAAAAGTAGAGACATCACCTTGCCAATAAAGGTCTGTATAGTAAAAGCTATGGTTTTCCCAGTAGTGATGTATGAAAGTGAAAGCTGGACCATAAAGAAGGCTGATCGCCGAAGTATGGATGCTTTTGAATTATGGTGCTGGAGGAGACTCTTGAGAGTCCCATGGACTGCAAGAAGATCAAACCTCTCCATTCTTAAGGAAATCAGCCCTGAGTGCTCACTGGAAGGACAGATCGTGAAGCTGAGGCTCCAATACTTTGGTCACCTCATAAGAAGAGAAGACTCCCTGGAAAAGACCCTGATGTTGGGAAAGATGGAGGGCACAAGGAGAAGGGGACGACAGAGGACGAGATGGTTGGATAGTGTTCTCGAAGCTACCAGCATGAGTTTGACCAAACTGCGGGAGGGAGTGGAAGACAGAAGTGCCTGGCGTGCTCTGGTCCAGGGGGTCACGAAGAGTCGGACACAACTAAACGACTAAACAACAACAACAACAACAACAAAGTCATATAGGGCTTTATTGATAACAGACAGCACTTTGAATGGCGCTCCGTAGCCAGTGCAGCCAGGGTTAACCAACCCTGGTTAACAATCTGGCTGCAGCTCTATGAGCCAGTTGAGGTTTCTAAACCCTCTTCAATAGCAGCACCATGTTAACCGAAATCCAAACGGGTCTAATAACATGATCAAGTAAGCATGTAAGTCAATAAATAGGACAGAACTGCTGAAGCGCATGGAACATTTTCAGGCATGATGAAATAGGTATATAGAAATTATGCCTCAACGAGCCACGAGTGCGTCTTTGACGGTATTTATCATTCTAGGAAGCCGTCCAAGTCTTTGCTACGTTGAAGAATGAGGGTTATGCCCCATGTGCAGATAAAAGGCTGGTATGTTCAAACAGGAGATAATTACGCGGCAATTTACATGCAGAGACAGACAAAGAAAAGCATATATGGAATAATCAACTTTGCAAAACATTATTAAAATGGCCAGAGATGTTTTATTATGAGGACATAACCTCAAATGTATATGGCGTGTTCTTCAGACCTTACTTTGTTGGCCACAATCCCAAAGCAATTTGATATTATGAATTATTTGGTTTATAAAAAAACCCCGACTTCAATTAAATCAGCAAAGGCTGAAGCCTTAAGGTATGTCTCTGCTTCGGAAAATAGCTTCTCTGCATGGGGAGTTTTGCACTCTCAAGAAGCCTACCAAACAAAGGCAGGGTGTGTCTGTCTACACTACAAATTAAACCCAAATGAAACAGCCTCAGACCTGTTTAATGGAAATGGATCTCTAGCAAGGGAAAGTCAGGCATTGAAGTTCTGTGTAGGAGCCAATGATCTGTACCACAAATTCCCGGCGTCTTCACAAAACTAAAGCTGCAAAATGGTCCTTATGACAATGAAACCACTTCTTGGTTCCTTGTCTTGTATAGCAGTTGCACTAAATTCTATGAAATCTATATTATTGTCTTGTATTCTTATGGCTTACAGGGCTGATGGACGCCTGAATTGGAGAAAGTGTGTTGTTGATATGTTTGGTAAATTTTCTTAATCGCAAGTTGTAAAAGCTGGTTTCGCATTTCCAGAATCAGGATCTGTTAGTCTGGAAAACTAAATTCCAGGTCTGGCTCTCCTAGCATAGATTCCGTCTTGCGGGATGGGAGTGGGGATTATTATTATTATTTTACTACAATTTATTAAAAAAGAAAGAAAGAAAGAAGAAGAAGAAAAATAAAGAAAAAGCAGTTGAGGTTTCAAAAAAAAACTTCCAAACATTCTCATTGTACGTTATCTGTTAAATACACTTTTACCGCACTTATTTCTTCTATTTTTTTATCATATTTCTATGTAAATTGTCAACTACCTTTATATGCTACAAGGCTCATTCTAGGTCTGCCAGGAGATTACACTTTATACCATTGTTCTTCATATATTCTTTAAATATCCTCCATTCCTTGTGGACTTTTTGTTTTGTTTCTCCTCTAACTCTTCCCATCACCTTTGCTAGCTGCAAGTATTCTACCATTAATGTTTGCCAGTCTACTATATTAGGTGTTTTAGTATTTCTCCAAAAAATACTTAAAAAATGATTTAAAATAACATTTTTTTAAAAAGACCAGAAATATTTCTTTTAAGTATATTGCCAACTGAAAAAGGAAAATCGAAAAGACCATTGTTCACATATGGGGTAACCGCGGCCAGAATTTTAGTGGCAAGAAATTGAAATGGGGGGGGGGGCATTATTATTATTTTTAGAAAACTGGTTTATTTCTTAGGAACAGAGGAAGCTGCCTTACTCCACGGCAGAGAGACAGCAGACCCAATCCATACATTCAGAGCACATTTCTCCCACCCAAAGAATCCTTGGAACGGCATTGTGTGTGTGGGAATTTTAGCTCTTTGAGGGAGAAACTACAGATTTTCTGGGGGGATATTTTGTGGCTTTGAAGATGCATTGAATGTGCTTTAAATCCACGGTGCAGAACTGGCCCCCTCTAGCACAAGTCCTCTAGCGAAGAATGGTCTTCCCCATCACTTTTTTTAAAAAAATAATATTTATTATTTTTCCAGAAACTTAAACACTAAAAAAAGACAATGCAAAACATTAAATTAACAAAACAAAACAAAAACAATACAATAAATCAAACAGTTTCATTATCCCATCTTTCACTCACTTATTTCCGTGACCTCCTCACACCTCCCTTTTTGTATTCCACTTCTGATAATTATTTCAGCAATTCCTTTCCATCTTCCTCTGCTTTCTATCCTTTAATTATCTTAACAGATTCTAACCTTATTTTTTCCTTTAATGCTCTACTAACCTATCTGTACTTAATTCCTTATAACATTTCTACTAAAGCCATATAACTTCATTCCAACATTTTTCTAACATTCATTAATTTTACAATATTTCTGTAAATAGTCTTTAAATTTTTTCCAATCTTCTTCCACCGACTCTTCTCCCTGGTCTCGGATTCTGCCAGTCATTTCCACAGTTCCATATAGTCCATCAACTTCATCTGCCATTCTTCCAGAGTGGGTAAATCTTGTGTCTTCCCATCACTTGCCACCCCCTGATCATTTTAATGGGAGGTGCCAGGGCTTGAGTTCGAAAGCTGCCGCATGCAAGGCACAAAGGCTGCTCTCTACTCTCCTAGCAACCTTGCGGAAGACACCTTTCATTAGATCGGAGCTGAAGGAGAAGGTCCTCAGGACTTTCCCCAAAAAGGCCTCACTTTGGAAAAGCGTGGCTTCCTATGGGGATTCTGCTCTGGAGTAGGGAAAATGAGATTATCCACCCTTCCCTGCATTGGCCACTGCCCCCAGATGTTTCTGTCATCGCTTCTCAATATGTCTCTTCCTTCCTTCATCTATCAGCAACCTCATTTGCTCATTTTCTTGTCACTGCTGTTTCTTACCCCAAGGAGAAAGTGTTATGCAATAATGAGATGAGCAGAAGGAGGAGGGAGACAGTCTAGCGACTTGCGCTCAGGCGACTGGAGGCTGACGGCTCCTAAATTCTAATCGGGCACACATCTCCCCGGAGCCATGTCTTCTCGACTCGCTAGGCTCACCTAAATAAGCTAAGTTTTGGGGTGGGGTGGTTCCCCCCCTCCTCTGAGCAATCCCTTGCCAAGGCAATAGGAAAACCCCTCCGAGTTAGAATGAACATGTCTTTAATCAGGTGTCAGCCCTGATGGAAAGATGGAAAGGTAAGAGTCGGCTGGAAAATTTAAAAGGGAACCGCCTTTTCTTTGGTGGCAGAATAAAAGGACATGTTGTGAATTTCACATCCAGGATTGGAGATGGCAGAAAATAAACTATTATTATTAATAACAATTAAAGTTTTCATCTGTAGACCCCAGGGCAGTCCAGAGCATAGAAATACAAGATAAAAACACAAACTATATAATAAAAACAGGAACAAAACAAAACTTCTCTGTGGGTGTCGGGGAGATTCACCCATCAAGGGCCACGTTAATAATAATAATAATAATAATAATAATAATAATAATAATAATTTATTTATTTATTTATTTATCTATTTATTTATACCCCGCCTATCTGGCTGGGTTTCCCCAGCCACTCTGGGTGGCTCCCAACAGAATACGAAGAAGAAGAAGAAGAAGAAGAAGAAGAAGAAGAAGAAGAAGAAGAAGAAGAAGAGCAATAAAAGATCAAACATTAAAAACTTCCCTAAACAAGGCTGCCTTCAGATATCTTCGAATCTTCTAAAAGTCAGATAGTTGTTTATTTCCTTGACATCTGATGGGAAGGCATTCCACAGGGCGGGCGCCACTACCGAGAAGGCCCAGTGCCCGGTTCCCTGTAACTTGGCTTCTCGCAATGAGGGAACTGCCAGAAGGCCCTCGGCGCTGGACCTCAGTGTCCGGGCTGAACGATGGGGATGGAGATGCTCCTTCAGGTCTACTGGGCCAAGGCCATTTAGGGCTTTCAAGGTCAGCACCAACACTTTGAATTGTGCTCGGAAACATACTGGGAGCCAATGTAGGGCTTTCAGGACCGGTGTTATGTGGTCTTGGTGGCCACTCCCAGTCACTGGTCTAGCTGGCCGGGCTCCCTCCTGTGTGGACGGGCGGATGTCGCGACAAAGCCACACTTGGCTGCAGTGGCACGGGTTTGGCTGGCTCAGTGGGCTCACTCCCCCTGCCCCCCACCCAGTGCGCACCTGCCTGGTGCCGTCAACGGTGTTGTAAACAAAATCTGCCCTTATTCCCTTATGGGGGACGCAAGAGCCCTTATAGAGTCCTTTGTAGGTTCTCCATCGGTAGGAGAAAATAACAGAAGCAAAGCAGCTAGTAAGCCTGATCTTTATTGAACCCCTCACACGCAGGAAAGGAGGAGGACCCAGAACAAAGGTGTGCCTGCCCTTATACAGACATTTTAAATTGCCTTCCCTGGAGCTCAAGACCACCCCTCCATACATCATATATACATCACAGAAGGGGTGTAACCCAAAACCACCCCCCACAAATATCATACCTACATCACAGAAAAGGCGGTCTACAACAGAAATTTGAATGTTGTTATTTTTCCTGTCTGCCAGGTTATCTGATAATGCCTTATCTGATTGCCTTTCCTGGTAGTCTGGCCATTCCTTTGAGATGGTGATTACCCAATTCCTGAGACAATTGGAAGGCTCCCTCACCCCCTCCCTCCTTGCAGAGAAAACATTGGGTCAAAATGGTTTCAGAACGGTCTTCCTGTGCTGCTCCAGACATGTGGTCCCCATATCTATGTACGTGCTTGGCTGGTACATTTATGAACATTTATTATATATAGGTAAATGGACCCCTGACCATTAGGTCCAGTCGTGGCCGACTCTGGGGTTGCGGCGCTCATCTTGCTTTATTGGCCGAGGGAGCTGGCGTACAGCTTCCGGGTCATGTGGCCAGCATGACTAAGCCGCTTCTGGCAAACCAGAGCAGCACACGGAAACGCCGTTTACCTTCCCGCCGGAGTGGTACCTATTTATCTACTTGTACTTTGACATGCTTTCGACTGCTAGGTTGGCAGGAGCAGGGACCGAGCAACGGGAGCTCACCCCGTCGCGGGGATTCGATCCACCGACCTTCTGATCAGCAAGTCCTAGGCTCTGTGGTTTAACCCACAGCACCACCCACGTCCCTTATTATATATAGAAGACCTTCATTTTATTTATTACAGTGGCATCAACTGGGCTGGCCCAGCAGGTTCTGGTCACCCTCTGTGCCCGGGCAGCGTCCAACGATGCTGTGTTGCTGCTCTTGTGCAAAAGATGCTATGCTATGAAGTCTCTCACAAAGGAACAATTACTAAAGAGGCGGAAGGTTGCTGTAACCCTCCGTGGTAAAGCTTGAGAGATTGTATAACTAACTGTGGCTTCCCTTTTTCAAAGGAACCTCTGAAAAGGCAACAAGCAGGGGAGCTGCGAGGGAACCAGCACGGCACAGGAAATGAGCAAAGCACCATGGGTATATTTGCCAGGGTTTTACCTGTGTTATAAGGGGGAAAAACTGCTCCTTTTCCCTTATGGGGTATCCAAGAGCCCGTATGGAGTCCTTAAGTGGGTTCCTTATTGGTAGGAGAAAATAACAGAGGTCAACCAGAAAATATAGAGAAGCAAAGCAGCTAGTAAGCCTGATCTTTATTCAAGGAACTGTTGCAAAAGGGTCCCCACTCACCACAAGCAGAAGGGAGGAGAGAACCCAGAAAAATGGTGTGCGAGCCCTTATATAGACTTCTGAAATTGCCCACCCTGTAGCCCAAGACCACTACCCCTAAACATCATACATACATCAGAGAAGGAGGCGGTCTACAGCAGAAATCCTGTCTGCCAGGATACCTGATACTGGTCACTGATTGCTTTACCTGGGCAGCCTGGCCATTCTTTTGTGATGATCTGAATCCAGGTCATGGGCTCACCCTATTCACACACAAATACGCCCTTAAGACAGGATTTGCAAGCAAAAATCAATGGGGAGTCTTTCCCCATTTCTTCCCTCCTTGCTGAGAAATATATTGAGGTCAATTTGGGAGAGTCAAAATGGCCTTCCTGTACTATTTCAGACACATGGTTTTATATAGTTATGTGTGTGTTTGCCTTTATGAACATTTGTTTTATACTTGAGACCTCAGAATTCTTATAACACCTGCTCAGGATAATAATAATAATAATAATAATAATAATAATAATAATACAGTGGTGCCCCGCAAGACGAATGCCTCGCAAGACGGAAAACCCGCTAGACGAAAGGGTTTTCCATTTTTGAGTTGCTTCGCAGGACGAATTTCCCTATGGGCTTGCTTCGCAAGACGAAAATGTCTTGCGAGTCTTGAGATTTTTTTCGCTTTCCCCCCCTTTTTCTAAGCCGCTAAGCCGCTAATAGCCTTTTAGCAGCTAAGCCGCTGATAAGCCTTTAATAGCCGCTAAACCGCTAATAGCGCTAATCCGCTAAGCCGCTAATAGGGTTGCTTCGCAAGACGAAAAAACCGCTAGACGAAGACACTCGCGGAACGGATTAATTTCGTCTTGCGAGGCACCACTGTAATAATTTATTATTTATACCCCGCCCATCTGGCTGAGTTTCCCCAGCCACTCTGGGCAGCTCCCAATCGAGTGTTAAAAACAATACAGCATTAAATATTAAAAACTTCCCTAAACAGGGCTGCCTTCAGATGTCTTTTAAAGATAGGATAGCTGCTTATTTCCTTCACATCTGAAGGGAGGGCGTTCCACAGGGCGGGCGCCACTACCGAGAAGGCCCTCTGTCTGGTTCCCTGTAACCTCACTTCTCACAATGAGGGAACCGCCAGAAGGCCCTCGGCGCTGGATCTCAGTGTTCGGGCTGAACGATGGGGGTGGAGATGCTCCTTCAGGTACACAGGACAGAGGCCGTTTAGGGCTTTAAAGATCAGCACCAACACTTTGAATTGTGCTTGGAAACGTACTGGGAGCCAATGCAGATCTCTCAGGACCGGTGTTATGTGGTCCCGGCGGCTGCTCCCAGTCACCAGTCTGGCTGCCGCATTCTGGATTAATTGCAATTTCCAGGTCACCTTCAAAGGTAGCCCCATGTAGAGCGCATTGCAGTAGTCCAAGCGGGAGATAACTAGAGCATGCACCACTCTCGTGAGACCGTCTGTGGGCAGATAGGGTCTCAGCCTGCGTACCAGGTGGAGCTGGTAGACTGCCGTCCTGGACACAGAATGCTTCCTCCAAATAGCAAAAAAGGGTGACTGACGCCATTTCCCTGTACTTCTGCATCAGGGGATGAGAGAGTTCTGGCTGAATCCAAAAAGAGGGACCAGAAAAGTCAAAATGGCCTCTGCGGGAACAAACATCTCGTGCCGCGTAAGGAGGAGAAGGGACTCTCCAGCTTGCCACCAACAGACAGCAGAAAGGAGAAGGATGTTGGCAACTTCTTACAAGGTACTCCAGTTTCTACACACTTTAAGAAATAAAATACCTGCACCAAAGATGGGGAGAGGCGTATGGTTGGGATGACATTATAATGAGGTAGAAACGGAGCCAAGGGAGAAAACTGTCAGCAGTTTATCCATTTATGTGAATAGAGGAATAAATTTAACGGGATGTGTCGGGTTTAAAGAATTCCTTCTTCTCCCTTCTAGAAGTTACCTCAAGTGTCATCTGTTTTGTAAAAATTCATCACACACATACACACCCATCTAGCTTTCTAGTGTGGTTTGTCTGTACATAAAGGACTAAACTGCTTAATGTGTTTTGCTTAACTTTATGCACTTCTAACGCATAAAGTTATTTTTTCTTTGTGAAGACAGCTGTGACTTTCCATGAAAACTAGTCGCAGGCAAATAATTTTTTGTCACTCAGTTGTCATGTTTGTGACTGGTGTGAAGGTATTTCTCAGTCAGAAAGATGATCTCAACCCAGCCATTTGATGTTTGATATTTTAATTAGCCCTGTTTCCGATGTAAACTCAATAAAAGCTGAGTGTGTTGATCCTTCTGTCCTTCTGTGTCTCAGCTGGGTGAAATGAAAATACTGAGCAAAGTTCAATTGAGAGTTTTCTTTGTCCGCTAATCGGGCCTTTATGCATGTAGAAATTGAATTTATTTGATTTGTCCATCCTGATTTGAGGCATCTTGGTTGGAATTCTATACTTCTCACTATAGTGCAGAGGGTCTTTAATGAGCAAATTAATGCAGAGTCACAATGGCTTAGAGAAAAGTCTTTCTGTGTCTGCTCTTGCGATGATTCTTTCACATCAGCTTAATAGTGTTTCTACAGGTCTGTAGGGACTGGAACTACAATGCTTGAATAATTTCCTTATTCTCCTTCCTGTGGTATAATGATGTTCTCGTTTGCTAATGACCTTTTCAGAGCAGTGTCCTCTAGCTCTCTCAGCGGCCTTGCATTTTACAAAACCAGGATGAAAATTCAGGCTGGATGAAACAAATGCAGAGTTAGTGAAATCAGTGGACCAGCTCTGCCTTACCTCTATTGCCACCTCTCTACTCAATAACAACAACAACAACAAATTTATTTATATGCTACCCGCCTGACTGGGTTGCCCCAGCCACTCAGAATATTAAACACACAATAAAACATCAAACATTAAAAAACCTCCCAGTACAGGGCTGCCTGTCTTCTAAAAGTCAGAGAGTCGTTTATTTCCTTGACATCTGGTGGGAGGGCGTTTCACAGGGCAGGCGCCACTACCGAGAAGGCCCTCTGCCTGGTTCCCTGTAACCTCACTTCTTGCAGGAAGGGAACCACCAGAAGGCCCTCGGTGCTGGATCTCAGTGTCCGGGCTGAACGATGGGGGTGGAGACGCTCCTTCAGGTATACGGGGCCCAAAGCCTACTCTCTATAGGCTAGTCTGCAGGCAAACAGATCTTCCATTGATAGAGAATTTTTGTGCAAAAAGTGTTGACATAAGTGCATGTTTTGGACTGCTTTGCTCCTACCTGGTATATGCAACGTGTGCATAGCTGTCAACCGTCCCTTATTTGGAGGGAAAGTCCCTTATCCCAGCGCCATGTCCCGCTGCTGTCCCTTATTGATGATGTCCCTTAAATTTTCCGGGTTTCAAAGGAAGCAGCTCCTCTCCCTCCCTCCCTGCCGGCCAGGGAGGAGGGAGGCTCCAACTGTGTTGCTTGGCTGCGTTGCTCACCCAATAAGGAGTCTAAGAACGACTGGGGGGTGGAGCTTGCATGCCTTGTGCCGATCAAATCGGCCGCGTTGCCTGGGGACTCGCCTTTGCTCAGCGCTTCCCAGCGGAGAGGTGATGGTAGTTTTCCTTGCTGCATCCCCTTTGCCGGGTTGCTGCACTGTGGGAACCACCGCTTGAGGCTTCGTTTGGCTGCTGGCTGGGCTTTCTGCTTTTGGTTCAGAGGGGCTCAGAAGTCGAACATACCTGTGCTCTGAAAATCCCTTATTTTGGCTGCTGATCCCTTATTTCCGAGGCTGCTGGTCCCTTATTTTCAAATCTGTAAGTTGACAGCTATGAACGTGTGCCAAGCAACAGCTCCTAGCAATGACTTCCCAGAACATGTACACATGGTGTAGTACATGCCCTTTGCTGCGCATCCTGTGTTAAAAAGGCCCTTGATTCACTCTGACCACCTAGGTAAAAATGCCGTTCCATCATTTTTGATTTGGGATCGTAAGAGTGGCTACCCAAGGATCCTTCCCAAATTAAGACACAGCGTGTCTCCCCACCCTCTCTTCTTGCACAAAAAGAGATGCCAGCTAGCTTCAAGGAAGATGCTCAATTAAGGCCGTGAGCATGCGCCTCTGGGTAATTACTTTGATCACAATTTGCTTGCCGGAAGTTTAAAGAGCCTGGGCAAGAGGGAAATCAAACAAATGCAGCTCTTGATGGTTTCCACTTTGAGGGGATGTTGAGGATGGAATTATCAGGAAACTGCTTGGTGGAAGCGGTGCAAGGAACATGAGAGGGCACGCTGCTGTACAGAACCAGCTGAAAAAAATATATATCTCCATGCCAACAAGACCTAGATTGCAGAGTCGAGGGCCATTAAAAGTTTCCTGTCTTCGCAAGGCTGGATGCAATTCAGCTTTCTCGGTCGCTTATTATGATTTTAGCTAGGACAACAAAGGAAAAGCAAGCATATGATTTTGGTCTCTCTACATACCACCGGAGCCTTCGCAAAGAGCTGCATTTCAAAAAGCTCTTTGGGGGAAACCTATACCCCTTAAACTGCACTGGCGCTTAATTCAGATAGCCTCTCATGGTATTTCTGCTGTGGATTTGCAACTCAAGATGACCATGTTGTTGTTGTTTAGTCGTTTAGTCGTGTCCGACTCTTCGTGACCCCCTGGACCAGAGCACGCCAGGCACTCCTGTCTTCCACTGCCTCCCGCAGTTTGGTCAGACTCATGGGGACCAAAGGTGAACAAACTACCGTAGAAGGAACATGGCGTGTCCCCTGCCAGAGATACTACCTCTTCTCTAACACCCCATCCAACCCTAGGTATAAAACAGGGAAATTAAGATTCAAGTTTCCAGTGGCTGTAGTAATAATAATAATAATAATAATATATTATTTATACCCCGCCCATCTGGCTGGGTTTCCCCAGCTACTCTGGGCAGCTCCCAACAGAATATTAAAAACACAATAAAACATCAAACATTAAAAGCTTCCCTAAACAGGGCTGCCTTCAGATGTCTTCTAAAAGTCAGATGGTTGTTTATTTCCTTTACATCTGAAGGGAGGGCGTTCCACAGGGTGGGCGCCACTACCAAGAAGGCCCTCTGCCTGGTTCCCTGTAACCTCACTTCTCGCAGTGAGGGAAGCGCCAGAAGGCCCTCAGAGCTGGACCTCAGTGTCAGGGCTGAACGATGGGGATAGAGGTATACTGGGCCAAGTCAGAAATTAGTAGGAACATGACACTGCGCATTTTCGTAAGAGGCATTTTAGATGTGCCTAGAAGCCTCTCTGGACATCCCACAGAGGAACTTACGGTCTTCAAACAAAAACATCCTGAAGGTCCCAGGCCACAGGGAGGTTAGGCTGGCCTCAACCAGAGCCAGGGCTTTCTCGGCTGTGGCCCCGATCTGGTGGAACGCTCTGTCACAAGAGACTAGGGCCCTGCGGGACTTGACATCTTTCCGCAGGGCCTGCAAGACGGAGCTGTTCTGCCAGGCCTTTGGTCGGGGTTCAGTCTGACTCCCTCTCCCCTTTCATAAAAACTTGCATGAAAGTGGCCTCCCAATTTTTCTCACAGGCCCATATAAGTTCAGCACAAACAGTTGGGCCTGGGGAGCATTTAAGGTGCCCAACCCTAATCTGCGGGTTGCCATCCGATTGGATTTTATTCTGATCCTGATCTGATTTGAGGATGTATTTTAATTGATTGTCTGATTTTATGTTAATGTGTTATACTTTTGATGTTAGCCGCTCTGAGCCCGGCTTCGGCTGGGGAGGGCGGGATATAAATAAAAATTATTATTATTATTATTATTATTAGTGTGATATATTCACATATACAAAAAATTAATGTGCATTCCTGCCAGTGTAGGCTTTCATTTCCCACTACTCCCGAGGAGTTCTTACTCACCCTTCACTGAAAGCTCCCAAGGCCATTTGCAACAACAAGAGGTGTGCGATTTGAAGGGAAACAAAGCCCAGCAAACCTCAGCATGGTGTTGGTGGGAGAGAAGTCTGGCCAATACGGGCTTGATTCTGCTCTCCTTGCCGCCGTTCCTTACGGCTGTGTGGTCTTCTTTGATACCGCTTTTGCACCTGTGCAAAGCAGATGAAAGGAATTGCCCAGAGAGCAAATCAATTCTCAGATCAGCCTCATACATCGGGAATCAAAGGCTGAGCAGGCTGAGAACGGAATGGCGTGGATGGATTTGCCCAGGCGATTTGCAGGCGGTATAAACTGCCAAGGGAAGAGCCTCTTATGCATATATTTTTGCTGCTTTCCCTGTGGTTAAGGCAATGCTGAAAACTATGTCAAGTTGATACAGGGAAACCAGAACTGGAAAACCCATAGGAAGTCCCTTCACCGGGACGGCATGTGCGGCGAGGAAAAGGTGTAGATAATCCAGCCAATGGGAGGGTTTTCAAATGGGTATCTAGAAACAGCAGGATCTGGAATTCATCTAGATGGAGAGTCACATGTTGAGGACAATAATGGTTGCCCCAGCCACTCTGGGTTGTTTCCAACATAGATAAAAACATAATAAAACATTAAACATGAAAAAACTTCCATATACTGGGCTGTGTTCGGATATCTTCTAAAGGTTGTATAATATAGTTACTTATCTCCTTGGCTTGGGGAGGGGGGGAGAGTCACATGACTCCATACCCTCCAACATTTCTCTGATGAAAATAGGGACGTCCTAAGGAAAAGCAGGGATGCGGATGGCACTGTGGGTTAAACCACAGAGCCTAGGACTTGCCGATCAGAAGGTCAGTGGTTCGAATCCCCGTTGCTCCCGTTGCTCGGTCCCTGCTCCTGCCAACCAAGCAGTTCAAAAGCACATCAAAGTACATGTAGATAGATAGGTACCACTCCAGCGGCAAGGTAAACGGCGTTTCCGTGCGCTGCTTTGGTTCGCCAGAAGTAGCTTAGTCATGCTAGCCACATGACCCGGAAGCTGTACGCCGGATCCCTCGGCCAGTAAAGCGAGATGAGCGCCGCAACCCCAGAGTCGGTCACGACTGGACCTAATGGTCAGGGGTCCCTTTACCTTTACCTAAGGAAAAGCAGGGCATTCCCGGATCAAATCATGAAACTGGGACGGCTTCTGTAAATTTGGGACTGTCCCTGGAAAATAGGGACACTTGGAGGGTCTGTCAAAATTGTTATCAAGCTTAATTGTATAGTCAAACTTATTTTGCCTGTTCTTAAGTTAGGCTATAGGTAAAGGTAAATGGACCCCTGACCATTAGGTCCAGTCATGACCGACTCTGGGGTTGCGGCGCTCATCTCGCTTTACTGGCCGAGGGAGCCGGCATACAGCTTCCGGGTCATGTGGCCAGCATGACTAAGCAGCTTCTGGCGAACCAGAGCAGCACATGGAAACGCCGTTTACCTTCCTGCTGGAGCGGTACCTATTTATCTACTTGCACTTTGATGTGCTTTAGAACTGCTAGGTTGGCAGGAGCAGGGACTGAGCAATGGGAGCTCACCCCATCGCGGAGATTCGAACCGCCGACCTTCTGATCGGCAAGCCCTAGGCTCTGTGGTTTAACCCGCAGCGCCACCCGTGTCCCAAGTTAGGCTATAGAGATATCTAATGTTTTGACCAAAACAGAAACGTCGTTCTACTTCTGCAATATATTGAAGCACGTGGCAAAAGATTAGTAGGATTTTATAATATTATATAATATGAGGCAACTCCTTAAAGTATATCGGCGTTGATTTCCAGCGTAATTGGACCGAGACCGCTGTATAATATACATCAGACTATAGCGAAGCAGTGGCAGATTTCTCCTCCTGCGCACTAAAGAAAACAGGGCTGTGGGGGGGAGCCAAGGGAGCTTCTTTCTCTTAATCTGTGATTCTCCGGCATTTGTTAGCTAAACCGCTTAACTCCCCCAGCTCTCCATTGCTCACACCAGGGAAGTTCATAAAGTACACCTTTCCGCACAGCATGGGTTTTATCTTCCAGTTGATTTCTGCTTCTGAACTCCATACACACAGGCGCAGAAATCCTTGTGAGTAAGCCCGTAACAACTCGACCGTTTCAGTTCTGAAAACTCCCTCCAGAGTTGTATCCAAAGAGCTCATTTTATGTTAGCTCTTTTTTCCCCCCCTTTCCCTTTTCTTCTTCTTTAGGAAGAAGCTTGGCAAAAGAAGCAGCGAGGGAGGGGGAAATCCCAAAGATCTTAAACTGGCTTTTCTAGTGCTATTGATACAGAAGCGCAGGAGGTTTAAAACTCACGCAAGCCCCATAGCTCACTGTCTTTCTAATGTTGTGGACGACCTTCGCCTGCTCCATTTTGGCCCAAAGGCAACGTAGCTGAGATTGCGTAGACTTTTAACCAGGGCATTTTTTCAGCCAGAACTTGCCAGAACTCAGTTCCGGCATCTCTCACTGAGAGCCAGTGTGGTATAGTGGTTAAGAGCGGTAGTCTCGTAATCTGGGGAACTGGGTTCGCGTCTCGGCTCCTCCACATGCAGCTGCTGGGTGACCTTGGGCTAGTCACACTTCTCTGAAGCCTCTCAGCCTCACTCACCTCACAGAGTGTTTGTTGTGGGGGAGGAAGGGAAAGGAGAATGTTAGCCGCTTTGAGACTCCTTCGGGTAGTGATAAAGCGGGATATCAAATCCAAACTCTTCTCTTCTTCTTCTCAGGTGGGCGCCATTGCCATTACAAGAGAACAAGGTTCATGGCAACTCTTTTTCTAGGAAAATAGCTCTGCTTTTAGCTAGCCAGGCTGGACCAGAGGTATCTATAGGGAGCTATAGCTCCCCAGTGCTGGCTGCCAGCCACAAACTTCGCTGTAAACCACAGAGTAGCCTCCTTCCCAAGATGGAGGTCTTCTTTCTTAAAAGGGGTGCGGGTGGCGCTGTGGTCTAAACCATGAGATTCTTGGGCTTGCCGATCAGATGGTCGGTGGTTCGAATCCCTGCGACGGAGCGAGCTCCTGTTGCTTTGTCCCAGCGCCTGCCAACCAAGCAGTTCGAAAGCACACCAGTGCAAGTAGATAAATAGGTACCGCTGCAGCGGGACGGTAAATGGCGTTTCCATACGCTCTGGTTTCCGTCACGGTGTTCTGTTGCGCCAGAAGCGGTTTAGTCCTGCTGGCCACATGACCCAGAAAGCTGTCGGCAGACAAACGCCAGCTCCCTTGGCCTGAAAGCGAGATGCATGCTGCAACCCCACAGTCGCCTTTGACTGGACTTAACCGCCCAGGGGTCCTTTACCTTTACCTTTTTACCTTCTTTCTTAAAGCCACAGACAGGCTTCTGCCTTTGACACACTATTTGCAAGGCAGAGAATGTGTGAAAATCGACTTAACTTTTGTGAGAAAAACACGAACATGATAGATGAAACATAACGCATCTCCGCTTCAACACTTTCTTAAAACAGTGACAATCTGTGTGTTGCGAGGTTGTACTTTGGGTGCAAATTGCATTTCAGACCAATGTAATAAGTTGTTCCCACTCCCAGCCACAAAAAAACCAGAAGTGTAGCTAGCTATGATTTGGTACTTAGTGGGTGGGCAAAACAGGTCCCCCCCATGCTGAGAAGATGTGTGAGGAGAAGTGTGAAGGAAAGCCAAGGATCAGGATGTTATAAAGGGGCCAACTTCCTTGCTTTGATTTACGAGGGCCTCATCTCCAACTTCCCTGGGGATAATCAGCAGCAGAGGTGCATTTGTTTATGGGCAGCACATGCATGGCACAGATGATGGAATATTACCCTTTACAGGATGCGGGATGAATGTGAGCGATACAGTTACTTGCCCTTTGGACACTAGACAGAAGCCTGAGCTGCTCTCAGGACTTCAGTTTGATGCCATTCATAGAAGGCTTTGGTGCTGGGATGTGTGACGTCTCAAGGCTAATTCTTAAACTACAATCCCTCTCAGACTGTTGCTTTTCTCTTCTTCTTTTTTTATAAGATATTTATTAGGATTTTTAAAAATATTACAATAAAAATGAAAAAAAACAACACAAAATAAAAATGATTAAAAACACTCAGATTTTCCATTGCTTATTTTTCTTTAGCTTGTTTCCCGGACCTCCTCATACCTCCCTTTTTTGTATTCCAGTTCAGTTTGTTGGTTCAGCAAATCCTTACCCTCTTTGTTTATCCTAATCTTTGGTCTTAAAATAATAACGTTAGATTTTTACCTTTTAATAACCCCTTTTTCATATTCCCTTAAAGCATTACAGCTAGAAACCACTTAATTTCTATCCAACATCGTTCTAACATTCATTAATTTTACAGTATTTCTGTAGATAATCTTTGAACTTCTTCCAATCTTCTTCCACCGACTCTTCTCCCTGGTCTCGGATTCTGCCAGTCATTTCTGCCAGTTCCATATAGTCCATCAGCTTCATCTGCCATTCTTCCAGAGTGGGTAGATCTTGTGTCTTCCAATACTTTGCAATGAGTATTCTTGCTGCTGTTGTGGCATACATAAAAAAGGTTCTATCCTTCTTTGGCACCAATTGGCCGACTATGCCTAGGAGAAAGGCCTCTGGTTTCTTCAAGAAGGTATATTTAAATATCTTTTCAGTTCATTATATATCATTTCCCAGAAAGCCTTAATCCTTGGGCACGTCCACCAAAGGTGAAAGAATGTACCTTCAGTTTCTTTACATTTCCAACATTTATTATCGGGCAAATGATAGATTTTTGCAAGCTTGACTGGGGTCATGTACCGCCTGTAAATCATTTTCATAATATTCTCTCTTACGGCATTACATGCCGTAGAACTTCATACCTGTGGTCCATAACTGTTCCCAGTCGGCCATCATTATGTTATGACCAACATCTTGTGCCCATTTAATCATAACAGATTTCACCGTTTCATCCTGAGTATTCCATTTCAACAGCAAGTTATACATCTTTGACAAAATCTTAGTTTTGGGTTCTAATAGTTTCTAATTTTGATTTTTCCACCTGGAAACCAATTTTCTTATCCAAATTATATGCCTCCATTATCTGATAATAATGAAGCCAGTCTCGCACTTTGTTTTTTAATTTCTCAAAACTCTGCAATTTCAGTCTATCTCCATCTTGTTCCAAAATTTCCCAATATTTCGGCCATTTGGCCTCCATATTGAGCTTTTTCAGAGCTTTTGCTTCCATCGGTGACAGCCACCTTGGAGTTTTATTTTCCAATAAGTCCTTGTATCTTATCCAGACATTAAACAATGCTTTCCTGACGATGTGATTTTTAAATGCTTTGTGTGCTTTGACCTTATCATACCACAGATATGCATGCCATCCAAATACATTGTTAAAACCTTCTAAATCCAAAATGTCAGTGTTTTCAAGAAGCAACTATTCTTTCAACCAGCAGAAAGCTGCTGATTCATAGTAAAGTTTAAAGTCTGGCAGGGCAAATCCACCTCTTTCCTTTGCATCTGTTAATATTTTAAATTTTATTCTAGGCTTCTTGCCCTGCCAGACAAATTTAGAAATGTCTCTTTGCCACTTCTTGAAACAGTCCATTTTGGCCTACCCCCATCCCCTGTAGGTTCTTCTTCATAAAACTCCAAGAGATATTATCAAAAGCTTTCTCCGCATCCACAAATATCAAAACAGCTTTGGTATTTATGTTCACTTCTAGTTTTTCCAAAATATCAATTATATTCCTCAAATTATCGGACAAGTGTCTTCCCGGGAGAAAGCCCGCTTGATCTTTATGAATCTCTTCCATCAATACTTTTTTCAATCTCTTGGCCAAAATGTCTGCAAAAATTTTGTAATCCACATTGAGTAACGATATGGGGCGGTAGTTCTTAAGCTGAGTCTTTTCCGTCTCTGTCTTCGGTATAAGTGTAATGTACGCCTCTTTCCAAGACTCTGGTGCCCTTTTCCCTTCCAATATTTCATTGCAGACTTCCTTTAAAGGTTGTAATAGCCACTCTTTCAAAGATCTATAATATCTAGAAGTCAGCCCATCCGGTCCTGGAGATTTGCCTAATTGCATGTTTTGAATGGCACCTTCTACTTCCTGTTCAGATATTTTGTAGTTCAGCATTAATTTACTTTCTTGGGATTTTTTTTTAATCCATTTGTCTCAGAAATCAGTCTATATCCATTTCCTTCTGTGGCCCTTGTGTATATAGTTGTTTAAAATACCTCTGGAAACAATTTCTAATCTCAGTTTCTAATCTCAGTTGGGTTATGTATATTCTTTCCTTCCACTTCTAAATTTGTAATAGTATTTAATTTTTGTCTTTTTTTCATTTGCCAGGCCAGCAATTTCCCACATTTGTTAGCTGATTCAAATGTTTGTTGTCTCATTTGTTGCTTTTCTCAGGCAGGATTCAGTCACATATCGGCAAATACCAGTTTTACCACCACCATCCCACCCCATTCTGATTTGCTTACACAAAGCTTGCTTGTAAGTAGACCTGGTCTTCAGAAGCTTCCAGACTTCCGCTATATAGGAGGAATTCAGTCATATCCCATCAAATTCAGGTTGTGCAGTTATAGTCAATGTTCCTAGGGGAGGAGGAGTCTTGCACAACAAACATGCTTCTCTGAAAGATCAGACTTTTTGCAATAAGGAAAGTGGCAGGGAAATGGACTGGACAGGGTGGGATGATACTTCACGTCATCTACCCAGAAAACAAGTCAAAATGAATGTTCATTAAGTCGTCTTCGTAATCTAGCCTCCCTGCATACCAAATCAGGACAGATGCTCAATAAACAGATCATCTGGAAGCACCCCTCTTTAGCATGAGATATATTCTCCTCCACACTTCTGCCAGGAATGTAGGAAACGGGGGGGGGGGGAGGCGACATGGTTACTTCCCAGTACCAAAACTGGCACGAAAAGTACCTGCATCTCCCCATTTTCCTACATTGCCAGACCAGCATGGCGTGAGAAACAGCCATGTAAAAGTATGGCATTTGCAAACTTGAACCCCCCTCAGTTTGCGTTTCAGTTGGGCAGCTTTGGAATCAGCTGCCTTAATAACTGTCTCAGACATTATCGCCTGAACAGGACATAAGGTAAAGGTAAAGGGACCCCTGACCATTAGCTCCAGTCGTGACCGACTCTGGGGTTGTGGCGCTCATTTCGCTTTACTGGCCAAGGGAGCCAGCATACAGCTTCCAGGTCATGTGGCCAGCATGACTAAGCCGCTTCTGGCGAACCGCCCAGAAATGGAAACAAGAAGAATTGCCCACGATAGAAGAATGGAGAATGAAAATGATGGACTATGCTGAACTTGATAAATTAACAGGAAGGATCCAGAATCGACGCGACCAGAGATTCACAGAGGACTGGAGTAAATTTACAGAATATATGCAAAAATTAAGTGATAATCAGATAACGTTTGTAAGTTTTAAGGAGGTTTTGTGATAATATTAATTAGAAATATTGTTTAAAAATTAAGGTAAAAGTAAAATAATATTGTAGTGCATTATTAAATTAAGAAATGTGGAAGAAGTAAGTAAAATGGGGGATTATCAGACAAGCTGAGGGAAGTCAAAAAGGAGAAATTGGTGATAAAAATAAAGATGTTTTGATTGTACAATTTTGTATTGGAAAATGAATATATATATATATATATATATATATATATATATATATATATAGCCGCTTCTGGTGAACCAGAGCAGCGCACGGAAATGCCGTTTACCTTCCCGCTGGAGTGGTACCTATTTATCTACTTGCACTTTGACATGCTTTCGTACTGCTAGGTTGGCAGGAGCAGGGACCTGAGCAACGGGAGCTCACCCCGTCGCGGGGATTCAAACTGCTGACCTTCTGATCGGCAAGTCCTGGGCTCTGTGGTTTAACCCACAGTGCCACCCGCGTCCCTAGTGCTAGTTTTACGTATAAGCTAAACAAGCTATAGCTTAGAGTCCCACTCTCTTGCCCCCCCCCAAAAAAATTCACTATTAATATACTTCTTCTTAACTGTATTTCAGTTCAACCATTACTTTGATAAAATACATATTCTGTTAGGCCCATAAATTACCATATAGCATATATTCAACACAAAAAACAGGGACAATTTGTTGTTGACAAAGGACAGCTGGATATATAAAGGGCCCCATTACCTTCAGTAGCTTAGGGCCTCATCAAACCTAAATCCGCCCCTGGCGCAGTCCCACAATCCCATCTCCCATTCCCATTCTCAAGTTTCTTCACCGCCACCCTTGCTCCTTTGCTTCCATCCAGGGCATTCCTGCAATAGCACTATTTCTTATCTGGGCAGACAGCAAAGCAATGATGATACCCAGCTCTACCTCTCTTTCAAAGCAGAACCAGTGAAGGTGGTGAAGGTCCTGTGTGAGTGTCTGGAGGCAGTTGGAGGATGGATGGCGGTTAACAGATTGAGGTTGAATCCTGACAAGACAGAAGTACACTGACAAACTGGAACGTGTCCAGAGGAGGGCAACCAAAATGGTCAAAGGCCTGGAAACGATGCCTTATGAGGAACGGCTAAGGGAGCTGGGCATGTTTAGCCTGGAGAAGAGGAGGTTAAGGGGTGACATGATAGCTATGTTCAAATATATAAAAGGATGTCACATAGAGGAGGGAGAAAGGTTGTTTTCTGCTGCTCCAGAGAAGCGGACACGGAGCAATGGATCCAAACTACAAGAAAGAAGATTCCACCTAAACATTAGGAAGAACTTCCTGACAGTAAGAGCTGTTCGACAGTGGAATTTGCTGCCAAGGAGTGTGGTGGAGTCTCCTTCTTTGGAGGTCTTTAAGCAGAGGCTTGACAACCATATGTCAGGAGTGCTCTGATGGTGTTTCCTGCTTGGCAGGGGGTTGGACTCGATGGCCCTTGTGGTCTCTTCCAACTCTATGATTCTATGATTCTAAGTACTTGGGGGGACAGGAGGCGGGCAGGTGTGGAGGACTCCTGGTCCTGAAGGACCAGGTGCACAGCCTGGGAGTCATTTTGGACTCAGAGCTGAACACAGAGGCACAGGTCAATTCTGTGTCCAGGGCAGCTGTTTACCAGCTCCATCTGGTATGCAGTTTGAGACCCTACTTGCCCATGGACTGTCTCGCCAGAGTGGTGCATGCTCTAGTTATCTCTTGCTAGGACTATTCCAATGCTCTCTATGTGGGGCTACCTTTGAAGGTGACCCAGAAACTACAACTAATCCAGAATGCGGCAGCTAGAGTGGTGACTGGGAGCGGCCGGCGAGACCACATAACACCGGTCTTGAAAGATCTACATTGACTCCCAGTACTTTTCCGAGCACAATTCAAAGTGTTGGTGCTGATCTTTAAAGCCCTAAATGGCCTTGGTCCAGTATACCTGAAGGAGCGTCTCCACCTCCATCGTTCTGCCCAGACACTGAGGTCCAGCACTGAGGGCCTTCTGGTGGTTCCCTCACTGCAAGAAGCCAAGTTACAGGGAACCAGGCAGAGCACCTTCTCGCTAGTGGCACCCGCCCTGTGGAACACCCTCCCACCAGATGTCAAAGAGAAGAACAACTACCAGACTTTTAGAAGACATCTGAAGGCAGCCCTGTTTAGGGAAGCTTTTAATGTTTAACAGACCATTGTATTTTAATATTTTGTTGGAAGCCGCCCAGAGTGGCTGGGGAAACCCAGCCAGATGGACGGGTTATAAATAATAAATTATTATTATTATTATTATTATTATTATTATTATTATATCCTTCTTGGCCTCGTACACAACAGCAAGGTGGTCTTCAGGTTACAATGCCCAGCAGTGCAAAGCTAGGAAGCTGCCACATTCTGATTCAGGTCATTAGTTTAGTATTCGGTCTGCACCGAATAAGCTGTGGGTTAAACCACAGAGCCTAGGACTTGCCAATCAGAAGGTCGGCAGTTCGAATCCCTGCGATGGGGTGAGCTCCCGTTGCTTGGCCCCTGCTCCTGCCCACCTAGCAGTTCGAAAGCACGTCAAAGTGCTAGTAGATAAATAGGTACTGCTCCGGTGGGAAGGTAAACGGCGTTATGCTGTTAGTCATGTTGGCCACATGATCCGGAAGCTGTATGCTAGCTCCCTCGGCCAATAAAGCGAGATGAGTGCTGCAACCCCAGAGTCAGCCACGACTGGACCTAATGGTCAGGGGTCCCTTTACCTTTACCTAACTCCAGAGCAGCATTGTCTTTAAGGCCAATAATATAAATGACATGTGTATGTCACTTAAAAGTATTTCCTCACCAACCCAGCCACCACCTGCCGATCCCTAAACGCTGTGTTGTTTTCCTTGGCAATCACTTGTCTTTGGAAGAGCTGTTTGTTTTTACAAATAATAATGACGATCTCTTTGAAGACCACACGCACCTAGGAGGTATGAAAGGGAGAAGTTGCAATCTTGTTCACCAAGGGGTGGGGAACTAGATCTGCCCACCTGTCAACCTCCACACGTCGCAATGGCATCAGGTGACCTGTTTTGATGTACAGTGGTACCTCAGGTTACATACGCTTCAGGTTACAGACTCCGCTAGCCCAGAAATAGCGCTTCAGGTTAAGAACTTTGCTTCAGGATGAGAACAGAAATCGTACTCTGGCAGCGTGGCGGCAGCAGGAGGCCCCGTTAACTAAAGTGGTGCTTCAGGTTAAGAACAGTTTCAGGTTAAGTACGGACCTCCGGAACAAATTAAGTACTTAACCCGAGGTACCACTAAGCAGGCCCAGCCTGTCCTAGACCATATATCTATAACTTATTTAGGGGTCTATGGGGTGTTAGGGGAGGGGCTGTTATTGGGTTATTGTTTTTATTGATTTTATATATTGTGATCTTTTCTGTCAACCGCCCTGAGACCTCTGGGTATAGGTAAAGGTAAAGGGACCCCTGACCATTAGGTCCAGTCGTGACTGACTCTGGGGTTGCGGTGCTCATCTCGCTTTATTGGCCAAGGGAACCGGCGTAAAGCTTCCGGGTCATGTGGCCAGCATGACTAAGCCGCTTCTGGCGAACCAGAGCAGCGCACGGAAACGCCGTTTACCTTCCCGCCGGAGCGGTGCCTATTTATCTACTTGCACTTTGACGTGCTTTCAAACTGCTAGGTTGGCAGGAGCAGGGACCGAGCAACGGGAGCTCACCACGTCGCGGGGATTTGAACCGCCGACCTTCTGATCGGCAAGTCCTAGGCTCTGTGGTTTAACCCACAGCGCTACCCGCGTCCCTTCTCCGGGTATAGGGCGGTATATAAATTCAATAAATAATGGTGATGATGATGATGGGTTGTGATGTGTAGAATTCCCATATGTACTTTTGCATAGCTTTTTCTGCATGTGGTACTTGGTGGATGGGGAAAAGAAGGGACCAGTAAGAAATAGATGGCCTGGAAATATCATTCTTGGTGTTTGCTTAAATCTAAAAGAAAAGCCAGCATAAATCAGAGTGGTGGTACTTGGCTCTTAGCACTGCTGTGGGATTTTCTTGAAAATTTTTGGAGCAAGTGCCCCCTCTATCGACATCACAACATCCTCTGAAACCAGGTTTTCTAATCTGATTGAAGCTGGTTTACCAAGAAACTACAGGAACAATATGGACTATGGCTAATGCCAAATTGTTTCTCAATTTGATCCTTTTACATGGTTTCGTATGTATTGTGGTATTTTATGCATTGTGACTGGCAGTTATTTATATGGAACGTAGTTTAGTAATTATTTATCGTAATTGTTAAGAGTGAATTTCTGTTTATTATTTGCTGGTGTTTTGAGAGTTAATTTTATTGTGTACTATAATGTTCTAATAGATAATTGAATATGACTTTATTTGATACAAGTCGTTCCGTTCTAAAGTTATGTTTCATTACGAGTTTTTGTATTGCATCAGATTATTATATGGTGTGCGTTCTTTTTTTTTCTTGCTGCAAACTGCCTTGTGTATCATAATATAGAAAGGCATTATGCAAATTAAGAGTGAAATGAAATGTGCCTTCGAAAACCAGCAGTGGGAGCACATTGGAAGCAGAGCAAACCACAATGCAAACATGTTGTTGTTGTTGTTTAGTCGTTTAGTCATGTCCGACTCTTCGTGACCCCATGGACCAGAGCACGCCAGGCACTCCTGTCTTCCACTGCCTCCCGCAGTTTGGTCAAACTCATGCTGGTAGCTTCGAGAACACTGTCCAACCATCTCGTCCTCTGTCGTCCCCTTCTCCTTGTGCCCTCAATCTTTCCCAACATCAGGGTCTTTTACAGGGAGTCTTCTCTTCTCATGAGGTGGCCAAATTATTGGAGCCTCAGCTTCAGGATCTGTCCTTCCAGTGAGCACTCAGGGCTGATTTCCTTCAGAATGGAGAGGTTTGATCTTCTTGCAGTTCATGGGACTCTCAAGAGTCTCCTCCAGCATCATAATTCAAAAGCATCAATTCTTCGGCAATCAGCCTTCTTTATGGTCCAGCTCTCACTTCCATACATCACTACTGGATCACTAATGCAAACATCACTAATGCAAGCATACTCTCACTGAACTCAGTGAGACTTACGGCTTATCATAAGCCTCTGCTCTTTCCAGGTACAGCCTGCACTTTAAAACTTCATGTCTGAGTGCCTCCCCCCCCCCACCCTTCTTCTTCTTCTTCTTCTTCTTCTTTTTTGCTCTGGAGCTTTCCCTGCAGAAACCTGCTCTTCAAAGTTTAGTTGGAGCAAATGCAAGCCATAGGTAAAGGTAAAGGGACCCCTGACCATTAGGTCCAGTCATGACCAACTCTGGGGTTGCGGCGCTCATCTCGCTTTATTGGCCGAGGGAGCCGGCGTACAGCTTCCATGTGGCCAGCTAGACTAAGCCACTTCTGGCAAACCAGAGCAGTGCACAGAAATGCCGTTTACCTTCCCGCCGGAGCGGTACCTATTTATCTACTTGCACTTTGACGTGCTTTCGAACTGCTAGGTTGGCAGGAGCAGGGACCGAGCAACGGGAGCTCACCCCGTCGCGGGGGTTCGAACCGCCGACCTTCTGATCGGCAAGTCCTAGGCTCTGTGGTTTAACCCACAGCGCCACCCACGTCCCTTTAATGCAAGCCATAGAAAACTCAAATTCATGTTTGCCCCGGCTGAGTGCTAAAAAGCGGGTTTTCGCAGGGAAAGCAAAACAACGCTGACACAAGCTTGGATCTGTTCCTGGAAATAGTGGGCAAATGGTAGATGTGGACAAACCCTGACTTCTAAGCAGACGTGTATAGGATCGTGCTGGTCATCTCACAGTCTTTGTAAAGCCCATCTTTCTTCATTCCTTTGGGCTGTTGCTCTCACTATACTTGCCTGATTAGATATTAGTTTGGGCTGCTGTTAGCTTCTGCAATAATCACTCTGTTAGTCAAGAGTGTTGCAGGAAACCACCACCCCCCAATCATTTTGTTTGTATAAACTCAACACACACACGACATACGCGATGTTTCTGTTATAAATTCATAGAAAATCAACCGTACATTGGATCTACACCGGTCCACTTTTATTTTGCTCCATGAAGGAAGGACTATCAAAAGGGGATGGTTTGATACAGGGCGGCCATAATCCCTTGAGTGTACCAACATGTACCCAGGAGCCCTACCCAGTTGGCATGCCAACTGTGATGGTCCCAGACAGAACATCAAGGACACAAAGGACTTGCATATGGGAGTGGATTCAACACAGACTGAAACAAAGGACAGTGATCAGCTCTTCCCTCTGGGGGCAGGAAACTGCCACCTCCCCTTTGTCCTCTGGAAAGTACTCATGGGGAGGGGGAAAGGTGGAACCGGCCAGGTGACAAGACACTCAGGTTACCATCACAACTCCTTCCTCAACCCCTCCTTTTTGTGATGTGTCAATGATGTAGTCATGATGTAGTTGTGATGTAGTTCTAGGGGTGTAGCTTGGGAGATTAGTAACTAATAAAAGTTGGGGTCTTCTTTTGTTCTGGGCTTCCATCTTGTTTCACCTGGTGGCAGGTGGGAGTCCTGTCGCGACAGTCTTCAATAAAGACCAAGCCTACTGGTTGCTGTTTTGCTCTGGTATTCCTGGCTGGTGTCCTTGTTTTCTGTCCAATAAAAGTGGACCGGTGCAGATCCGATGTACAGTTGATTTTCTATGAATTTATAACAGAAACATTGCGTATGTTGTGTGTGAGTGTGTGTGTGTGTGTGTGTCGAGTTTGTACAAACTAAATGATTGGGGGTTGGGTTTCCTGCAACAAGAGCTCGCTCATCTCAACGGCATTTGACTCTGGGGCCTTTGGTGCTCCAGAATGTACTTTAGAAACTACTGCAAGAAAAATCTATGCACAGTGCATGTTTTACTTACCTTCTGCATCAGAACTTTCCAAACTGTGTGTCGCGACATGTTAGTGTGACGGCTTCTGTGTGTAAGTGTGTTGTGTTAATGCTCCCTGCCCTCCTCCCACAGGGCTGGAAAGGGGTTAGTTTAACCTCTGGTTTGCTAGTAAAAATAATTTCTGTGTCTCGAAATGATGCGTGTCCAAAAAGTGTGTCACCAACGTGAAAAGTTTGGAAAGCTCTGTTCTACATCATTTCAGTTACGTTCCGTGTCATATAAATGTAGTAACAGGGTCAAATACCACCAGTATACAAAACAGTGAGGCATCTGAACTAAGTACTGATGGTTTGTGTTCAGTGGGATCAGTAAAATAAACTACAAAACAAAAACCCAAAGTTTGGAATCCCCTCCAAACCGGTGCCAAACTTTTGCAGTATTTCTGTGTTTTGCAGCGAAGACCCCCACATTTTGCAGCACCCCACAAACTGAACAACTGATAGATCAAACGCAGGGATCCCACATTTTGGAGTTCGTAGTTAATGTTAAGTACTGTTATAAGAATGTTAAGGTCTAAATATATATATATATATATATACACACACACACACACACACACACACACACACACACACACATATTAGAGGTTCATAAATGTAGCAAGCAAACCCATACAAATATGTAAATATGTAAACCTCATGTCTGAAACCCACAGAAAATTCCTGAAACCATTTTCTCTCTCCCAAAATGACCTCAAATATTTCTCTGCAAGGTCGGAGGAAATTGGAAATCTGCCATTGGCTCTTTCACAAATCCTGTCTTAAGGGCACATTTAAGATATGAATAGGGTATAAGCCTGTGACCTGGATTCAGGAATTGAGTAACAAAAGAGTGGCCAGTATGCCCAGGTAAGCCAATCGAGCAACCTAGCAGACAAGAGAAAAAAACAACGCACTCAGATTTCTGCTGTAGTCCGCCCCTCCTGTGATGTATGTATGATGTTTCTAGGGGTGGTCTTGGACTTCAGGGTGGGGAATTTAAAATGTCTATATTAGGGCTTGCACACTTTTGTCCTGGGTCCCTTTCCCACTTCTCTGTGTGTGGGGGAGCACCCTGTTGCAACAGTTTTAATAAAGATCAGGCTTATAGCCGCTTTGCTTTTGTATATCCTGGTCTGGTCTCTGTTCATTTCCCGACAGGTTTGAACCTTAAAAGGTACGCTCTCTCCGAAGGTCCAGTTTTCCTTAAGAAGCTGAACCCCTTGAACGGACCCCATTTTCATTCTTATTTCAGTACGAACCCTATGTTTGATGTATTGATTGCTCAGTTTGTGGGGCGCTTCAAAATGCTGCAAAAAAAACACACTGCAAAACTTTGGCACATGTTTCCAGAGGACCCCAAAGTTTGGGGTTCGTAGTTAATGCTCCCCAGTTTGATCTCTTTCCAGCTCAAGACTGCACAACTCATGCTCCCAACACAGCTGGCTAGCAGTTTGCAAATTCCCTGTACAGTGGTACCTTGGTTTGCATACATCTTGGTTTGCATATGTTTTGGGTTTTGTTTTGTTTTTTTGTACTTAGTGTCTTTTATTCAACATTTCAATTTATCTGCACACATTCTAAGATAAACAACTTTTCTTCCCTATACATATTTAATCAATTTAAATAAATAAAGATGCACAATTAGATTTTAAAAAACAGTGTATAACGAACAAAATACCTTCATGAATATAGCAAGCTTTAATTCAGCCATCTGAAACACAGCACTTTTCACTCTAATTAATTTTAAAGGGAGAGTTATTTTACTTAACTTGTTCCCACTGAAAGTGTTCCTGGATTTTTCGGTTAAGGACGCAGAGCTTTTGTTTGCCTATGACTATATATAGAGAGACAGACACACACACACACACACAGGCACATATCATATTAGGCATATGTTGTTTACACTTTTGAAAATCCTGTAAGGACATCAAGACAGCTTTTGGAATTCTGCATGAGAAAGGCTTGAGGAAGTCGAAAGTTTGGTAAATTTTAACAACTACACTTGCCCCCTCTGTTTCATGAGATGAACAAGATTCTAGGAAACAAATGGTAACATTTCACATACATTTTGGATTACAAACACATCAAACCCGAAAGTGCGTGTCCTTGGTTTGCAACCTTTTTTTTGGGATTACAACCCATTTTTTTATTTTTATTTTTTGGATTATGAACTAATTTATTTTGGAGGCCCCATTGGCAAAAGTGTGCCTTGGGTTACAACCTGTTTTGGTTTACAAACGGACCTCCAGAACGGCTTATGATTGTAAACCACTGTATTTGCAAAAATAATAATACAACAATGGAGCTTTATCACCCCCTGGTGGCTGAACAGACATTGACCGTCGTCTATATATTCTGCTTTGTATGTTGCCAAGGCCTGTTCTACCTTAACTTGTAACATACAATTTTTTTGCTCTGTCCCCACTGCAGATACAGAAAAACAACTGGACAATTTGCCCCAGTCAGCTAGCCCCTCACACCTGGAACCACACATTGTCCATCCCACCAGGATTTCTGCATCAGATAGGTAAGTATATGAAATGGGACGGCCGCTAGCGTTTCCAAGGGCTGAGTCTCTCATGGAATTCTACTAAATATTGATCCAGAGCAGAACTCCAACGTATAGTTAGCAGAGTAAAAACTTAAACACGTTGCGGGATTCCACCCCAAAATAGACCAGAGGCAATTGAATTTCATCCAGCAGAGCTTTACGGCTACTGAAGGCACGTGAGCGTAATGGTCACAAATCCAATACAGTAGTACCTTGGGTTACAGACGCTTCAGGTTACAGACTCCACTAACCCAAAAATAGTACCTTGCGTTAAGAACTTTGCTTCAGGATGAGGACAGAAATCACGTGGTGGCGGCGTGGCAGCAGCAGGAGGCCCCATTAGCTAAAGTGGTGCTTCAGGTTAAGAACAGTTTCAGGTTAAGAACGGACCTTCGGAACGAATTACAGTAAGTTCTTAATCCAAGGTACCACTGTACATTCAGGACAGGCGCTGTCCATAAGAAATCCAATTGCAGCAGACTTAACAGTAACATAATAAGTCTAAATCTTAACATTATACAGTGGTACCTCGGGTTAAGTACTTAAAAAAGTGAAGTAAAAAAAGAATGGGAGTGCCTAAATGAATACCTCAAAAGTCAAGGTTCGAGGGCAGAAATCTGGCTGAGTCTGGAATAACCTTGTGAAGTGAAAGGATATGAAAGAAGGATTTACATCTAGATGTTAGGATAGAGATGATAAAGAAAACAGGAAAACAGGAAGACACAATGAGAGATAAAGGAGGTGCTGTGGGATTGGTGGAAGTCACTGTCTTGTTGTTGTTGTTTTAGAGTTTATAATATTAACTTGTAAGATATGGATTTGGGGTTTTTTGTTTTGTTTTTGTTGTGTGTTTTTTAGTTTTTGAATGTTGATTTTTGTGTGTTGTGTATTGTTATTTTTTGATATCTTTCGTGTTGTTATTGTTGTGTGGAAAATACAAATAAAATTCATTTAAAAAAAAAGAATGGGTCATAAGAGGAATACGTCGCCTAAATTACAAACATTTCCTTCTGAATAAGTTTGTAGCCTTCTTTGATTGTAACAAAGCTCAGTTTTCTGTTGAACGAGACAGTAGCCAAGTGGGGTCAACCTTTTGTATCTCACTTGGACGGGTTCATTAGTAAAATAAGACCTGTGTTATGGCATCGTCTTGGCCCAAAGCAAGGGTGACAAGTAAATCTTGAATTCTAGTAAACCTCCAGGCAAAAGAGATGGATCTCTTATGTATTCTGGGCCCAAGCTGCTGTAATCTCTCTATTTCCCAAATAGCACCTGGATGGATTCTGGAAGGCTATAGAAAGGCAGCGTGGATGCTAGGACCATGATGGGGTTGGGGATGCTTCACAATGGGCAACTGTCAGGGAAACAGAGTGCACCATGAGGCTTTTGAGATGCTGAGATGAAAGGGGCATCCTTTTTATTATTAACCGTGGAGAAAAGTCTTGGGACTGCCATTAAAGGCACAGGAGAATATTATTTCCTTTTTGCAGTAGCGAGGAGGACAAGAAAAGAAAGGCAGCTCTGCCCATTACAATTACATGAGTTGTGCCTCGTGGGGTTTCATAGCTTGCAAGCAAATAAAAACAAACTTAATGTGGGCTGTTTCGGGGGCAGCAGGTTGTTGTTGTTGTTTAGTCATTTAGTCGTGTCCGACTCTTCGTGACCCCATGGACCAGAGCACGCCAGGCACTCCTGTCTTCCACTGCCTCCCGCAGTTTATTCAAACTCATGCTGGTAGCTTCGAGAACACTGTCCAACCATCTTGTCCTCTGTCATCCCCTTCTCCTTGTGCCCTCCATCTTTCCCAACATCAGGGTCTTTTCCAGGGAGTCTTCTCTTCTCATGAGGTGGCCAAAGTATTGGAGCCTCAGCTTCAGGATCTGTCCTCCCAGTGAGCACTCAGGGCTGATTTCCCTAAGAATGGATAGGTTTGATCTTCTTGCAGTCCATGGGACTCTCAAGAGTCTCCTCCAGCACCATAATTCAAAAGCATCAATTCTTCGGCGATCAGCCTTCTTGATGGTCCAGCTCTCACTTCCATACATCACTACTGGGAAAACCATAGCTTTAACTATACGGACCTTTGTTGGCAAGGTGATGTCTCTGCTTTTTAAGATGCTGTCTAGGTTTGTCAATGCTTTTCTCCCAAGAAGCAGGCGTCTTTTAATTTCATGACTTCTATCACCATCTGCAGTGATCATGGAGCCCAAGAAAGTAAAATCTCTCACTGCCTCCATTTCTTCCCCTTCTATTTGCCAGGAGGTGATGGGACCAGTGGCCATGATCTTCGGTTTTTTGATGTTGAGCTTCAGACCATATTTTGCGCTCTCCTCTTTCACCCTCAATAAAAGGTTCTTTAATTCCTCCTCACTTTCTGGTATCAAGGTTGTGTCATCTGCATATCTGAGGTTGTTGATATTTCTTCCAGTGATCTTAATTCCGGCTTGGGATTCATCCAGCCCAGCCTTTCGCATGATGAATTCTGCATATAAGTTAAATAAGCAGGCTGACATTATACAGCCTGGTCGTACTCCTTTCCCAAATTTTGAACCAATCAGTTATTCCATATCCGGTTCTAACTGTAGCTTCTTGTCCCACATAGAGATTTCTCAGGAGACAGATGAGGTGATCAGGCACTCCCATTTCTTTATTTATTTATTTTATAATAATATTTATTAGTTTTCCAACAAATTGAACACAACACTACAAAAAACCAAAAAAGAAAAAACATACAATAATACAATACAATACAAAAAAACCCAAAAAAAACCACTGCAAAACACTAACATACAACTAACAAAACAAAACAAAAACCATTTAAAACACAGTCCAATTTCAATATCTTATCTTTCTTCACTAATTTCCACGACCTCCTCACACCTCCCTTTTTGTATTCCACTTCTATTAATTGTTTCAGCAATTCCTTTCCATCTTCCTCTGTTTTCAGGCACTCCCATTTCTTTAAGAACATGCCATAGTTTGCTGTGGTCGACACAGTCAAATGCTTTTGTGTAGTCAATGAAGCAGAAGTAGATGTTTTTCTGGAATTCTCCAGCTTTCTCCATAATCCAGCGCATGTTTGCAATTTGGTCTCTGGTTCCTCTGCCCCTTTGAAATCCAGCTTGCACTTCTGGGAGTTCTCGGTCCACACACTGCTTAAGCCTGCCTTGTAGAATTTTAAGCATAACCTTGCTAGCGTGTGAAATGAGTGCAATTGTGCGGTAGTTGGAGCATTCTTTGGCACTGCCCTTCTTTGGGATTGGGATGTAGACTGATCTTCTCCAGTCCTCTGGCCACTGCTGAGTTTTCCAAACTTGCTGGCATATTGAGTGTAGCACCTTAACAGCATCATCGTTTAAAATTTTAAGTAGTTCAGCTGGAATACCATCACTTCCACTGGCCTTGTTATTAGCAGTGCTTTCTAAGGCCCATTTGACTTCACTCTCCAGGATGTCTGGCTCAAGGTCAGCAACCACACTACCTGGGGTGTATGAGCCATCCATATCTTTCTGGTATAATTCCTCTGTGTATTCTTGCCACCTCTTCTTGATGTCTTCTTCTTCTGCTTCTGTTAGGTCCTTTCCACCTTTGTCCTTTATTATGGTAATCTTTGTACGAAATGTTCCTTTCATATCTCCAATTTTCTTGAACAGATCTCTGGTTTTTCCCATTCTGTTGTTTTCCTCTGTTTCTTTGCATTGCTCGTTTAAGAAGGCCCTCTTGTCTCTCCTTGCTATTTTTTGGAAATCTGCATTCAATTTCCTGTATCTTTCACTGTCTCCCTCGCACTTTGCAGGTAGGTAAAGGTAAAGGGGCCCCTGACCATTAGGTCCAGTCGTGGCCGACTCTGGGGTTGCGGTGCTCATCTCGCTTTATTGGCCAAGGAAGCCGGCGTACAGCTTCTGGGTCATGTGGCCAGCATGACTAAGCCGCTTCTGGTGAACCAGAGCAGCACACGGAAACGCCGTTTACCTTCCCGCCGGAGCCGTACCTATTTATCTACTTGCACTTTGACGTGCTTTCGAACTGCTAGGTTGGCAGGAGCAGGGACCGAGCAACGGGAGCTCACCCTGTTGCAGGGATTCGAACCGCCGACCTTCTGATAGGCAAGTCCTAGGCTCTGTGGTTTAACCCACAGTGCCACCCGCGTCCCTTGCAGGTAGGTAGGTAGCATCTAAAGTTTCCATTTTGTTATTGCAGTTTCTTCTTTCCATAGGAAAAGATCCCCTGCTTACCAAGCATTCATCCTGACTTGCTTGCACGAAGCTTTACACGGAGGTCACACGATGCCTGCTTTTCATTGAGCATTTGTTCTGATTTGTTGGTGGGGAGGGGATACGGCAATGAGCCACTCATCTTGATTTGCTTGCACAGAGGTTATATACATCATCCCATAATTGGCTTGTTTATTCCACTTTTTATTGCATTTCCCCCACTGCAAAAAGTCTTTCTGATAAAAGCAGATTTGTCGCGAGCGGGACAGAGTGCTTTAACCCACTTTAATTCTGCAAACCTACAGTACAATTCTGGAATGCGGTGGAATCCCTTCCGCAAACTGCTCACCATCTGTAGAGGGACCTCTGACAATGTGTCTGTTAACTATGTGTTCGTCCCATCTGACTATTTAATACTGCTTTTTCAAAGGGAGGAGGTCTCTGAAATGGACAGCACCAACATGGAGATTCTTGACCACAGTGCCAAAATTGAGAAGGGTGCAAGAATGGGTACCCATTCATCTGAAAAACATCTGGTAGGAGAAGAAGATGATGAAGAAGAAAAAACGTTGCCAGAGAAAACCAGAAAGCCAACTAAGGCCACTGATCCCAAGGCAGTGAGTGTTAACCATTGTGGAAAAATCTTTATGCAAACTGATCCGGGCCCACAGGGCAGGGCAAAGTGAGATGGACATTTTAGGGTACCACTAAAGGAAAGCAAATGGTTGATTCCCTCCCCCTCTTTCTTTTTCCTTTCTCCTCCTGTGAAGAGGCTGCATCTTAATGTTTTAATGTTTTATTTTAATCTTGTTTTTTAAATTGTATTTTAATCAACTGGTTTTTATTATTGGTTGTTAGCTGCCCTGTCTTGGCAGGGGAGGGCGGGGTATAAATAAAATTTATTATTATTATTATTATTATTATTCTCATTATTATTCTCATTATTATATTTACTATTGTAATGGGAGGGTGTTGGTTTTCTGCCTCAGAAACCGAAGCATCTTAGACCACCTCTTAAGGCAGGGATAGCAAGCCCTGCAGATGTTATTGGGCAACAAATTCCATCATCACTGACCATTGGGCCATGCTGCTGGGGCAGATGGGAGATGAAGTCCAACAAGATCGGGGGGGACGACAGGCTCCCCATCCCCGTGTTTTGTGGGGGGAGGAGAAGCAAACAGAGTGTCTGTTAGGTTTAAAGACTCTCCCAAGGCAAAGTACAGTGGTGCCTCGCAAGACGAAAAGAATCCGTTCCGCGAGTCTCTTCGTCTTGCGGTTTTTTCCGTCTTGCGAAGCAAGCCCATTAGCGGCTTAGCGGATTAGCGCTATTAGCGGCTTAGCGGGCTTAGAGGATCAGCTGATAAGCGGCTTAGCGATCAGCTGTTAAGCGATTCGCGGCTTAGCGGATCAGCTGATAAGCAGTTTAGCGGCTTGGGAAAAAGGGGGGGGAAGGAAAAAAACCCCGCAGGAACTCGCAAGACATATTCGTCTTGCGAAGCAAGCCCATAGGAAATTCGTTTTGCGAAGCACCTCCAAAACGGAAAACCCTTTCATCTAGCGGGTTTTCCGTCTTGCGAGGCATTCGTCTTGCGGGGCACCACTGTACTATAAACACCAACAATTGGGAAACACTGGCCTGCAAGCTCTCCCAACTGCAGAACAGCCTTTACCAAAGGTGTCATGGACTTTGAAGACACCCAAACTCAGGACGAAAGGGAGAAACGCGCTAAGAGGAAGGCACGCTTGGCAAACCTTCACCGTGATCAACTCCCACCCAGAAACCTGTGTTCCCACTGTGGAAGGATGTGTGGACAATGGCGGACCTTCATGCTCCAGCACCGGGGGGGGGGGGCTGGCACGCATCCTGGTGGCATGGCGCCCAGCGCAGGTGGGGGAACAGCCGCGATGGCACCCCACCAAGATGCTCCCCCTGTGCTCCTCTTCCTCTGCCAATATGTGTTTGAATCCAGAATTGGCCTCCACAGTCACTTGTGGACTCGCTGTTAAGACTGCGTTCATGGACAGTGCCGGATTTATGTATAAGCCAAACAAGCTATAGCTTAGGGCCCCACTCTCTTGGGGGCCCCAAAAAAGTTTAAAGGGGAAAAAACCTGGATGTACATTTCCAAAATATAAGATAAAAAGCAAATGAAATAAAACCTACATACAGTTAAAGGTAAAGGTACCCCAGCCCGTACGGGCCAGTCTTGCCAGACTCTAGGGTTGTGCGCTCATCTCACTCTAAAGGCCGGGAGCCAGCGCTGTCCGAAGACACTTCTGGGTCACGTGGCCAGCGTGACAAGCTGCATCTGGCGAGCCAGCGCAGCGCACGGAACGCCGTTTACCTTCCCGCTGGTAAGCGGTCCCTATTTATCTACTTGCACCCGAGGGTGCTTTCGAACTGCTAGGTTGGCAGGCGCTGGGACCGAACGACAGGAGCGCACCCTGCTGCGGGGATTCAAACCGCTGACCTTTCGATCGGCAAGTCCTAGGTGCTGAGGCTTTAACCCACAGCGCCACCCGCGTCCCAAGCGCCACCTGCGTCCCATACAGTTAGAGCTTAATAATTATTTCACTATGAATATACTTCTTAATTGTATTTCACTATTAATATACTTCTTCTTAATTGTATTTCAGTTCAACAATTACTTTGATACAATATTTTGTTATGTGCAAATGGCTTTAGATACCTATTAGGTCCATAAATTACTATATAGCATATATTCAACACAAAAAACAGTGTCAATTTGTAGTTGACAAAGGACAGCTGGACATATAAAGGGCCCCATTACCTTCAGTAGCTTAGGGCCTCATCAAACCTAAATCTGGCCCTGTTCATGGAAGACCATCTTACTTGGCTATGAGGGATCGCCAAAGAAGAAGAAAACAAAAGAAGAACTCTTATCAAATTTTAAAATTTCCACCAAAACAAAAATGTGCTATTCTAACCTGTATTTGGTTAAACACTAAATTTCTGTCTTTTATCCCACCCTGTACTCCACACCCTTTTTCTTTCTTTACTAACAGGCTGCAGGTGTTGTTGAGGACAAAGTGAAGACAGGGAAGAAGAAACCTGAATTGGTGAGAACTGGAAATGTATTGAAAGTGCAGAAGAAGATGCTCAAGAAAGACAAACGGACAGATTTTGTTGTAGGTAAAGGAAAAGGCCATTTAAAAACTGGATGTTGTTCCTGTGTGAGGGATTCAGCCAGGGGTCAGCAAACTTTTCCAGCAGGGGGCCAGTCCACTGTCCCTCAGACCATGTGGGGGGCTGGACTATTTTTTTTATTAAGCAAATGAACGAATTCCTATGCCCCACAAATAACCAGGAGATGCATTTTAAATAAAAGCACACATTCTACTCATGTAAAAACACACTTATTCACTCTCTAGTGAGGAAGCCTCACGGAAAACAGTGGGACTTACTTCTGGCAGTTTGCATTTCTTAGTTCTTATGTACTGAGTTGAATAGGATTCAGAATGCAGCAATCTGATTGGTCCACAGGAGCCACCCAATCCAGCTCCAAGTGGAAGTGAATCCACAACCTGATTGGCCTACAGGTGAATCCTGGAATTAGCCAATCACGTGGGGCCCATTGTGTAAATAATGTATATAAAGCAGACATTCTGGGAGAACTTCCATTCCTCCTCACCACTATGAGCTGAATAAAGAGCATGAAATCCACTCTCGACTCTGAGTATATTTCACAAACATTCTTTGGAACCTGAATGTCTGATGTGGCTACTGCGGCTTTCAATTGGCTGCAGGAGCTTCTTGCAGCCATCTTAACATAACATTCGTTAAGACGAATGTTATATTGTTTATTACATTTATTCCTATTGTAAAATCCAATAAATTGCTTTAAAAAAAAAAAAAAGGAGCTTCTTGCAGCCAATCAGAAGCCACGCTTTGGTTTCCGAACGTTTTGGAAGTCGAACAGATTTTTTAAAAGCGCTAGGGCCAAACTATATGTTATACGAATACAGTCATACCGGATTCCGTTCGACTTCCAAGGTACGACTGTATTTGTATAACACATAGTTTGGCCCTGGCATTTAAAACAAAAAAATTTGGCATGCCCAGAAAACCTTGTGCAATAGTTTCACGAGATAATCTCAGGCGCAGCTCCTGTGTCATCCTTGTATGTGTGTGTGTTTGTCTTTTTGCAGGGAAACCAAAACAGAAGAAGGCTGTTTGGAAAACAGTTCCTTCTTCCAAAGAGAAGTCGGCAGGTGTCAAAAGATCAGAGGCTGCCGTGGACCCAAACCATGATGAAGAAAAAGGGGATGTTGCTGTTGAAATAGAGCAGATCAGTTCTCTTCTGGAAGGAGAAGGAGGAGATGAAGAGGAAAAGGGAGGCTTTTCTGATCAAAGCCCTCCTCTTTCCAGCCCTCTCAGGGAAGAACCCCTCTTGCCACTTGAAGAAGGTGAAGAACCTTCTGCTGATGATGTTCTCCATCCTTCTGGACCTCATGCCGTTCCTGCTGAGGAGACGGCTGCTGTTGCCTGCCCAGTAGTTGCCCCTGCAGATGGCTCCCAGCCTGACACAGCTCTGAGCAATGACCCACCAGAGGTAAACAATGTCATTTTCCTGAAGAGCTGCTTTCTGAGTTCATTCTTGAACCATTTAGGAAGGGAGGTGTCAGATCCACGCAACCAGGGAGACCCATGAAGCCAGGCCAACACACACGTACTTGCCGCCTGTAAGCTTTCTCGCAGCTGTGCGAGAGGTGCTCTTAGATCACCCATGCGGCTGGATCTAAAAAGCCAGGAATGCAAGTTGTACCTGACGACTAACAACACGTTGCATTAAATGCATGAAAGTGCTTTCAATGTGGATGTAAAAGTAAAGGGATCCCTGACCATTAGGTCCAGTCACGGGCGACTCTGGGGTTGCGGCGCTCATCTCGCTTTATTGGCCGAGGGGGCCGGCGTACAGCTTCCGGGTCATGTGGCCAGCATGACTAAGCCGCTTCTGGCAAACCAGAGCAGCGCACGGAAACACCGTTTACCTTCCCGCTGGAGCGGTACCTATTTATCTGCTTGCACTGGTGGGCTTTCAAACTGCTAGATGGGCAGGAGCTGGGACCGAGCAACGGGAACTCACCCCGTCGCGGGGATTTGAACCGCCGAGCCCCAGGCTCTGTGGTTTAGATGTAGGTGATTCTTAAAACTGATACTTGAAAGGGTGGTGATTTTCACTGGGACCACAATGTGTGTGTGGGGGAGGTTTAGCTCTTCCCTCCCCAGCTGCAATCCCTATCAAAATCCCACCCCCACCCCTTGCAGCGCAATTCCCTTAAGATGAAAGTGTCCATTGGTGCCCTGAAGCTGTTTTTCTAAGAATAATTTCCACCGGTGAGCAGGAGTATGCTGAGGACTGTGGCTGGAAGGGCAGTGTGCCTTCCCTCCGTACATTATGAATCCCCCTTTCAGTACTACCTTTTTTGAAAAACCCACTGGCCAAGGTTGCATACTATGCATTTATTGGAATGTGTTCAGTTAGGCCTCGAGGAATCCTTTGCCCCACGTGGGACTCCAGGAACGCAAGTTTCCCCCCCAATATTCACAGGATGCCGTTCTCATCAAAACGCCCACCCCTTCACAATTTAATCTAGATTTACTGTTTCCATGTTTTCGTTTCTGGTTTGGGTCTGGGTCGGGTTTTTTACATATCAGTTTTCCTGCAGAAATATGGGGAATATGGGGTGGGAATATGGGTTGGCATTCGGATGCAGACCACGCAATGTGCACCGAGTTCACCATAAACTGCTGCGTGGAAGCATCCTGAGTCACAGCAAAGGCAAACTCCACATGGTTAACGGTGTCAAAAGAGCCCTTCTGGATCGGGCCCAAGGCCCATCTCGTTCAGCATCCTGTTCTCCTAGTGTAGCCTTATTAGACTTTACCGACTGGTGGGGTCTGCGTTGCTCCCGGGAGGGAGAAAGGAAGTCAACTGACACCGAGGTTGATTCAGAGAAAGAGTTTATTCTGCTCTCCGGATAGCAGAAGGCACTTGCGTGGTCAGTTCACAGCAAGTCCAAAGTGAAAGAAATTTCATGCAGTATAGATATCCTCCAGGCACCCTCTTCCCCCTTCCCCAGGAATCCAACCACGTCAGCTTATACACGCAGGTTGACATCACAGATGTTCCTGCTCCAGTACTCTTAACCATAAAAGGGTGTTCCTCTTCTTGTACTCTTGACCATATAAGGGTATTCCTGTTCTGGCACTCTTACCTTGGGGTAAGAAGGTCACCAACTCTCCTGGCACTGTTCCCAGACTAGGTCTGTGCATCAGAGTGTGGTCAGGATGTAAGATAAGACCCAGACGTGCCATCCCTGCTCCACTGGAACAGCCAAGGCCATCCATTGCTGTCACGGACTGATAAGGGAGAGGGCTTTGAGCACTTGTTTATACAGCTGGCTTTCTGTTTATACATTGACTCAAGCTCAAGTTACTGCATTTTAGAAATGCTCCCTTGGAGAAGGAAAATGGGGATTTTGGGTCAGTTTCAAACTCACTGCACAGAAACCCATTCCTTCACTAGCGGCCAACCAGAGGCCTCCAGGGAAACCCTTGAGCAGAACCTAAGCACAACAGCACACTCTCTCACCTCCCCCCCCCTTGTGCTTCCCAGCCACTGGACCCGCCTCGGAACAAGCAGGAGGAGAAACTCTCGCGAGAGCAAATGATAGCCGAGAGGGCCGAGAAGAGGCGGCTTGCGGTGGAGAGAAAACGGAGGGAGCAGGAGGAGCGGAAGCGGAAGGAGCAGGAAGAGCAGGAGCGCATGGAGAGGATGAAAGAGGAAATGGAACAGGAGCAGCAGAAGAGGATGGCAGAGATGCGGTTAGTGAGGGAGGGGGGAGATGCCCAACATCAGGGGTAGGAGAATGAGCAGGAAACACACACACCCCTCTCCAAATGTAGCAGGGCCAACTTGCCAAACGAACCACAGATATCTGTCAGCCTGCAGCGTATCCTCAGTGTCCTACAAAACTCCCTGCATTTCTTCCAACACGCAGCCTCCCTCGCTGCCTTTCTTCCAACACCCAGCCTCCCTCCCTGCATTTCCTCCAATACCCTGCCTCCCTCCCTGAATATCTTCCAACACCCAGCCTCCCTCCCTGCATTTCTTCCAACACCCAGCCTCCCTCTCTGCATGTCTTCCAACATCCAGCCTCCCTCCCTGCATTTCTTCCAACACCCAGCCTCCCTCTCTGCATGTCTTCCAACACCCAGCCTCCCTCCCTGCATCCATTCCTTCAGATACATATTCTTTATTGTTTTATAGATGCACATCAGCACACAAAAATTTACAGTTTTTAACTCCATTGCCTCCCCACCCCCAGAGTTCACATTCTGACAGTCAAAAGTGATGTTGCCAATTCAGAAACCTTCATTCAAACTTGTCCAATTTGCCTTTGCATCAGAATGTGGTACTAACGGCCATTTCCCATTGCCGACGGATTGCTGCTCTGCAGTGCCCTCTGGTGTCACATTTTTATAACACATTTTTTAACGTTATAACAGACCAGTGTAGATTCGCCCTCTAGCAGTGATGTCCAAACTTGGCCCTCCAGCTGTTTTGGGACTACAGTTCCCATCATCCTTGACCACTGGTCCTGTTAGCTAGGGATGATGGGAGATGTAGTCCCAAAACAGCTGGAGGGCCAAGTTTGGTCATCACTGCCCTATAGAATGCACTGGTTGGCTATCTTGCCCTTTTATTAGAGCTAATAGGGAACCTGCGGCTCTTCAAATGGTGTTGGGCTTCAGTTCCCACCGTCCCCTGACCATTGGCCATGCTGGCAGGGCCTGATGGGAGCTGGAGTCCAGCAACATCTGGGAGGACCACAGATTCTCCATCCCTATAAGCTAAACTCCTCTCCCTTGTCTTGTGGGTCCCCTTGCTTTTGCCTGACGTGCCCATGACCTACTTGGACCTTCCCTCCAACGGACGCCTCTTCGTTTTAGTCTAAGGAAACAGCAGCTGGAAGAAGAGCGCCGGCGGCAGGAAGAGGAAGCGGCAAGGCAGCGGCAAGCTGAGAAGGCAGCCCAGGAACGTGCGCGGCACCAGCAAGAGGAACTCCGCAGGAAGCTCCTGGAAATGCAAAAGAAAAAGCAGGAGGAGGAGCGAGAACGAGCAGGTACGCCAAGGCAGGCCTTAGTGTCTGGATCAGTTCCAGGTCTGAGGTCGGGTGGGGGGAACCTTGATAAGATGCCCTTCATGGGCTCCTCCTGTCAGTCAGTGTGGCCCCCTATTCTGTGAGCTTATCCACTGGCACTACAAGCTACCGTTTTACTGGCCTTGGCTCCCAGTACGTTTCCGAGCACAATTCAAAGTGTTGGTGCTGACCTTTAAAGCCCTAAACGGCCTCGGTCCAGTATACCTGAAGGAGCGTCTCCACCTCCATCGCTCTGCCCGGACACTGAGGTCCAGCACCGAGGGCCTTCTGGCGGTTCCCTCATTGCGAGAAGTGAGGTTACAGGGAACCAGGCAGAGGGCCTTCTCGGTAGTGGCACCCGCCCTGTGGAACGCCCTCCCACCAGATGTGAAGGAAATAAGCAGCTATCCTATCTTTAAAAGACATCTGAAGGCAGCCCTGTTTAGGGAAGTTTTTAATATTTAATGCTGTATTGTTTTTAACACTCGATTGGAAGCCACCCAGAGTGGCTGGGAAAACTCAGCCAGATGGGCGGGGTATAAATAATTTATTATTATTATTATTATTATTATTATTATTATTATTATTTCTCACAAAGCCCTCGAGCGCCCAGTACCATGTCATGCTGGGATGCTGTGGCATGTTAAGATGGCAGCCGTGTGTGTGTGTGTGTGTGTCCTTTTAAATATATTACTATATAATACTAATTGGGTACTCCGCTTATCTCTGGACTTCAAACTGATCACAGCAGCTATCAACTATTATTATTATTATTATTATTATTATTATTATTATTATTAACTGAATTTTTATACCGCCCTCAGGGCGGTTCACAGAACAAAATCAGAATATAAAAACCACAATATATATAATCAAAATAAAAACAACAATCCAATAACACCCCCCCAAAAGACCACATTTTAAAAGGGCATAAGATGTCAATCAAATCAACCAAAGGCCTGGTTAAAAAGGAATGTTTTTGCCTGACGCCTAAAGGTGTATAATGAAGGCACCAGGCGAACCTCCCTGGGGACAGCATTCCGCAGACAGGGAGCTACTGCAGAGAAGGCCCCGTTCTCATGTTGCCACCTTCCGAACCTCTTGAGGAGGCAGCACATGACGAAGGGCCTCAGAAGATGATCTCAGGGTCTGGGTAGGTTCATATGGAAAGAGGCGGTCCTTGAGGTATTGCGGTCCTGAGCTGTTTAAGGCTTTATAGGTCAAAACCAGCACTTTGAATTGGGCCCTGAAACTAATTTGTAGCCAGTGCAGTCGTACCAGGATCGGTGTAATATGCTCAAACGGTGTAATATGCTATATTACACCAACTACTATCTACAACTATCTCTTTCCCTTAGAAGCGGAGAAGCGGAGGCAGAAAGAAAGGGAAATGCAGCTGGAAGAGGAACGGCGACTCTTAGCCGAGATGGCAGAAGAGCAGCGCTTGGAGTACGAGAGAAGGAAGCAGGAAGAAGAGGAGCGAGTGAGGCGTGAGGCTGAGGAGAGGAGGAGAAGGGAAGAGGAAGAGGCTAGACTTGCATTAGAGGAAGCAAAGAGACAAGCCTTATTACTGGCAAGGTACACAACTTCGTACGATTTGTCTGAAACTCTTGAGAATCAGTGCCAAGCAAGTGTAGACAAACCAACCGAGGTCCTAAAGATTGCCATTAAAGTTCTAAATGGCTGCTCCGTGGGGTAGGAAACCTTTGGTCTGCCAGGTGTTATGAACTACCGTATTTTTCGCTCTATAGGACGTATTTTTCCCCTCCAAAAATTAAGGGGAAATGTGTGTGCGTCCTATGGGGCGAATGTAGGCTCCTTGGCTTCAGCGATAGCAACACGAAGCCTCCGAAGCGCAGAGGGAGCGCTCCTTCCACGCTCCGGAGGCTTCATGTTGCTGTCACTGAAGCCTGGCGAGCGAGAGGTGTCGGTGCGCACCGACCCTTCTCGCTCTCCAGGCTTCAGGGATAGCCGCCTGAAGCCTTCGGAGCGCAGCACGAGTTCCCGCTGCACTATGGAGGCTTCGGGTTCCTTTTGCTGAAGTCAGGAGAGCAAGACTCCTGGCTTCAGCAGAGAGGGAGAGCTGCGCGGCGCCCCTTCAGCCAAGTGGGAGGAGAAACGGAAGGGGCTCCGTTTCTCCTGCCGCTTCTCTGAAGGGGCACTGAGCAGAAAGAGGGAGAATTTTTTTTTCTTGTTCTCCCCCTCTAAAACAAGGTGTGTCCTATGGTCCGGTGCGTCCTATAGAGCGAAAAATACGGTACATTTCCCATCAGCACCAGGCAGTATGGCCAATGAGCAGGGATTATGGGAGTTGAAGTTCCACAACAAGGGCCAGAGGTTCCCCACACCTGACTTAAAGGATCAGGTCTCCCATATCAGCAGCCTGCCTGGTGCTTAAGATCTGTTGGGGAGGTTCTGGCTGGGGCATGACTAGTTCAGCTGTGAAACAGGGCCTTATCTGTGACTGCACCTAGATTATAGGACTCCCTGCCTCTGGAGGAGTACTAGGCCTCTTGTCTCCTTACCATCTGGCCAAGACATTCTTAGCCATTTGAGCTCGGTGTTTTAATGGATTGAGGCTTACCTTAAAGGTAAAGGGACCCCTGACCATTAGGTCCAGTTGTGACCGACTCTGGGGTTGCAGAGCTCATCTCGCTTTATTGGCCGAGGGAGCCGGCGTACAGCTTCTGGGTCATGTGGCCAGCATGACTAAGCCGCTTCTGGCGAACCAGAGCAGCGCACGGAAACGCCGTTTTACCTTTCCACTGGAGTGGTACCTATTTATCTACTTGCACTTTGAGGTGCTTTCAAACTGCTAGGTTGGCAGGAGCAGGGACCGAGCAACGGGAGCTCACCCCGTCGCGGGGATTCGAACTGCCGACCTTCTGATCGGCAAGTCCTAGGCTCTGTGGTTTAACCCACAGCGCTGCCCTTGGCCTACCTTACCTAGGTCTGATTTAGTGTTTCATTCCCTGCTGTTTCATTGTATTATGTCATTAGTTGTGTGGTTTTAAAATATATTGTAAACCACGTGTGATGGGATTATGAGCTGCTTGTGCGTAAAATCGTATTCCCTCAGAGTTTGTTCAAGTCCACAAACCTCTGTCTGTGACTGAGCCCCTCTGACATGGCTCCTCTTAGTCACTAGAAGATTCCGACAGTGGTTGCTTTCGTAATCGCTTCCAACATAAAAGCTCCTTAACGGAAACACGTCTTCTGGACTCTCTGCGTGACAGTTTCCGGCGAGGAGTGGGTGTCGCTACAGGAGGTCCGGAAACCTCACCACTGTTTTCGCTGGAAGTATCTCTGAGCCATCCCCCAGCTCCCTTTCCCTCAGTTCAGCTTGTCTCCCCTGCTGGTTTCCTCTTCCGCTGCTGAGTCTCTTCCAACCTGTCTGAGCCCTTTCACCTCCCTCAGTTCAGCTTCTCTCCCCTTGCTGGTTCCCTCTTCAGCTGCTGAATCTCTTCCAACCTGTCTGAGTCCTTTCACCTCCCTTCCTTCCGATGGCAGTTCCCTGACATCCACCTCCCCTCCAGGGCCCCCTTCACCCCCTCTCGCCCCCTCCTCTACGGGCGGTGAGGAGGCAAAACCCCGGAATGAACTTCCTTCATCTTCCGATGTCTCGAACACTTCTCTCCACCTGTTGCGGTTCCTGGTCTCGAAGCACTCCTCCTCCTCCGAGTCCATCTCCCCTTCCCCTTCCGATTCTGGGAATCCTTCCAACTCCTCCTCCTCCTCAGTGGTCCCAAAGTATTCCCTCCGGAACCTCTCCACAGGCTGAGGTTTCCGCGGGAACCTTTGATGGAACATTTCTATCAATACCTCGTCATTGATATCTTTGGCCATTACCCACGTGTTTTCTGACTCCGGTTCTCCTTCCCACGCTACCAAATACTCCACCTGATTCCCCTTCCACCTGGCATCAAGGATTTCTGCCACATGACTGCTGCATTCTCTTTCTTCTATGACCGGTCCCCGAGTGTCCATCCCTTCTCGTCCCCTCGTACGGTGACAGTAACGACCTGTGAAATACTGGGTGCAGTTTCATGTGGTTGGGTAACCGGAGCCTGAAAGCCACTGGGTTGACCTGTTGAATGACCTCAAAGGGACCCAACCTCCTGGGTCGTAATTTCTTACAACCTCCTTTGAACGGCAACCCTCGGGTTGACAGCCACACCCTATCTCCAACCCTTATGGTTTCACCTTCCCTTCGGTTCTTGTCTGCCTGCCTCTTGTATTCTTCCTTCGCCCTTTCTAAGTTGAGTTGGAGCTGACGGTGGATTGCTTCCATTTCTTCTACAAAATGCTCGGCTGCCGGTACGCTCCATCTCTCCCCTTCTCCCCTGGGAAAGCCCTGGGATGACACCCATAATTAGCCAAGAAGGGGCTCATCCCTGTGGACACATTCTCGGCATTGTTGTAGGCAAATTCCGCCAGCGCCAACTTTTCTACCCAGTCATTCTCTCTGTCATTGACATAACACCTCAGGTATTGCTGGAGGACACCGTTTGCTCTTTCCGCCTGCCCGTTGGTTTCAGGGTGCCGGGCAGTCGAAAGTTGACCTCCACCTGCAGTAAGCTCATGAGCTTCCTCCAGAACCTGGAAGTAAATTGTTTTCCTCGGTCTGAGACCACCCTCAATGGCACCCCGTGCAACCTAAAAATGTGTTCTACAAATAACTTCGCTGTCTCTTCCGCCGTGACTGCATGCGAGCAAGCTACAAAGTGGCACATCTTTGTTAGTAGGTCTACCACCACCATGATGGCTGTTTTCCCTTTGGACTTCGGCAGATCAGTCATAAAATCTATCGACACTGCCTCCCAAGGTCGTTCTGGTGTTGGTAAGGGTTCTAATAGCCCCGCCGGCGCCCGCCTTTCCCCTTTGGCTCGCTGGCACTGCTCGCACCCTCTTACATACTCACGTACATCCTCCCTCACCTTAGGCCACCAAAATTCCCTGGTGACCAACCACATGGTTTTGTGTTGCCCAAAATGCCCGCCGTGGGGCTGTCATGCAACTGCTTGAGTACCCTCCCCTTAAGTCTCCTTCAGGGATATACAGTGCCCCTTTGTAATACAAAGCTCCATTTCTTTCCTCGAAACCCCTTGATTCCTCTCCCTCATCCCTAAGACCTCTGAGCTTATTCTGGGCGTATTCATCATTCTCTGTTTCTTCTACCAGTTCTCTTTGTCCCACCAATGCCGCCCCACACACCCAGCGGTCCTCTGGAATGACATGTCTCTCTTCGGGTGCTCCCTCCCCTCCCAATATTCAGGTTTGCGTGAGAGAGCGTCCGCCCTAATGTTCTCTGGGCCTGGCACGTAACAAATCTCAAAGTTAAATTTGGAGAATTCCTGGGCCCATCTCACTTGCCGTTGGTTGAGCACTCGTGCCGTCCTCCAATACTCTAGGTTCTTGTGGTCAGTGCACACTTGCACCTTATGTTGTGCGCCAATTAGCAGGTGCCTCCATCTCCGGAACGCCTCATGAATGGCTAGTAGTTCTCGGTCATACACCGTGTAGTTCCTCTCGGATTTGTTCAGCTTTCGCGAAAAAAAGCACACGGTCTCCACTCTGACTCCTCCTTCCCTGGCTGGAGAAGCACCGCCCCAACCGCTCTGTCTGATGCGTCAGTTTCCACTCTCATCGGTTTTTGTAAATCCACATGCAGGAGCTGTTGTTCCGAGGCGAAGGCCCTTTTAGTTCCTCAAATGCTTGCTCCGCCTCCTCCGTCCAAACGAACTTCTTCTTACTGCTGAGACAGTCCGTAATGGGCGCCGTCAGGTGGGCAAAGTTTGGGATGAACTTACGATAGAAGTTCCCAAACCCTAAAAACCTCTGCACATCCTTCCTTGTTTTGGGTGTTTTCCATTCCAGTACCGCCTGGACCTTGCCGGGATCCATGGCCAACCCCTTGTCAGACAGGCGATACCCCAGGAATTCCACCTCCTTGGTATGAAACTGACACTTCTCCAGTTTCACCCACAGCTGGTTGGCTTGCAGCCTGCTCAACACTTCTCTGACGTCTCTCACATGCTGCTCCTCATTCTCAGAATACACCAACACGTCGTCTAAGAAGGCCACACAATTCTTGTAAAGCAACGGCCCCAGGACGTGGTTCATAAACGATTGAAATGTTGCGGAGCCTGCTTGTAGACCGAAGGGCATAACTAAGTATTCAAATGCCCCTAAAGGGGTGAACATGGTGGTTTTCCATTCATCCCCCTTCCTTATTCGTATCAGGTTGTACGCCCCCTTAGATCCAGCTTGGTGAAAATCTTTCCCTTTCGCACCCTTGTCAAAATGTCGTCAATCCTGGGCATCGGGAAGGCCACTGGTTCTGACACTGCATTTAAGGCCCTGAAGTCACACACCAGTCTCGGCTTGTTCGTGTTTTTGTCCACAAAAACACTGGGCTGCCCCCACCGCCCTGGACTCTCTGATGAACCCTCTCTTCAGGTTCTTGTCAATGAACTCTCTTAGCTCCTGCATCTCTCTGTCTGACATGGCGTACAGCTTGCCCACAGGGAGCTGTGCCCCAGGGAGCAAATTGATTTGACAGTCAAAGGCTCTATGCGGTGGTAGTTGGTCAGCTTCCCTTTCGCTGAAGACGTCGCGGAGATCTGCGTATTGTCGTGGTACCTTCACGTTCTCCTTCACTTCAGTCCCTGCTAGGGTGGCTTGGGCCCCTGCCAAAACCTTTCCCTCTTTGCAATGTTCTAAGCAATGTGCTGACCCAAAAGAAACCACTCTCTGATGCCAGCCCACCAGCGGATCATGTAACGCTAGCCAGCTCATCCCCAATATAATGGGAGCTCCTCCCAAGGTGGCCACATTAAAAGCTATCAGTTCAGTGTGCCTTGCCACCTTCATTATCATTGGGACGGTCTGCAAGCTGACTTCTCCTCCCAACAGCTCCCTGCCATCGATCGTGGTTACCTGCAGGGGTTGCTTAAAGGGAGCGTCTGTATCTGGTGTTCAGCTGCAAACTCTTTGCTCATGAAATTGCAGGAGCTGCCTGAGTCCAACAGCGCCTTTATCTTTAGAGGGTGTCCGTTTGGGAGCTCTAGTGTCACTTCTATCACTAGGGCGGGTTTAGGAGGTTCTGGAGTGGGCACTTTCACTGCTCTTTGGCCTGGCTGCTGTGCCCCGACAATGGCAGCCAGGCGTTGGCTTTTAGTTGCTCCGGTATTTTTCCTCTCTTCCCTCCACAGCTCCCACCATCCCTTGCCATTCCTTCCTCTGGGGGCAGACTCTGGCAAAGTGCCCTGGCTGTTGGCAGAGATAGCATTTCCGGGCGCCTTTTCCATCCTTCTTCCCCCCTCACTGGGCTTTGAAACTGCGCGCGCGCGCGCTGTTCCGATTTCCATCGGCTCTGCCGGCGGGACAGTTGGCTCTGGAATGTCTGGAATGCGGAACTCCTTCCAACGTTCCCCTTTCCCTTCCCGCCTCTCCAATGCTCTCGCCTCCTGGCGCGCTCCTATGGCCAGCGCTGATTTGGTCAGCTGGTCCATAGACTCCGCCCTGGGCGCCCGGGAAAGTTCATCTTTCACAGCCGAAGAAAGCCCTTCTTCAAAGAGCATTTGAATGGGTTCCGCCGATAAGTCCCACCCCAATCTGTGTATCAGCATGGTGAACTCAGTCCAGTACTCACGTACAGATCGGCTCCCCTGTTTGCAAGCCATTAACTGTCTGCGCACCACTCCCTTTTCAATATCGCTGGAAAACATCAGATCCATGGCGCGAAAGAACTTCATCGTGTCTTTTAAGACGTCACTATTCGCTGCCATCAGGGTCTAACCCAGTCTCTCGCCCCCTTTCAAGATGCCCAATCACAAAAGCCACTCGTGATTCCTCATCAGGGAATCATCAAACTGCAGATTGAGGGCATATTGCATTTCTGTCCGAAAGCTATGATAGTCTTTGGGCTCCCCCCCAAATTTTTGCACCAATCCTGGTACCTTTCTGGCGAGCTGGGTGGCTTTCTCCCTTTGTCTGCATCTTGAGCCCTCCTCTCCTCCAGCCTCGCCGTCTGCAGCGCCAGCTGGACCTCTAACACCCGGTACCTTTCTTCCAGGCTTGGACCCGCTCCAGCCCCTGCTTCTCCGGTTCCTGCTGGGTTGCTCATTATTATGCCGTCTCCTGCACAAGCTGCGTTCAAAGACTGTCGGAATGCTGTGATGGGATTATGAGCTGCTTGTGCGTAAAATCGTATTCCCTCAGAGTTTGTTCAAGTCCACAAACCTCTGTCTGTGACTGAGCCCCTCTGACATGGCTCCTCTTAGTCACTAGAAGATTCCGACAGTGGTTGCTTTCGTAATCGCTTCCAACATAAAAGCTCCTTAACGGAAACACGTCTTCTGGACTCTCTGCGTGACAGTTTCCGGCGAGGAGTGGGTGTCGCTACAGGAGGTCCGGAAACCTCACCACTGTTTTCGCTGGAAGTATCTCTGAGCCATCCCCCAGCTCCCTTTCCCTCAGTTCAGCTTGTCTCCCCTGCTGGTTTCCTCTTCCGCTGCTGAGTCTCTTCCAACCTGTCTGAGCCCTTTCACCTCCCTCAGTTCAGCTTCTCTCCCCTTGCTGGTTCCCTCTTCAGCTGCTGAATCTCTTCCAGCCTGTCTGAGTCCTTTCACCTCCCTTCCTTCCGATGGCAGTTCCCTGACACCACGCTAAGGACAAGTTACCGTATTTTTTGCTCTATAAGACTCACTTTTTCCCTCCTAAAAAGTAAGGGGAAATGTGTCTTATGGAACGAATGCAGGCTGCGCAGCTATCACAGAAGCCAGAATAGCAAGAGGGATTGCTGCTTTCACTGCGCAGCGATCCCTCTTGCTGTTCTGGCTTCTGAGATTCAGAATATTTTTTTTTCTTGTTTTCCTCCTCCAAAAACTAGGTGCATCTTGTGGTCTGGTGCGTCTTATAGAGCGAAAAATACGGTATATGCACTGTACAACAGAAAGTAATGGCCTGAGTTACCTGCTTACTGATATTCATCCACCTCTCTGCTTTCAGACAAAGGGCGGACTCAGAGAAGGAGAAAGAATTCCATTATAAGCTGCTTGTGGAAGCTGGGGGGCTAGAACGAAGGCAAGCGATTTCACGCCCATGGGTTTATTCGTATTTCCAGCATCCTTTTTTAAATATGGGAGATGAGAATTAAAGAGCGAGAACTTTTTCCAAGAACAACTCGCAGCCACGTAGCTGTGTTGTTCTCGCCTTACTCCAACATGTCAGCATCCCTTTATTCACTTGTATTTAATTCAATAGAGGTTGTTAATCCACATGATGAGAGCTGTTGCGTTCTGACTTAACCATCTGGCAGATTCCCAGTCAAAAGCTATTGCCAAAGCCCTCTTTCTAAAACAAGCAACGGAGGGGGGAAATGTCTTCATCTGGACCACTGGGCAATTTTGGACATTGGGCATTATTTGTTGGCAAGAAAACCTGGAGAGTCTGGAGAAGCCACCGTTGGAGAAGTCAGCTGTCAGTGAAATCGAATGAAAGTTGCACTCCGTGTTCTAAAACACGAACAGCAGATTGGTGAGCCATAGGCAACATCAAGAAAACAAAGATCATGGCCACTGGTCCCATCACCTCCTGGCAAATAGAAGGGGAAGAAATGGAGGCAGTGAGAGATTTTACTTTCTTGGGCTCCATGATCACTGCAGATGGTGACAGCAGCCACAAAATTAAAAGACGTCTGCTTCTTGGGAGAAAAGCAGTAACAAACCTAGACAGCATCTTAAAAAGCAGAGACATCACCTTGCCAACAAAGGTCCGTATAGTTAAAGCTATGGTTTTCCCAGTAGTGATGTATGGAAGTGAGAGCTGGACCATAAAGAAGGCTGATCACTGAAGAATTGATGCTTTTGAATTCTGGTGCTGGAGGAGACTCTTGAGAGTCCCATGGACTGCAAGAAAATCAAACCCATCCATTCTGAAGGAAATCAGCCCTGAGTGCTCACTGGAAGGACAGATCCTGAAGCTGATCCTGACTCCCTGGAAAAGACCCTGGTGTTCGGAAAGATTGAGGGCACAAGGAGAAGGGGACGACAGAGGACGAGATGGTTGAACAGTGTTCTCGAAGATACCAGCATGACTTTGACCAAACTGCGGGAGGCAGTGGAAGACAGGAGTGCCTGGCGTGCTCTGGTCCACGGGGTCATGAAGAGTCGGACACAACTAAACAGCAGCAACAGCAGCAGGCATCATGTGGACCGCAAGTTAGTTTTGTCTGGACAACACCCCCTCCCCAATTCACTAGTTTTGCGCTTTCTCGAGGCCAGGGACGAGGAACCTGTGATCTTCCAGATGTTGAGACCGTGGCTTCATTCATCCCTGAACACTGGCCGTGCTGGTTGGTATGGGAGGGAGTTGGGAGTCCAACGACGTTCAATTCAGAGCGGCCTCGCCGTACGACGAAGGTTGTGATTCAAGTGGTGTCACACAAATGTCACCCTTAGCTCTTATGGAAAGCTTGGGCAGCCTGGGGCACTTCAGTTTTTGCTTTATGTATCATTGCTAGCGTATGCTTCAGAATGGGGTACAGCTATAAAAACAGATCGATTCCCAGTTCACAAAGAAGTAAAACACCCAAGTTGGATTCATCTATCCAGGCTGATTAAAGGAGTTTCCTACAAATGTCTGAGGAACAGAGACAAGTTTTAATCTGGCAGTGTTGACACCAACCATGCTTCTGAGAGGACAGGCCTACAAATGGGACACCATTGCAGAGAAGATCCTTTCCCATGTCAACTCATGTGATTTGTAATCCAGCACATAGCTGTCAAGTGTCCCTTATTTGAAGGGACAGTCCCTTATTCCAGCACCATGTCCCGCTGCTGTCCCTTATTGATGGATGTCCCTTAAATGATGTCCCTTAAATTTCAAAGGAAGCAGCTCCTCTCCCTCCCTCCCTGCTGGGAGGAGGGAGGCTCCAACTGTGTTGCTTGGCTGTGTTGCTCACCCAAGAAGTCTAAGAACGACTGGGGGGTGGAGCTTGCATGCCTTGTGTGTGGCTAGTTAATGCAAGCTGGCTGGACGCCATTTTGTTGCACGTGCTGCTGCCAACTTTGCAGTGCAAAGCCAGGCCGGGGAGCCATCTTAAGTTGAGGCTGCATAGGCCTTGTGGTGCATGTGATTCAGATTCTATTCAGTTGAACCTCTGGTTACAAAGTTGGTAGGACAGTGTTCTCGAAGCTACCAGCATGAGTTTGACCAGACTGCAGGAGGACAGGAAGACTGGAGTGCCTGGAACAGGTGAGGCTGCAGGTCCCTTATTTTGGCTGCTGGTCCCTTATTTTCAAGGCTGCTGGTCCCTTATTTTCAAATTTGTAAGTTGACAGCTATGATCCAGCATCACCTAGCAGGGCTCTGTGAGCCACCAGCTTATAGAAACTGGAAATGGAACAGGATGCAAAATCCTGGCTCGCTCATTTCTACAGAACGTGGGGGCGACTGATACCTATGAGCTAGTTGGGTTATTCATTCGAGTGGCCCAGGAAGAGGAGGAAAACAGCAGGTGCCAGGCTAAAAACACATTTCCATTCACGTTTCACTCAGCTTGTTTATTACTGTAGTCATGGATAACACTTAAACCCCATATGCCAATTTTTGAAAACAAATTTTAATTTTTAAAAAAAGTTCAGCATGTGTACAAAAAGGCATCAGAAGTGGGACATGGGAACTACAAGCATTGGAGAAGATCCATTAACACTTTACAATTAAGTGCCAGCTTAAAAATAAAATTAAACTCACAATCAAATGGTGTATTAAAAACATGCTTAAGAACATTGCAGTCTCAATTTCTGTCCTTTCCCCAATCCCCTTGCAAGAGGGAAAAACAAAAGAGGTAGAGCAATGTGTTCCTAATCCTGCCATCATCATACCATAAACCTGAGCTAAAGGGCCCCTTCTAGCATGACAGGTTTTCTATGACACTGTTCCGCGATTTACTAAAATAGGTACGGAGGTCAAAAAGTGTTCAGTGGGATAACCAATCGGGGAATACAGTTTTCCAACCCTCAATTAAGAATACTACTTCACAGAACAAACTCCACAAAAACCGATGAATAGCTTTTATTTTGGGAAGCTGCTCTAACCATTCACCATTTGGTTTGGGACAGCGTTGGCTTGAAATGTATTTTCAGGAATCCCTATACCCTAAGAACGCTTACGTGTGCTCCCTGGAAATCCGTTAGGCTTACTTCTACATAATACAAGAAATAAGGTTTGGCGCAAGGGCTTTGATGCTGATCCTACGAAGTCACACGACAAAACTTTGCAGTTCACAGGATGAAATTCTTGATCATGTCTTGCAAGTAGCTCTGGCCCGTCTCACACTAGTATTATGCAAGCAGCAAGCAGAGCTCATGCATGGTTTTCATTGCCACAGAGCACAGCATTGATGAACCTAAAGATTACCTAGGATTTCCAATGCAACACAAGGCGCTCAGTTTAGAAAGAGTTACGCGTGCTTAAACTGCATTAAAATCAATGGAGCAAGTTAGTTGTGGCTAAGTTGAGCTCCATCAATTTTAAGTGAGCATTTTCTGTGACTATTCAAAACATACACCTTAGTGTGCCCCTTTTACACCTTTAAAAAAGGTCATGAAGTGTTCACGGCAGGGGGCTCACAAAATACTTGGGCACCCCTCCCCCAATTCTTGCAACCTTTTTCAACATTACGCTAACATTAGTTTTCAGAACCGAGGAGGCATTTACCAAAGACATCTATTAGTTGAAGATAGACTGCTACTTAAAATTTGAGAGCAAGCGGCAAAGAGCGTGCTAGTTCGCAAGGTGGAATAACAAAATCAGTTGTTGCCACACTGTCATATCCTCAGGCACTGGTCAATGGCTGAAAGCCAGTGTTCCTTAAATATTCTTCACTGCTTCTGCCAAACAGTATCCAAGCCACAGGTATCTCAAAAAATGCAGATGCTTATAAATTTGTTTCCTCTCATTTATTTAAAGGGAAGCCAGTACAGTCTATGTGTGCATTCAAAAACCACATCTCAGGCCAAAAGGTACCACAAAAGAATGAAATTCTTAGCAACTCTCAGTACATGAAAGTACTAAAAATCAGAATGTTCCTGGGCTCTTCTGCCGATGAAAAATCAGTAGGATTTCCCAAGTTCTCTTCGGTGATTTCATGTATCTCATACCCAAGAAAAAGACTACATTTCCCCATCAACATCTGTATGCTGTTCTGTCCTAGGCCACCAGCAAATGATACAGAACAAAGTTTGAGGACATAATCTGAGGACATAATGCTTCCACCGCTAAGCTCTCAGAAAAGCGTCAGCTCCTTTGGAACTTAAAATCCACAAGTAAAAGCCGCACGTTAAAAAAAAAAACTTGGGGCCAATACAGAAATTTTAGGAAACCTTTGTGCCCAATCTGGCAGATCTGTCAGCGTGCTTGAAATACATGGGCCCTGTGAACACACAAATGCGCATGTGGGTGGCGGGTGTTTTTCTAAAGAGGAAACGGGGGAAACAGGGAGGTACAACCGCAGCGGGAGCACAAGAATTCAGTACAATGAAAACAAATGATAGCGTATAATGAGCACAAGTATTTATAACAGACATTTGTAAATAAGACCCCAGATACGGGTGTACGGTGCCGGTTTCGATTCAGTGTTATATACCACATTACAAAAGAACTATTATTTAAAAATAAGAAAAGAATAAAAGGGGAAGGAGGGGTGGGGAGCAAACAATCTAAATTGTTGAATGGCCTCCTGTCTGTTCCTGATAAACTTCAATCACATCTTCTTCTTCCATCCCAAGCTGTAAAATAGGAAACAATTATTATTATTTTTTAAATAGATATTCTGCATTCAGAACCACTGTTATTTTTCTTGTGGTTGTTAAGACATGACTGTAAACAAGAGAAGTTTGCAAACAAGCAACCCCTAGTTACGTAAAATTACTGACTTTAGTCAGATTCAAAACAGAAAGACTGGTTGAAATCATTGATTTCCCCATTTGTACTCTTGATATTTCCTTTTTTAAAAAAGTTGCACAGTCACTGTTCTATCTAACAATAAAAAATGTGTATTTACAACTACATACTGTTTTATACCACCTAGGAGGGTAGACTTGCGCTGTTACTTCTAACTACACACCCACTACAAGTTGCTCTCATTTCAAAATATAGATTTCCATTTGTCTCTGTACACGTATAAAAACAGTGAGAAAGACAATTATAAAAAACTGGCAGAACTGCCTGGAAGTTTCTAGAAGCAAATGTCAATGCGTTCCGCCCCCTTCCCGAAAATGTGATTCAACTGGTTGTCATTAATATTCCTAATTTGAAAACCGAGCACAATCTGAAAGATCAAGTTCTCAGAGGGCATCAGCTGGAAGCATAAGGATGGCATCTCCTTGTAAAGGGGCTAAATTCTAGTGCCTTACGATAACTGTATCACCCCATTCTGTGCAATGACAATAATGCTCAGATCTTTTACCTATCACACATGCTTTACAGAAGAGAACCTGAATGCATTTGATACCAAGTCGTAAGTCCAAGTTCAGAAACAATGAAATGCAAGCCAAGCTTTGCTTTAACACGGCCGAGTTTTAATGTTCAGATCGCCTTTAAACTGTTCTGTTTTGAAAAACAGCAACTAACCGCAGCTTAATTATTTTAAATTGTATTTCAAAACAGATTTTTTTCCTCTCTTTTTGATCCACTTGGTGGGGAGGTGCTACATTCACCATTTGCAAATCCTCTGGGGGCTGCAAGCGTGGCCGAAAGTAGACATAGCCACTCCATGCTCTTGCACACAAATCAGATGTGGAGAATAAAGGTAAAGGTAAAGGGACCCCTGACCATTAGGTCCAGTCGTGGCCAACTCTGGGGTTGCGGCGCTCATCTCGCTTTATTGGCTGAGGGAGCCGGCGTACAGCTTCCGGGTCATGTGGCCAGCATGACTAAGCCGCTTCTGGCGAACCAGAGCAGCGCACGGAAACGCTGTTTACCTTCCCGCCGGAGCAGTACCTATTTATCTACTTGCACTGGTGTGCTTTCGAACTGCTAGGTTGGCAGGAGCAGGGACCGAACAACGGGAGCTCACCCCGCTGCGGGGATTCGAACCGCCGGCCTTCTGATTGGCAAGTCCTAGGCTCTGTGGTTTAGATCACAGCACCACCCGCGTCCCTTGATGAGGAGAATAACTACTAATCAAATGATCCCTCCAATGACCAGGGAGAGGAGACTTTGCATCTCCATCAGGGCACTAAAGTTGGGCGGAAACCTGGTGCTTTCATTTTTGCCACCACCAAAACTGGTGGAGGTCTTGGGTCCCATAGAAAAATTGTTGGGTTGTGTGTGTGGCTAATTCAGCCCCAAAGCTGCGAGTAAGCTACCCTTGCTTTAACCTTCCAAACGGTCTGAGCCGCGCATTTGGCAGTGTGCACTATGAAAAACGTACCTCTTTTGGAGTATGATTATCAGTAATTCTCTGACCCTCAAAGAGGAACCTGAGTGAATTCATAGGAACTCCCTGAAAAGGGAAAAGGGGGAGAAATTACTTTATTTCAGCTTGTAAGACACGCACAAAAAGAAGCGAAAAATGTAGATGTTGCTTCTTCTTTTTCCCTCTCTTCAGTCTAACGGAAGAATTAAAGCACCAACAAATTCTCTCCATGAGCTGAAAAGCATGGAATATGTAAGTTAAGAAACCCAACCTTAGCTTCTGCACCATATATAGGGCAAATATGTTTTGTAGTCACACACACTGGCTTGCTTATAACCTAATCTCCATGTACCTGCCCTTCTGCTTGGTCATTCAGATCGAATCTTCTTCTGCAGATCATCAGTGAGTTATATCCTTACAGTGGTACCTCGGGTTAAGTACTTAATTCGTTCCGGAGGTCCGTTCTTAACCTGAAACTGTTCTTAACCTAAAGCAGCACTTTAGCTAATGGGGCCTCCTGCTGCCACCGCGCCACCAGAGCACGATTTCTGTTCTTATCCTGAAGCAAAGTTCTTAACCTGAAGCACTATTTCTGGGTTAGCGGAGTCTGTAACCTGAAGTGTATGTAACCTGAAGCGTATGTAACCCGAGGTACCACTGTATTTTAATCCTGTTGTTGCTTTCATTGTTTCAATTGTTTATCGTCCACCACCCAGAAAGCATTTTGCTTTCTTACTGTGTTTATAGATCACCTTTCTTCCATCATGGAACCCATGGGTGGGTGTTTTGGATCAGGTTAGCCATATTGATTTGTATGCTGTTGGTGGATTATTGTCATTGTCCTGTTGGGCTGTGTATGTGATAAAGGGGAGCCATACCGGGGTGAAGGCGTCTTCTTCTGTTTGTCCCCATGTCAGTTTCAGTTTATTAGTTAATTTTTCTAGTAGGGCTGTTTCCCATACTTCAATCAACTTGTTTTTATATTGGTTGTTAGCCGCCCTGAGCCCGGTCTTGGCTGGGGAGGACGGGGTATAAATAAATAATTATTATTATTACAATGCAAAAATCCTGCCCACAGCCATCCCTGGGTGGGATCAAACCCCCGTCCTTCTGGTTAACAGCCAAAGGCCCATTGCACCACAGAGACCCTAAAAGCTAACACAGGTGTCATCACCACAAAATTACACGTTAACACAACACAATATTCCTCTTCATGTTCTCAATTCCACTTTCACAGGAAGAGAAGTGTATTTTAAGAAGGAAAATAAAGAGCCCCCAAATTTCACAAACCTGTCTCTGACAGTACGATTCTTTAAGTTTTTTTAGATGCGTTGTCATTTTCACCTTGAAGTGTATTTCGCTGCTGTCCTGCAAACAGAATACAAAATCTATTAGCTTTCCCACATCTTATTAAAAAGGCAATTGGTTTCTCCAACAGTTTATAATGGAAGATAATGCTCAAAAGTTCATCTTACATTTGTTTGACTGCTTGTTCCTTCAATATGTATATTACCAGTAGCTAATGAATGTTTCCTGCTTGGCAGGGGGTTGGACTCGATGGCCCTTGTGGTCTCTTCCAACTCTATGATTCTATGATTCTATGAATGATCTGAAGTTTCGTTTTGTTCTGTTTTAAAATAGATGGGGTTACAGTGGTGCCTCGCAAGACGAAATTAATCCGTTCCGCGAGTCTCTTCGTCTTGCGATTTTTTCGTCTTGCGAAGCACGGCTATTAGCGGCTTAGCGGCTTATAGCGGCTTAGCGGCTTTAAGAAAAAGGAAACAAACTCGCAAGAACTCGCAAGACGTTTCGTCTTGCGAAGCAAGCCCATAGGGAAATTCGTCTTGCGGAACGACTCGTCTAGCGAGTTTTTCGTCTTGCGAGGCATTCGTCTTGCGGGGCACCACTGTATTTTTGCTTTGCTGAATATGGGCAAGGTGGGCAAGGTGATTGAGCGAGTGGTTGCTGAACAACTCCAGGCACACCTGGAAGAAGCGGACCATTTGGATCCCTTCCAGTCGGGATTCAGGCCTCATCATGGGACTGAAACTGCCTTGGTCGCACTGGTTGATGATCTCCGGTGGGCTAGGGACAAAGGTGAGAGCTGCTTCCTAGTTCTGCTGGATCTCTCAGGGGCTTTTGATACCATCAACCATAACATCCTTCTGGACCGTCTTGAGGGGCTGGGAGCTGGGGGCACTGTTATACAGTGGTTCCGCTCCTTCCTCCTGGGTAGTGTTCAGAAAGTGGTGTTGGGGGATGAGTGTTCAGACCCCTGAGCTCTCACTTGTGGGGTGCCTCAGGGTTCTGTCCTGTCCCCCATGCTTTTTAACATCTACATGCAGCCACTGGGAGAGGGGGGTTTGGGTTGGGTGTTCATCAATATGCAGATGATACCCAGCTCTACCTCTCTTTCAAATCAGAACCAGTAAAGGCGGTGAAGGTCCTTTGTGAGCGTCTGGAGGCGGTTGGAGGATGGATGGCGGCTAACAGATTGAGGTTGAATCCTGACAAGACAGAAGTACTGTTTTGGGGGGACGGGGCAGGTGGGTGTGGAGGACTCCCTAGTCCTGAATGGGGTAACTGTGCCCCTGAAGGACCAAGTGCGCAGCCTGGGAGTCATTTTGGACTCACATCTGTCCATCGAGCCGCAGATCAATTCTGTGTCCAGGGTGGCTGTTTACCAGCTCCATCTGGTACACAGGCTGAGACCCTATCTGCCAGCTGACTGTCTCGCCAGAGTGGTGAATGCTCTAGTTATCTCCCGCTTGGACTACTGCAATGCACTCTACGTGGGGCTACCTTTGAAGGTAAACTACAACTAATCCAGAATGCGGCAGCTAGACTGGTGACTGGGAGCGGCCACCAAGACCACATAACACCGGTCTTGAAAGACCTACATTGGCTCCCAGTACATTTCCGAGCACAATTCAAAGTGTTGGTGCTGACCTTTAAAGCCCTAAATGGCCTCAGTCCAGTATACCTGAAGGAACATCTCCACCCCCATCGTTCTGCCTAGATAGTGAGGTCCAGCGCCAAGGGCCTTCTGGCGGTTCCCTCACTGCGAAAAGCCAAGTTACAGGGAACCAGGCAGAGGGCCTTTTCGGTAGTGGCACCCACCCTGTGGAACGCCCTCCCACCAGATGTCAAAGAGAAGAACAACTACCAGCCTTTTAGAAGACATCTGAAGGCAGCCCTGTTTAGGGAAGCTTTTAATGTTTAACAGACTACTGTATTTGAATACTTTGTTGGAAGCCGCCCAGAGTGGCTGGGGAAACCTAGCCAGATGGGTGGGGTATAAATTATTATTATTATCATCATCATCATCATCATCATCATCATCATCATCATCATTATCATCTTAAATTCTGGACTTGTGCCTTTATTGAAATGTGTCCTTTATTCACCAGCTTTGGCTAGCGTAAACAAAACCACAACCCATAGCAAAATCATCAGCCTTTGCATGTCAACACATTCATCAGCCTTGTAACAAGTCAAACCATCTAAAGAGTCCACTTATCTACTCAGAGTGGCAGTAGCTATGCAACGTCTCAGGCAGAGGTTGTTTTTAGTCAAGCTGTCCAACATCATTTTAAGCAGAGATGAGAGGAACTGAACCTAAGACCTTCTGCATGTGTATACGTTTGATGAAGAAGAAGAGTTTGGATTTGATATCCTGCTTTATCACTACCCGAAGGAGTCTCAAAGCGGCTAACATTCTCCTTTCCCTTCCTTCCCTGCAACAAACACTCTGTAAGGTGAGTGGGGCTGAGAGACTTCAGAGAAGTGTGACTGGCCCAAGGTCACCCAGCAGCTGCATGTGGAGGAGCGGAGACGCAAACCCAGTTCCCATCGCTCTTAACCACTACACCCCAGTCCACCCAGTGTTTAAACTTATACCAGTGGAACAATGAAATGTGCACATTAAATAGACTATTTAAGAGCTCACCTGCCCGATGACTTTGAGTTTAATGTATTCTCCCTCTTTCTTATCTCCCAAGTCCTCTGCTGAAGGTTTGGCTTCCTGCAGAGGAAAAGGAAACAAAAAAAAAAACCCGAAGTGATAAACTACAATACAAACTATTTCCACTGGTCAATTCTATGATAGCTTTTTGCAAATTTATGATGAATTCGTGCCACAATAGGAACCTATACCTATTGAATTAATCAGACAGAATACTGCAAAGACTCTAGGGATCTAGGGCACACAGTCAATATATGTGGGGCAATAAAAAAGCTCAGCCATGTCCCATGTGAAATTAGCGCACAACCTAGTACATAGCCAGTATTTTCCTATAATAACACGTCGCAGGCAAAGCAATGGTGGTCAGGCTTGCCTTTCAGAGAAACCTGCTCGCAAAGAACTGATCTTCTCACTGAGTAACCCTGCTTCGCTATAAGCTTTCACACTTTGAAAATCACTATAATATATTGGGACTGGTGTGGAAAGTTTTCAAGTCCACGCACAAGCAAAAAGCACCAACAGCTCTGCTTTATAATGAGCTACAGAGCACGATGATGGGAGCAATTGCCGCCTTCTTAGTGTTTTTATTCTTGATCTGGAAAAACAAGAATTTAGAATTTCAGGAGAGCTAGACTCCCCCAAATAATTATTTTGAGTTCTCCAAGGTGGCAACTTGGGGGGTTGGTACGCCTTTTCTGGGTAGCTCCCCATCTCTGGAATGATCTCCCCAGGGAAACTCCCTCCCGGCAAAGACTATTTCCCCAAGCCTTTTTTAAAGCAATTGAATCTATGTAGTTTCATTCTCTTCCAGTCTTAGTACTTTCACCTCTGTTGCTTTAATTACATTACTGTTTTAACTGGAGTGGGGAGCCACCCCAAGAGCACTTTCCTGGAGGGTAAGCTATCATTTTTTTAAATAAGCAAAGCAAGTTCTCTTGCAAGGCTCACATCTTTTAAAAGGCTTTGCAAGTACGGAAAAGATCTGCAGAAAGGACAGCACTTCACACCTTAGTACTTCTTGCTGAGCAAGAATCTTGCTTAAACCTTCAATTTATCTTTTTCATAGCTTGAAGGCGGGGGAATGTGTTAACTGCCTGATTAGTTCACCCCACAACAGACGGTTTGCCAACCAGAAGCGAATACAGTGGATGCTCAGGTTGTGAACGTGATCCGTGTGGGATGCATGTTCGCAACCCGCAGCGTTCGCAACCCGCATCTGCTCATGTGTGGGTTTCGATTTGGTGCTTCTGTGCATGCGCAAAGCACAATTTAGCGCTTCTGCACATGCGCAACTGCCAAAACCTGGAAGTAACCCATTCCGGTACTTCCGGGTTTTGGCGGCCCGCAACCCGAAAAAACGCAACCTGAAGCGGCTATAACCCGAGGTATGACTGTACTAAAAGAAATTGGCAGTAACAGTGAATATACTTCTTCCACAGCAGAGCATGACCATAGTTTGTATTGCTGATGAACAGAAACATTTATAAGGTAATGCTTCTAGCCTCTGAGAACCTGAAAATGTGAAGTGCCGTATTTTTCGCTCTATAAGACGCATCAGACCACAAGACGCACCTAGTTTTTGGAGGAGGAAAACAAGAAAAAAAATATTCTGAATCTCAGAAGCCAGAACAGCAAGAGGGATCACTGCGCAGTGAAAGCAGCAATCCCTCTTGCTGTTCTGGCTTCTGGGATAGCTGTGCAGCCTGCATTCGCTCCATAAGACGCACACACATTTCCCCTTACTTTTTAGGAGGGAAAAAGTGAGTCTTATAGAGCAAAAAATACGGTAAATGCAAGACCAGAGGAATTGGGAGCAATAAAGAGGGCCTGTTTAAAAGGATAAGAAATCAGCTAACTACTGTTGCCAAACATGTAAATGGAGAAGGTAGAGTTTTGAACAACTGGAAATGAATTAAAATACAATCGTGATTTAACACCTGCATACCTGAGCCCAGATATAAACCCTTAGCTCACCATAACATACATCTATGAGAAATGACTTGATACTGAAGACAAACACAAATAGGTACTTGCAGATTTATGTGTTTTGAGCCACAGCTCACGTCAAATCTGTTTATGCTACTGCTACGAAAAACAGTAATGTAGCACTGCTGCTGATTGTTTCCCTATTGTTTCCATTTCATTAACATCATATTCATAACCGAAGTTAATGCAGTGTTTAAGTTCTTGAAAGGGTGTTCTGTTTAACACTACAGTTCATTAACGACATTAAGTAAAACAGCCACAGTAGTAAAACAAAGTTAATTATAACCTATAAATGTAATATCAATAGACGGAGGAGCTACCAGTAGTTTTTCAGAGGGTTTTTTTTTTTTTTGCAATTTAGAATAGAAATTGATGAACGGTTGAAGCACAGCATTATGGAAAGTAAACAAAGGGTAAGTATGGAATGAGGGAAATAATTATTAATGTTTGGAGTGAAAGGAGAGATACTGTATTTGGGGAAACTAGTGCCACTAAAACAAAGTCTTATAGCATCTTCAAGACTAACAAATTCATAATGGATTAAGTTTTCACACCAAGTATTTATGCGCCATAACAGGAAAAGCTCCGAAAAGATATATTCATGTTTTAAAAAATGACTATGTTTGGATGCAACACCTAAGTTTAGCTTCGGGCTTCTATGCTTCCCTCCAGCGTGACCCCAGGGAAGTAGAAAGTGTTATGTCTGAACCTAGGAAAAACTGCGGTTAGCCTTCAACTTCAAACTGTGGTTTATGTTGCTGGCTTGCTCCAAAAGGCTTTAGTTTACATTAACCACAATTTAGGGTTTTGACATAACCTTTTAAATTAACTGCAGTTTAGTATTAATTTAAAAGGACGCAACCAGTCTCCTCCTGACAGTTATGCTGGTAGTGGAACACTCATACCCTTAACCCCAGTTTACATTCGAATTGGGCCAATAGGATAAATATTCTGTACCAGCTGAAAAATAGCTAGCTGAACCTTTTTTTTTTTTTAAATTAACAGCTGCAACCAAACCATTTCACAATTCTTATTCGATCACGGCATCAAATAGATTTTCTCCCATACACACACAAACCCCCAAACATACACCCAACACTGCAGCCAAACATTCACCATGGCAAGAAATGATCTCCTACTCAAGGACATTTCACACAAAGCAAAACAGGGGACCTCATTTTTGCAAGGTCTTTCCAGGGAAGGCACACATACAAAATATGGACGCCAGAGGCTAGGATCTAAACCAGGCATAGGCAAACTCAGCCCTCCAGATGTTTTGGGACAACAACTCCCATCATCCCTAGCTAACAGGACCAGTGGTCAGGGATGATGGGGACTGTAGTCCCCAAACATCTGGAGGGCCGAGTTTGCCTATGCCTGATCTAAACCAATGGCTTAAAGTGACAAGAAAACAGATTCTGACTCAAAACATCAGGAAGAACTCTCTTGACAGTTAACAGCTGTTGGCCAGTGGACTCCCACTAGAGGCAGAATCGTGCAATTGGAAGGGACCCTGAGGGTCCTCTAGTCCAACCCCCTGCGACGCAGGAACCTTTTGCCCGACGTGGGGCTGGGAACCCACTCACCACCCTGAAAATTCAGGGTCTCATGCTCTAACGCCCCGAGCCGACCCACAGGTTGGCGCACTCGCCTCGCACGGGATCTTTTGGGCAGAGGTTGGGGGGGGGGGCACCGCCTGCCCTGTAGGATCTAGTTGAGATCCCTGCATTGCAGGGGGGGGGTTGGACTAGATGACCCTGGGGGTCCCTCCCTCCCATCCTAAGTTGACCCAACGTTGCTTTTGTTTCTTGGCTCGCTTTCCCACCCCCACCCCCACCCCCCATTGAAATGCTATGAGGAGGTCCGAAATGAAACAAGGAGAAGACAGGGACCCCGACAAACCCCAGCCCCCTTTTTTGGATCAAAAGGCCCCACAGATCCAACCCTCCCCTCCCCAAATCCCCTCTCTCGCTTTATCCCACGTAGGGACCCCAAAGTGTGGGGGGTCCGAAATGAATCAAGAAGAGGAGAGGGACCCCGACAAACATCAGCACCCCTTTTTGGGGTCAAAAGGCCCCACGGCCAGACCCACACCTCCAACCCTCCCCAGATCCCCTCTCTCGCTTTATCCCACGCAGGATATCCCCAAAGTGTGGGGTGGGGAGAGAGAAAAGAGAGGAAAACACCGCCCCCCCCACCCCACAACCCGGGGGTCTAAAGCCTTCGAGGGGCGTCTATGGGGCGGGGAGGAGGCGCCTTCTTAGCCAGGAAAGCCGCCTCCGCCTGCCGGCCTTGCGCTTTATTATCCCCGGGGCTTTTCCTTCCCCTTTCCCCGGGGATCCTGGAGAGGCCTCGGCGGGGAAAGGAGGACCGGGAGGAGGAGGGAAGCGGCTACCTGGTCCGACATGGCTCCCCGCCGCAGGCTCAGCTGGGCCGGCCGCCTCCGCCTCCCTCCGCCGCCAAGCAGCAGCCTCCGCTCAGGTTCTTCTTCTTCCTCCTCTTCTTCCTCCTCCTCCTTCCTTCCTTCTCTCTCTCTCTCTCTCTCTTTCTCGGAGACACGGAGCGCAGACGGAGAGCACAACCCCCAGGCCGGCGAAGGAGGGAGTTCCTCTGCGCCTGAGCTCACTTCCCGCTCCCTGACGCGGCGGAGGAGGGGAAAAGAAGCTTCTCCTCCTTTCCTTTCGCTTCCCTTTCTTCCCTCCTTCTTCCCTTCCCTCCTTCTTCCCTCTTCTCCTTCGACGGAAGTCTCTAGGTGGCACGAACGGCGGCACCAGAACTTAAGCCGTTGCGAAACCAAAGCGTTCCAAAACCGAGGCGCGCAAAGTTAACGCGCAACGATTTGAGAAAAAGCAGTTATAAGCTGAACAAGCTCTAGTTATTTTCTCCTTCCGATAGGGAGCCCACTTAAGGAGCTCTTGGATACCCCATAAGGGAAGAAGGGCAGATTTTGTTTACAACGCTAGCAATTTGGGGGAAATTTTATTACCATGTTCCAAAAAATTTCTCTTTTCAGGAATATCAAATCTGTCTGCACTCCCCCACTCTCTTGGGAGCCCTCCCAAAAAATTAAAGGGGGGAAAAACTGGATGTATGTTTCCGAAATATAAGATAAAAAAACAAATCGAATAAAACCTACATGCAGCAGCAGTGTTTTGTGTTGTGTAGGCTCCTATGATGTACATGTTTTGTTACGTGCAAATGGCTTTTAGATACCCATTAGGTCCATAAATTACCACGTAGCATATACAGTGGTACCTCGGGTTAAGTACTTAATTTGTTCCGGAGGTCCATTCTTAACCTGAAACTGTTCTTAACCTGAAGCACCACTTTAGCTAATGGGGCCTCCCGCTGCCGGAGCACGATTTATGTTCGTATCCTGAAGCAAAGTTCTTAACCTGAAGCACTATTTCTGGGTTAGCGGAGTGTGTAACCTGAAGCGTATGTAACCCGAGGTACCACTGTACAGTCATACCCCGGGTTGAATGTGCTTCAGGTTGAGCGCTTTCGGATTGCACGTTACTTCCAGGTTTCACTGCTCGTGCATGCGCAGATGCTCAAAATGGCATCATGCGTATGCATGGAAGTGGCAAAACGCGAGCCACGCACGCGCCATCGCGTCTTATGTTCCATTCAGGATGCGAACGGGGCTCCGGAACGGATCCCGTTCGCATCCCGAGGTACATACCTCGGGTTACAGACGCTTCAGGTTACAGACCACTAACCCAGAAATATTACCTTGGGTTAAGAACTTTGCTTCAGGATGAGAACAGAAATCGTGCAGCGGCAGCGGGAGGCCCCATTAGCTAAAGTGGTGCTTCAGGTTAAGAACAGTTTCAGGTTAAGAACGGACCTCCGGAACGAATTAAGTTCTTAACCCGAGGTACCACTGTATTCAACACACACAAAACAGCAGCAATTTGTTGCTGACAAAGGACAGCTGAACATATAAAGGGCCGCGTTACCTTCAGTAGCTTAGGGCCTCATCAAACCTAAATCCAGCCCTGGATAAAGGGTATCGAAAAAGGAGATTTAATAGATTGGATAAAAGTTATTTAGTCGCAGAAAAAAGAAGAGATGGTTATTGGAAACCGGGCGGGGGGGAGACCGGGAGTCGGAAGAACTCCTATAAAGATATTGAATTTGTTATGGGTTAATGCAAATAATACTGTATGTTAAAAATTTCTAAAATTATATATCTATATAGGCGTTTGAGAACCAAGGTAGCACTGTACAGGCAAAAAAAAGGAAGGCGTTATAAAATAAATATATGGGGGGGTGCAGAGCGATTTGATATTCCTGAAAAGAGAATTTTTTTGAACATAGTAATAAAATTTCCCCAAATCGCTAGCTAGAACCATACAGTCCATCATTACAGGCAAAAAGAAGTTATACAGAATTAAAAGCAGAAGTCTAATGTCCAGGTCAAGGGAAGCTTTTTAAGGTCTCATGTTTTGCTCTGGATTTGCTACGTGCTGGACATAGGAGCATGGGGACCTTCTGCCCTCACTCCACAAATTCCCATTCAAAATGTCGCCTACAAAAATGTCTCCTACGAAAGAGACACAAAACTTACAACACTGGTGCTGAACAAATTCCACAGGACGAAAGATTAAAATATAGATTTGATATTTCCATCAAAATGTTAAATACAGTAAAATGATTAGCTATTCACAACCTTCCAAATGGATAAATGAACAACTCGGCTCTCTTACAAACATACAGTCCAAAAAGGCACCCTCTCTCCCTCCCTCCTGCCTTAAATTTACATCACAGCAGTTTCCAGAGCCAATACTGTAAAACTCAAAACATCTGTTTGGCTCAGAGAGCTATGATCAAATTGGAAAGAAAGACCTGATTGTGTGTGCAGTTCCCTCGTGACCATGCGCTCAACTCTTTTGGATTACAGCCATGAATTGCAGAGACTTGGTTCACCTTTTGCTTATAAATCAGGATTAATTTCACTGAAGTATAAAGTGGAACAGAAGGTACTGATGCTATTTGCATCAGAATTCACATTCTGCTTTCTGTCTGCGTTTAGATCTTCCTGATCCGAGTTCAAGCCAAGAGCATGTTCAGCGTAATGGTTTTACTGGTGCGGGTCGGTAGATATGCCCATGTTGTAAACAAAATCTGCCCTTTCTCCCTGATGGGGTATCCAAGAGCCTTTATAGAGTCCTTACGTGGGTTCCCTATTGGTCGGAGAAAATAACAGAGGCCAACCAGAGAATATTGAGAAGCAAAGCTGCTAGTAAGCCTGATCTTTATTGAACTGTTGCAACAGGGTCTCCCCTCACACGCAGGAGAAAGGAGGAGGACCCAGAACAAAGGTGTGCCTGCCCTAATATAGACATTTTAAATTCCCTGCCCTGGAGCTCAAGACCACCCCTCCATACATCATACATACATCACAGAAGGGGTGTAACCCAAGACCACCCCCCACAAACATCATACCTACATCACAGAAAAGGCGGTCTACAACAGAAATTTGAATGTTGTTATTTTTTCTATCTGTCAGGTTATCTGATAATGCCTTATCTGATTGCCTTTCCTGGTAGTCTGGCCATTCCTTTGAGATGGTGATTTCTAAATTCCTGTAACAAGGAAGGTTTTTTTCACCTCCTCCCTCCTTGCAGAGAGCAGAGAAACATTTGGTCAGCTTGGGAGTCAAAATGGTTTCAGGACGGTCTTCCTGTGCTGATCTATGTAGGTGCTTGGTTGGTACATTTATGAACATTATATATATATATATATATATATAACCTTAAATTTTATTATTACACCCATCACTGGGTAATATGGACAGTGGTGTGGTGCTGGACAGAGCACAGCTCTGAGACTTTTCTAGATCCGGAGAGATGACATCATCTGCCAGACTAGGCATAGCTGTCAACTTTCAGATTTAAAAATAAGGGATCAGCAGCCTCGAAAATAAGGGATCAGCAGCCTCACCTGTCCCAGGGACAGTCTATGGGATATCTAACAATCCGGGATAGCAGCGGGAAGCAGCGGGAAACGGCGCTGGCATAAGGGAATTTCCCACAAAAAAAGGGAAGGTTGACAGCTAGGCAGACTAGGGCACCAGAATGAGTAACCTTGCTTCATAGTCATATGAAGCTTTCAAGGCTGTTTATGACAGATTAGTATCAAGGATGTCAGAGAATGGAGAAAATATTGAAGCAAAGGCCGTGTCCTTCTTTCGCCCAACCCTTCCATGGAACTCCTACTGCATGGCAACTGTTTATATAGTAACACTGCTTTGCAAGATGGAATGCATAGCTTGCATAGCTCATTAAAAACTGTAGGCTGCATTTCAGCTGGCTGAGGATATTTTGTATGGAAATATACATGCATGGTGGGGACCCCGAAATTCTTCTCAGCGGCTGCTCCCAGACAACTTTGCGACTCCCTGGAGGAGCTAGACCAGCTTGCAACTTGCTGTCTTTCCTTCTTGTGATATTATTATTATTATTATTATTATTATTATATTTGTATACTGCCCTTCATCCATAGATCTTGGGGCAGTTCACAGCATAAAAATGTTCCAGTGGGTTTGGGGAAACTGGCTGATTTTTAAATGAGAGGGCTGGCACCGTGCTGTTTTTATGGTAAATATTTATATGTTTTCAAAGCAAGATTGTATACATGCATATGGCTTTAATTCCATTAACGTTTAAATGGTGTGGGGGTTTTTTAACGACTCGTCCCCCTATGTTTTTAGCGATTTTTTCTTTTAAGTGTAAGCCGCCTTAAGTCCCGTGAGGGGAAAAAATCAATATAATGTAATAATAATCATCATAACAACAACAACACCATTCTGTTTCCTAAATCTGCTGTCTATATAACCTGCTGAAAACTGCGCCTATTTTGCCCTCAAAAATGTAGCTGTTTTGAATTACAGTATGCAATTTATTTATTGTTATGGGGCCCCATTTTCGACCAATTTCGCCCCGCACATAGAGAGCGTTAAGCGCCACAATCCTAGAGGAAGCCCGAAGCTCCAACTTCCTCCCCCGGATTTCCTATTTCCCAGAAGGCCGCGAGAATCACTTCCGGCGCAGCGCCTCACTTCCGCCCTCGTGGTTCTTCGCGCCTAGGAGTTCGCGGTCTCCTGCGCTGGGTCTTCGCTTCGCTCGCCCGCCTTCGCTTGGAAAGAGCCGCTTTTTGCGGGAGGCGCCCCGGCTCCGTCCCGCTGCCGCCATGCTGGTTTTATTCGAGACCGCGGCCGGATACGCCATTTTCAAGGTGATCTGAGGGCGCGACACGTGTCGAGTAGGGTTCCCACGTGGCTGCTGCTAGCGGGAGATTGGAGGCTGCTGGCGGGGCGGAGAGGGCTGGGGGTGGTTGGTGCTCTCGGTTTATACGTTCACTAGCAACAAGTCGAGAAACAGTTTTGGAACAAGGAGGATAAACGTGGGGAGACCCCATCCTCCCTTATAGCGGACCCGGTTTCTTTCCCTGCCACACCCCAAGTTTTTTCTGGGGGGGCTGGCAGGTCTTCCCGCTAAGCTTAAAACTTGTAACCCTTCCTGGGGAATCATGCTGTGTTGTTGTTTAGTCGTTTAGTCGTGTCCGACTCTTCGTCACCCCATGGACCAGAGCACGCCAGGCACTCCTGTCTTCCACTGCCTCCCGCAGTTTGGTCAGACTCATGTTGGTAGCTTCTTGTTCTTCTGATCTTGTTGGATCAGACAAGAGTCCTCTCTTGTTCCACATCCTGCTCCCCACAGTGGCCCAACCTTTGGGAGGTCCCCAAGTCGGGGGAGGCAGGAATGAATTTTACCAGATTTAAATATGGCCCCAGCTATGTGGCATATTATCTGGAGGAGTCAACCCTACCAACAGTTATCTGGATCTGTCCTTCCAGTGAGCACTCAGGGCTGAATTCCCTAAGAATGGATAGGTTTGATCTTCTTGCAGTCCATGGGACTCTCAAGAGTCTCCTCCAGCACCATAATTCAAAAGCATCAATTCTTCGGCGATCAGCCTTCTTTATGGTTTTCCCAGTAGTGATGTATGGAAGTGAGAGCTGGACCATAAAGAAGGCTGATCGCCGAAGAATTGATGCTTTTGAATTATGGTGCTGGAGGAGACTCTTGAGAGTCCCATGGACTGCAAGAAGATCAAACCTATCCATTCTGAAGGAAATCAGTCCTGAGGTCTCACTGGAAGGACAGATCCTGAAGCTGAGGCTCCAATACTTTGGCCGCCTCATGAGAAGAGAAGACTCCCTGGAAAAGACCCTGATGTTGGGAAAGATGGAGGGCACAAGGAGAAGGGGACGACAGAGGACGAGATGGTTGAACAGCGTTCTCGAAGATACCAGCATGAGTTTGACCAAACTGCGGGAGGCAGTGGAAGACAGGAGTGCCTGGCGTGCTCTGGTCCATGGGGTCACGAAGAGTCGGACACGACTAAACAACTACAAATATTAAAAAGCCACAAGGCAGAAAGGGTTTGGAGAGGGGTATCACCCCAGAACTCTGGAAAATACCAGACTAACAATGAAGCCTTACTAGAGACAAAGTCAAATGTCAAAAGTCTTGGTTCCTTGGTTGCTCTGGTCCAGGGGGTCACGAAGAGTCAGACACGACTAAATGACTAAGCAACAAAAACAACAGTTGGAAGGGACCACGAGGGTCATCTAGTCCAACCCCCCCATGCAGGAATGTGGGGCTCAGACCCACAACCCTGACATTAAGCTGAGCTATCCCAGCAATCTACAGTGGTACCTCGGGTTACATACGCTTCAGGTTACATACGCTTCAGGTTACAGACTCCGCTAACCCAGAAATAGTGCTTCAGGTTAAAAACTTTGCTTCAGGATGAGAACAGAAATCGTGCGGCGGCAGCAGGAGGCCCCATTAGCTAAAGTGGTGCTTCAGGTTAAGAACAGTTCCAGTTTAAGAACGGACCTCCGGAACGAATTAAGTACTTAACCCGAGGTACCACTGTATTAGTAAGTGATCCTTAAAACAACCCTGTGAGGTAGCCTCCTCCATTCTAGTGCCCTCCAGCTGTTTTGCACAGCAGCTCCCAGCCGTGTTGCCTGGGGGTGTTGGGAAACGTAGTCCAAAACATTTGAAGGACACCAGGGATGGGGGGTGTTGCTGTTACAGCAGATTTAGGTAGGGAGAGGGAAAGAGATAATTGATTCAGGCTGCCTAGAGAGTGAGATTTTAGCTGGGGACTTCCTAGTTTACAGCTCTTGCCTTTTTCCAGCTGTCCTGCATTGCATCCACTTGCTCCATTGTATCTACATTGCACCCATTTCTGCCAAGAGGATGGGACTGTATTATTTTGCACACTGGAGTCTACTTTGTTTAGGATTTTGCTGGTGATCCAGTGTTGATACAGCAAGCTTTGTGTGTTCACTGAAACAGGATTCTGGGCAATGCAGAGAAGGAAAGTGAGTCTTTAGGGTTAATTTCTATACATCTTTACTTAAATGTCCTGTCTTTACTTCTGAGTAAAGATGCATAAAATTAGACTGCATGGAACACGATTAATTTTGTACTTGTGACAGACATCTTGATTGAGATGTCAAAGACCACAGGCGTTTCCCTCTAGTTGAGAAGCAGCATGTAAGTTTACTGAATACTTTTAAAACATGGCATCTCACACTTGCAACTAGATTTTTCTCTGGTTAGAGATGCGGCAGAGAGTTGGTGTGGTGGAATGGCTGTTTTCTACATCGGAATTGGAGAGATGTTTTGTGCATTTCATCTTACTTACATAGCAACATTGAATCTTGTCAATTTTGTGTGTATTTATTCTAACTCCTTATCTGTCATAGGTTCTGGATGAGAAGAAACTCCAAGAAATTGACAGCTTATGGAAAGAATTTGAAACTCCTGAAAAAGCAAATAAAGTGTAAGTAACTTTCTCAAGTAACTTATTATTTCATTCAAGCCTAGAGTACACCTTCATCTCTCTGCTCAAATAGGAATCACTGTTTTTTGCCTAGCACCAGTCCTTGGGTTATTTTGTACGCACAGCTTATAAATTTGCTAACCTTCATCCTCCACTGTTGACATGACAACTCTATAGATGCAGTTGGATGGCAGGAGCCATGCTGTAGTGGAAAGGCTTGCAAAGTATTTTTCAACAGGGTTAATATCACTCAGAAGTGAGGTTTAGCTACAGCCATGAAACAGAATGTGTTGATAATCTTAGCTCTGCCCCTCAGGCATAATTAGACCCACCAGGCTTTCCCCTTTGGCCTGCCAGGCCGTTTTGGGCAAACCATGGCCACCTGCCCTACAGCTGACATTAGATATTAAATCACTTGTGGGGAGCGTAAAATCACGCCTGGGGCACTAGCTGTCAGGGCTTCAAAGCACATCACAAGTGTTTCTGCAGGTATCTACAGTCAGCTTATTGTTGGTGCTCTTCAAGAGCAGACTACACAACTGTAGTTCTGGCCGTACCAGGGAATTTTCCCCTCCCTGGGGAACTTCCTAGTGCAGGCATGTCCAACCAAAAGTAGCCTAAGATCTACCATCCAATATCAAAAACTGACAGTGATCTGCCATACTCTCCCATTGTCACTCTTCAACGTAAACATATTATATTTGGCTGATATAGATATAGTAATAACTATGTTTTTTGTCGTTATTCTAGAATAGTTCTCTAGCAAGCCTTAAATATCTATGGTTTAGTAGTAGGAAGCTATTTGTCAATCAGACTTAATAGGTTCTGTTTTTCTCTTTGGTAGGTTAACCTGATGGGTCACTGCAGACTTTTCATTTTTCAGGTTTCTTGTGTTCTAGAAGTTGGTAGCTGATACTCTGTTCCCCATGATACTGATAAAAACTGTTTGGTATATTTTATTTAGAGTGAAACTGAAACACTTTGAGAAGTTTCAAGACACCACTGAAGCTCTTGCAGGTAATCCCTTCCTTTCTTTGGTGGCTGGCTGATCTGTTCCTGGCAAGCCTAGAATCATTAGCTGTGAGAGTAGCTGACTTTTTTCTAGTGTGTTTTAAAACTTATTAATTTTTTAATAAGTGTGTTTTAAAACTTATTAATTTTTTGTGGACTTAATATTACTTATTAAGTCCACAAAAAACCCACCACCACCCCCCCGCCTGCTAATGCAAGTTACAGTTGTACCCATGGTTAAGTACTTAATTCGTTCTGGAGGTCCGTTCTTAACCTGAAACTGTTCTTAACCTGAAGCACCACTTTAGCTAATGGGGCCTCCTGCTGCTGCCACGCCGCCGGAGCACGATTTCTGTTCTCATCCTGAAGCAAAGTTCTTAACCCGAGGTACTATTTCTGGGTTAGCAGAGTCTGTAACCTGAAGCGTATGTAACCTGAAGTGTATGTAACCCGAGGTACCACTGTATTTGTGGCACATCAGCAGTTGGTGGTCGGAAAGGACTAATTTTCATGTAGCTTACGAAAATGAGCTTCCCTTCCCTTCTCCAGATGAACCCAGGCAAATTAGTGTAATAAATATGGTGTGCCTCTGTGCTAGCCACCCAGACAGTGCCTAAACAAATGATGAGCAAATTTGCCTCCATCTGAATGTGTTAGCTCAGTGACCTCAGTGGGATTTTATAGCGGATTGCAGCCTTAGAATTGGAGGGAGTAAAAACTGGCTTCCTGATGTCACTGATGCTTCCTTCGTAGAACTGAATCTCCAATTTTTGGTCACTGCCACAGAGACAACAGATAAAGTTCGGTGGGTGGTCAGTATTAGTACATATTTTGTTCCATTATGAACTTTGCCAGGCTGGGAATGTTAGACAGTCTGCAGGTTTTTTTACAGTGATGTTCTTTCTCCTTTAAGCATCCACTGCTCTGGTGGAAGGCAAGATCAACAAGAACTTAAAGAAAATCTTAAAGAAGATAGTTGCCAAAGATGCACACGAACAGCTGGCCGTAGCAGATGCCAAACTGGGAGGTGTAATAAAGGTAAGTTCTGGTTTTTATGTGCCCTGGCGATGTGGTGTTCAGATGAGGTGGTGTTCTCAAGGCCTGTGCTAGTCTTCTTTATAGCTCCAGAACAATGAGTTAGTTCTTCATATCTTCCCTGTCCAGTGCTCTGACATGACTTTTTCACTGCATCCAGAAATGATGTGTGCATAATGTAAATTAATCAGTGATGGCTGTTGATGCTTGTTTTGTTGGTACTGATATCCTGAGACCATGCTTTTTGCTGACTTCATGATTATTATGATTATACACTGATTACAGGGTACTTGCATTTACTAAGGGCTCCATACAGATTAAAAAAAAAGGCAGTCCTTGCCTTTAGACTTGGATTCTAGTATAAAAGGTAAAGGGACCCCTGACCATTAGGTCCAGTCGTGACCGACTCTGGGGTTGCGGCGCTCATCTCGCTTTATTGGCTGAGGGAGCCGGCGTACAGCTTGCGGGTCATGTGGCCAGCATTACTAAGCTGCTTCTGGTGAACCAGAGCAGCGCACGGAAACGCCGTTTAGCTTCCCGCCAGAGCGGTACCTATTTATCTACTTGCATCTTGACATGCTTTCGAACTGCTAGGTTGGCAGGAGCAGGGACCGAACAATGGGAGCTCACCCCGTCACGGGGATTCGAACCTCCAACCTTCTGATCGGCAAGTCCTAGGCTCTGTGGTTAACCCACAGCGCCACCCGCGTCCCTCTGGATTCTGGTATAGCCTTTACCAAATTAAAAAGACAATTACAAATCCGTTTGAATATTTAATGCATCACCCATAAATCCACAGAGATGCCGTGGACCACCTGAATGAAGCTCACTAGTTTGGGAACCCCTATTGTAGTAGGCATGATACAGAAGGAAAAGATGTGGGGAGGGAAGAGGAAAACAAGTGAATTCAAGTACAGTCGTACCTTGGAAGTTGAACATAATCCGTTCCGGAAGTCCGTCCAACTTCCAAAACGTTTGGAAACCAAGGCACGGCTTCTGATTGGCTTCAAGAAGCTCCTGCAGCCAATTGGAAGCCCCGTCAGACGTTTGGCTTCCAAAAATAGTTCACAAACCGGAACAGTCACTTCTGGGGTTATGGCATTCAGGAGCCAAAGCATTCAAGAACTAAGCTGTTCGAAAACCAAGGTACAGTTGTACTAGTTCTAAATAAGCTTTGTTGATAATGCACTGGACTAAAGTAATAGATTGTTAGGGCCACATTTTTCTGGATTTTTTTTGTTTTGTTTTGTTTTTTTTAAAATAATTTTTTATTAAGGTTTTAAACAAAGAAAAAAGAAAAACAACACACACACAAAAAAAAATACAAGATTTAACAATAAAAACACAAAACATAACAATTAAAAAAAACCTCTCTTTTCCATTCCCAATTTTAAATTACTTATTTTCTGGACTTCCTCATACCTCCCTCTTTTGTATTCCAATCTGCATTATTTGTCCATCAGTTTCTTTTCCACTTTTTTAAACCCAATCTAAAATTTAATAAAATATTAATATATATAACTTCAACTTTTTAAACATAATCCTTGTTCTTAATGTCATATACCTTTAAATTTTTCCCTTTTGTTATCAAATTTCCATTTCTTTAAACATCTTTAATCTTGATCTTTAATCTTAATCTATCCTTAACTTTAACCTGTACAGCTGGAAACCACTTATTTTCAATCCAACATCACTCTAACGTTCCTTAATTTTGCAGTGTTTCTGAAGATAGTCTTTAAATTTCTTCCAGTCTTCCTCCATCGACTCTTCTCCCTGTGTCTTGTGCTATCTCCTGTGTCTTGTGCTATCTTTATTTCTTGACCTGTGAAGAAGTATGGAGATTAAAAAAAGGTTAACAGGGAAAGGTTTGAATTGATGTCAACATTGAAGCTAGTGCCTTCGTTTTTATCTAAAAGGCTAAGTTGGTACAACAGTTGGTTGCCAATTTGCTTAAATAAGAATTCTCAATGGTTATTTCACTTCAAGGAACTGCAAGATAGCCCTGCTTGTGGGTTAGCGTTGGGCTACCTTACCTTTCTTAGGTTCTGCTGCTGTTCAACAGTAAACAAATTTGTTGTTGCAATAATATCAAAATGGGGATCACCTTTTTTCCCTCCTGCAGGAGAAACTGAACTTAAGTTGTCTGCACAGCCCCATGGTTACTGAACTGATGAGAGGCATCCGTTCTCAAATGGAAGGGCTGATCACTGGCCTTCCATCGCGGGAGATGGCAGCTATGTGTTTAGGCCTGGCACACAGGTAATATAGACATCTTGCCAGCCCCGACTTGCTCGTTTCTATGCTCTGTATAACTTTCCCCCTGAGGATACCGTTTTCTGCAAAGTGGAATGGCAAGCTTCGGCCCCAGTATCTACTTACAGCACAGTCTTGTACATGATACCATATTTTTCGCTCTATAGGACGCACCGGACCACAAGACGCACCTAGTTTCTAGAGGGGAAAAAAATATTATTCCCCCCCCCCCGCCACAGAGAGGAGGGACAGGCTGCGTGCAGGCTTCTCCCAGAGCTTATCGGGGCTGCGGGGGAAGCCCGGGTCCCCCCCCCCAGCCCCAAAGTGCAAAGAAGCCAAGACAGTGAGCTGGATCCATCCAGCTGGCTGTCTTGGCTTCCTCTTTAGCCTTGCGCAACCTCCCCCGACTGGAGAGGCTGCGCACGGCTAAAGAGGAAGCCAAGGCAGTGAGCGGGTTGGATCACGCTCACTGCCTTGGTTTCTTTAGCCTTGTGCAGCCTCTCCCGGCTGGAGAGGTTGCGCGCGGCTATGGCAATTCCCCCATCTCCCGCAAAAGCCCAGAGGAGTCGCACACCCTTTAAGGAGCGTGCGGCTCCTGTCGGCTTTTCTACGAGGAGGGAAAAGGGACTGACTGGCCGCGTCAGTCCCTTCTCCCTCCTGGGAAAAAGCCCACAAGACCCGCGCGAAGCTTGTGTGCGACTCTTGGGGGCTTTTCCTGCATGCCTCCCTCCTTCATTCGCTCCATAGGGCGCACAGACTTCCCCCCTTAGTTTTTAAGAGGGGAAAAGTGCGTCCTGTGGAGCGAAAAATACGGAGGTTTCTACAAGTTAGTCCTGCTCTCAGTTCTGCTGGGTTTCTTCCAACTCGCTGAAACGCTTGTGCCTGTAGGGAGTAATACAGGGAGCAAACACAGACAGCAGTTTTTCACAGCTCTCTGCCTTAGACTTCTTGCCTGTAAAAACACAAGTCAGTAAATGAAAAGGGAAAGGATTAATCGTTGCACCGTCAGCAAAGATGAACATGCCATTGCAGTCAATAGCAATGCCTTTACAATTACAGTGGTACCTCAGGTTATGTACTTAATTTGTTCCGGAGGTCCGTTCTTAACCTGAAACTGTTCTTAACCTGAAGCACCACTTAGGCTAATGGAGCCTCTCGCTGCCGCCACGCGATTTCTGTTCTCATCCTGAAGCAAAGTTCTTAACCTGAGGTATTATTTCTGGGTTAGCGGAGTCTGTAACCTGAAGCGTATGTAACCCGAGGTACCACTGTATTATTGGGGGGGGGGGAGAGAATCTGTGTGTCCTGTGCATTATTGTACATAATGTTTATATCCATGTCTGCTTTCAGCCTCTCCCGATACAAGCTGAAGTTCAGCCCAGACAAAGTTGATACCATGATCGTCCAAGCTATTTGTGAGTACGGTTGGAAGTTAAATACCTTGATATGTCTGCCACCAGCTTTTGAATTCTTAATACAGTCGTACCTTGGAAGTCGAACAACTTAGTTCTCGAACGTTTTGCCTCCCGGATGCCGCAAACCCGGAAGTGAGTGTTCCGGTTTGTGAACTATTTTTAGAAGACGAACGTCCAGCGGGGCTTCCAATTGGCTGCAGGAGCTTCCTGCAGAAGCTGTGCTTTGGTTTCTGAACATTTTGGAACCAGAACTAATTCCGTTCGACTACCAAGGTACGCCTGTACCAGTAGCCACAAACATTCTGCTACCTAGTTTGCCGCTGTAGAGTGTATTTTTGTTTTCTATCAACCCTTCTGAAAGATCAGGAGCCAAGCCTATCTTGGAACTGGGGACAAGAACAAGTCAGGATGGCTCTCCGTTACTCCCGTTTTCCTCCATAACTCAGGGTGGTGTCAGAGTCAATAGGAGGGAGGTGCAGGGCCAGTGATTAGCATAAATTTGGGCTAGCAAAACATTTGAATGCTTTCTATTTGCGTAAAAGGTTTTTTGTTGTGATCGCAAAAGCAAATTCAGTTTTTTTCACCGGGTTTTTAGAGAGGCTTATGTGATCCCACCCACCCCCATGCTGTGTCAGATGATTGCTGGCAATCTGACCAAATCAGTCTGTTAAAATAACAGCAGTAAGTGAGAGGCAAACCTCCTTCAATAGCCACAGAAGGATGCTGTTTCTGTTACCTGGTTCTGTAGTAGGATTTTTGAATATGGATCAGCAAGAGCTTATAGTCTTGGGCTTTTCTTTCCGAGGATGAGATGACTGTGTGAGTTAGAAACAGCTTCTCATTGTCAATTGAAGGTAGCTAGGGAATGGGGCTGAGGGCTGCATTTATTTATTTGGATACCGTATAATTCAATGATAAGTATTTCATCAAGCCACAGTTTCTGTGGCTGCCAGTAGGTGGTGGTGGTGGTTGGGGAAACGTGAAGGGGAAGGTTGTTGTGCTTTCTTCAAGGTGTAAGGCAGGCATGGCCAAACTTGGCCCTCCAGATGTTTTGGGACTACAACTCCCATCATCCCTAGCTAACAGGACCAGTAGTCAGGGATTATAGGAATTATAGTTCCAAAACATCTGGAGGGCCGAGTTTGCCCATGCCTGGTCTAAGGGGACGGGGTGTTTTTGGTTTAGGGTGGGCTGGATGGGGTGAGTGAGCAAAGTAAGCAGGTGTGGCAGCCCCAGATAGTGATATTATTTAATAGTAATAATAATAATTTATTATGCACCACTGACAAATGGGTTTGGGTGTTGTTTTTTCCATGTGTGGGAAATAGGAAACAGATAAAGGGTATTTTCTAACAGCGATGGTAACTTTTTGCACCGTTCCTTCTGCTAGTATTTGGAGTGACTTGTATAATTGGCTACTACACCGTTGTTGATCTTAATGGGTGCAAGTGTCGCAAGATTTCTGGATTTCCTCTTGTTCACGAGTCTCTTTCAACTACAATTAAACTTAACTATGGTTTAAAGGTGAATGTGCAATCTGCTATTGCATGGAGCTAAAATCGCAAACACTTTGCTCCCTGCCCCTGCCCCTTTTGCCCCTGTTCTGCTAGGAAATAAGCCGTGGTTCCTACTTAGCATTATATCTGAATTCGGAGTCATGCTTTGTTCCTCAGCAAACAAGTCATAAGTGATAAACTGGGAACAAACTTTGGTTACAGCTCGGGATTTGAAAAGAAGCAAGCCATGAGCTCAGGTTGGCGCATAACTAAGCCAAACCATAGCTTAGTTCCCAGCAGAAGAGAAGTGTGGATTTAGTCCTGAGCATTTTAAAACTATGGTTTAATGTGATATACCTGAAGGAGCGTCTCCACCCCCATCGTTCTGCCTGGACACTGAGGTCCAGCACCGAGGGCCTTCTGGCGGTTCCCTCGCTGCGAGAAGTGAGGTTACAGGGAACCAGGCAGAGGGCCTTCTCGGTAGTGGCGCCCGCCCTGTGGAACACCCTCCCACCAGATGTCAAAGAGAACAATAACCACCAGACTTTTAGAAGACACCTGAAGGCAGCCCTGTTTAGGGAAGCTTTTAATGTTTGACAGACTACTGTATTTTAATATTTTGTTGGGAGCCGCCCAGAGTGGCTGGGGAAGCCCAGCCAGATGGACAGGGTATAAATAAATTATTATTATTATTATTATTATTTTATTATTATTATTAGGAAACCAGGCCAGTACGTTTATTCCCTGAGATCCTAGGATAACTCAAGGTCTAGTTTCTAAAGTGAAACTAAGCTCAAGTATCTCTTGCGTTTGTCTACCGCAGCTCTCCTTGATGACTTGGACAAAGAACTGAACAACTATATAATGCGCTGTCGAGAATGGTACGGGTGGCACTTCCCTGAATTGGGCAAAATCATCACAGATAATCTAACCTACTGTAAATGTGTGCGGAAAATTGGTGAGTAGCGCTGGGCTCCTTAGATAAAAGGTGACATCCAACATCATACCAGTAGACGCAGTAGGACTTGCCTTCCTCTCCTGCTGCCACCACGCATCTCCCTAGCCTTCCAGAGCAGATTTTGGGGGTGAGCAGGGGGCTGCAGGAGGGAGGAGATAAAATAAGAGGTGTGTTGTGCAAGCAGGAACACCACAGTTGGATATCGGCCACATTGTGGCGTATTCACTGCCTTCGAAATTGTACATTACATCCTTTTTATGCTAGAGATCCACAATGCACAACATCTATCACTGCAATGCGTTATACATTGGGCTGCCTCTGAAGACGATTGAAAACTTTGGCTAGTGTAGAATTCAGCGGCCAGGTTACTCCCCGGAGCAAGACGGTTTGAGCATATTACCCTGATTCTGGTCTGACTCCACTGGCTTCCATTTAGTTTCAGGGCCCACATCAAAGTGCTGGTTTTGACCTGTAAAGCCTTAAACAGCTCAGGACCGCAATACCTCAAGGACCGCCTCTTTCCATATGAACCTACCCGGACCCTGAGATCATATTCTGAGGCCCTCCTTCCTGTGCCTACTCCTCGAGAGCTCTGGAGGGTGGCAACACGAGAGCGGGGCCTTCTCTGCAGTGGCTCCCCGTCTGTGGAATGCTCTCCCCAGCGAAGTTCGCCTGGTGCCTTCATTATACACCTTTAGGCACCAGGCAAAAACGTTCCTTTTTAACCAAGCCTTTGCTTGATCTGATTTCTATATTATGCCCTTTTAAAATGTGGGTCTTTTCGGGGGGTGTTATTGGGCTGTCGTTTTTATTTTGATTATATATTTTATGGTTTTATACTTTTGTTCTGTGAACCACCCTGAGACTTCCTGGTATAGGGCAGTACAGTGGTACCTCGGGTTACATACGCTTCAGGTTACATACGCTTCAGGTTACAGACTCCGCTAACCCAGAAACATTACCTCGGGTTAAGAACTTTGCTTCAGGATAAGAACAGAAATTGTGCTCCGTCGGCACAGCAGCAGCAGGGGGCCCCATTAGCTAAAGTGGTGCTTCAGGTTAAGAACAGTTTCAGGTTAAGAACGGACCTCCAGAACGAATTAAGTACGTAACCCGAGGTACCACTGTATATAAATTATAATAATAATAATAGCAATAGTAATAGCTATATTGGGACGCGGGTGGTGCTGTGGGTTAAACCACAGAGCCTAGGGCTTGCCGGTCAGAAGGTTGGCGGTTCAAATCCCCGCAACGGATTGAGCTCCCGTTGCTCAGTCCCTGCTCCTGCCCACTTAGCAGTTCGAAAGCACGTCAAAGTGCAAGTAGATAAATTGGTACCGCTCTGGCAGGAAGGTAAACAGCGTTTCCGTGCGCTGCTCTGGTTCGCCAGAAGCGGCTTGGTCATGCTGGCCACACGACCCGGAAGCTGTACGCCGGCTCCCTCGGCCAGTAAAGCGAGATGAGTGCCACAACCCCAGAGTCGGCCACGACTGGACCTAATGGTCAGGGGTCCCTTTACTTTTAATAGCTATATTTATAAGTCCTGCTATTGCCTACATTCTATAGAATTCTTCAGTAACTGAGCTATGGAAAATACCAAAGAGCAGTGAAGAGAGAACTAAGCAAATCTATGGCTTACCATGACTAAGAAATCTTGCTGTTGCACAGAGGAAAAATGGTGTCCACTTTGCTGCTTCCTCGCTCCTGCTGCTGCCACCGCCGCCAGATTAACAGAAACTTAATTTTTTAAGTTTTAATTTTAATCTTTTGTTGGAAGCCGCCCAGAGTGGCTGGCGAAACCCAGCCAGATGGGCGGGGTATAAATAATAAGTTGTTGTTGTTGTTAAACTAAGCCATGGTTTGACTTAGCATTGTGTCCAAACCAAAGTTCTTATGCTTTGATTACCGCTCATGGTTTGTTTGGATTGAGGCAAACTACAACCCTGGGTTTGGGCACAACACTAAGACAAACCATGAATTTGTTCTTGGTGGCAGGAGAGGAGCTAAGTGGTTGTGATTTTCTCCCAACACAATTATTGAAGGTGAGGCTTGGCTTGGCTTGGCTTGGTTTAGCATCGCAAGCTAACCAAGCCATAGTACAGTTTCCTTTCTTTTGTGTTGGAGTTGTAAACCAAAACAAATGATGAGCAAGAGCCGATGGTTAATAACTCGCTCTCACCGGCCCACTCACAAATTCTACATAAATGGGAACTAACACCACGCCGTAGAGATTACCATTTCAAATTAAGTATAATGTGGAAAGACACAGCTGCCTGTCTGTGGTGGAGAAGTGTTCTTCAAAGTCACAGCTGATTAAGACTTTCAAGAGCCCATCTGCTTCCATGTTTGATTTTCTGCAACCCTGTGACACCATGTTTAGAGAAGTTCTTGGCAAGTTGAGATAAGACAGGCACCCGGTTATCTGTGCTTTCCAGAACCTGTTGAAGACAGTTTTGTTTCGACAAGCTTTTGCAGCTGAGTGGAAAGGGCTCTGCCTTAGCTATTTGTCTTGTCACGTTTTTAAATCGTATCTTCAGGGTTTTGTTTTTAAATTTTTAAGAACTACTGTATTTTTTGCTCTATAAGACACACTTTTTCCCTCCTAAAAAGTAAGGGGAAATGTGTGTGTGTCTTATGGAGTGAATGCAGGCTGCACAGCTATCCCAGAAGCCAGAACAGCAAGAGGGATTGCTGCTTTCACTGCGCAGCGATCCCTCTTGCTGTTCTGGCTTCTGAGATTCAGAATATTTTTTTTCTTGTTTTCCTCCTCCAAAAACTAGGTGTGTCTTATGGCGCGAAAAATACGGTATTTCCCTTACGTTGTAAGTCATCTCAGCACATATGTATAAGGCTGTTCATAAGCGAATAGATGTTAAATGTTTTAAAACTTGGCTTCTGTCACTGCTTGCCATTCATTCCAACTCCTTTACAGTGGTACCTCTGGTTGCGAACGGGATCCGTTCTGGAGGCCCATTCGCAACATGAAAAGAACGCAACCCGCGTCTGCACACGTGCGGGTTGCAACTCGCCGCTTATGCGCATGCGTGTGACGTCATTTTGCACGTCTGCGCATGCGCGAGCGGTGAAACCCAGAAGTAACCCTTTCCGGTACTTCTGGATCGCCGCAGGACGTATCCTGAAAGAACGTAACATGAAGCGGACATAACATGAGGTATTTTGCTTCCCAGGAGACAGAAAAAACTTTGCCTGTTCTGACCTGTCTGAGGCCCTCCCTGAGGAGGTTGAGGAGGAGGTGAAAGCAGCTGCCGAAATCTCCATGGGGACTGAGGTGTCAGAGGAAGACATCAGCAACATACAACATCTCTGTGACCAGGTGATGGTGATGGTGGTGTGGTTTTGTCAAAAGTTTGTTTCATTGGCATATTTGCATTATGGATTTACTCCTCTGAAATTCACTTGGGGGGGGAGGATGGATGGATGGATATGGAATTTGTAGTTCATAGCTGGTCCAAAACGAAAACAGCGATTTAAGTCAAAGCCCATACCTCCAGCGTTGCTCACAATCAATGGGCAGCCTGTGTAAAAGGCCTTAGTGCTACTGCCTTCAGTTGAGCCTAATTCTGTTTTAAATCTAAAGTGATCCCGCCTAACTGGCGGTAAATCCTAAAGAAGCAATTTTGGAAAGCCTTTCAGGCCAACGTTCTTGATGGCAGTGATGATTTCCTTGATGATGCTTTCCCTGATGTATAAACCATGAGGGTTGCACAGTCACTACCTCTTCTGATGCCATCTCGAATAGCTAAATTAAGGACATTAAAGTAGGCATAATGTGAACAGTTCTTCTGAGATTTTCAGCAGAAGCATTGCCTTGACCAGCCTTGTTTCATATTTCAGGTAATCGAGATATCGGACTATCGAGCACAGCTGTACGATTATTTGAAAAACAGAATGATGGCCATTGCGCCTAACCTCACCATCATGGTGGGAGAGCTGGTGGGAGCCAGACTCATCGCTCACGCAGGTAAGCTTGACGCAATGGGGGGAGACGTGTTGTGCTTAACTGTCCTGCACTTCACAACATCGAAAGGTCACAAGTCCATTGACCAAGACCGGCTTTGTGAACCTAGAGACTTGGTGTCTGCGAAATAGAAGCCTAGAAGTTGTCGGTGATGATTTTGTCCTGAAGTTTGCTTGATTTCATCTCGAAACATGAAGGCAACTCCTAGTCACTACCTCTTCTGAGACATCTTCTGGGCTCTGCTGTAGTTCCTTCTCGGCTGCCTCCCCCAAATAAAACGCAATGAATGCCTCGTTTATTGGCATCGTTTTGCAAGGAAGATTAAACTGGGTTGAATTATGTTACTGCCGATTGCCAAATTACCGTATTTTTTGCTCTATAAGACTCACTTTTCCCCTCCTAAAAAGTAAGGGGAAATGTGTGTGTGTGTGTGTGTTACGGAGCGAATGCAGGCTGCGCAGCTATCCCAGAAGCCAGAACAGCAAGAGGGATTGCTGCTTTCACTGCGCAGCGATCCCTCTTGCTGTTCTGGCTTCTGAGATTCAGAATATTTTTTTCTTGTTTTCCTCCTCCAAAAACTAGCTGCGTCTTGTGGTCTGGTGCATCTTATAGAGCGAAAAATACGGTATGTATCGGCTTCTATGGCATGGGTAGCTAACCTGTGGCCCTGTAGATGGAAGTTCAATAACAAGTGAAGGAGCATTGGTTTGCCACCATCTCTCTTCTTCAAGATTGTCTTTCAGAGGCTGGTGATTATTATTATTGTTATTATTGTTGTTGTTGTTGTTGTTGTTGTTGTTAATTAATACCCTGCCCATCTGGCTGGATTTCCCCAGCCACTCTGGGCAGCTCCTGACAGAATACTAAAAACACAATAAAGGATCAAATATTAAAAACTTTCCTAAACAGGGCTGCTTTCAGATGTCTTCTAAAAGTCAGATACAGTGGTACCTCGGGTTACCGATGCTTCAGGTTACAGACGCTTCAGGTTACAGAATCCGCTAACCCAGAAATAGTACCTCAGGTTCAGAACTTTGCTTCAGGATGAAATCAGAAATCGCGTGGCAGCGGGAGGCCCCATTAGCTAAAGTGGTGCTTCAGGTTAAGAACTGTTTCAGGTTAAGAAAGGACCTCTGCAACAAATTAAGTTCTTAACCCGGGGTACCACTGTAGTTGTTTATTTCCTTGACATCTGATGGGAGGGCGTTCCACAGGGCAGGTGCCACCACCGAGAAGGCCCTCTGCCTGGTTCCCTGTAAACCTACCTCACAGTGAAGGAACCGCCAGAAGGCCCTCAGAGCTGGACCTCAGTGTCCGGGCTGAACGATGGGCGTGGAGACCTCCTTCAGGTATATAAAACTTGAAACTTGGTTCTTTTGCCCGAGTCCTCTTTCGAAGGCTGCTAATTCATGCAAACTCCTGTTGTATCTTTTCTTAACGCAGGCTCTCTCTTGAACCTGGCTAAGCACCCAGCGTCGACGGTTCAGATCCTGGGAGCCGAAAAGGCACTCTTCAGAGCACTGAAGACTAAACGCGACACACCCAAGTTCGGTCTGATCTATCACGCTTCTCTGGTGGGGCAGACGACAGCCAAGAACAAAGGAAAGGTGAGATGCTCTAAAACACACGTTGCTTTCTGATTCCTTGAACCGGCATCTACAGGTAACTAAGGAACCAAGACTTTTGACATTTGACTTTGTCTCTAGTAAGGCTTCATTGTTAGTCTAAATTTGGTATTTTCCAGAGTTCTGGGGTGCCACCCCTCTCCAAACCCTTTCTGCCTTGTGGCTTTTTAATATTTGTTGTCGTTTAGTCGTGTCCGACTCTTCGTGACCCCATGGACCAGAGCACGCCAGGCACTCCTGTCTTCCACTGCCTCCCGCAGTTTGGTCAGACTCATGCTTGTGGCTTCGAGAACACTGTCCAACCATCTCGTCCTCTGTCGTCCCCTTCTCCTTGTGCCCTCCATCTTTCCCAACATCAGGGTCTTTTCCAGGGAGTCTTCTCTTCTCATGAGGTGGCCAAAGTATTGGAGCCTCAGCTTCAGGATCTGTCCTCTCAGGGCTGATTTCCTTAAGAATGGATAGGTTTGATCTTCTTGCAGTCCATGGGACCCTCAAGATTCTCCTCCAGCACCATAATTCAAAAGCATCAGCTTTTCAGTGATCAGCCTTCTTTATGGTTCAGCTCTCACTTCCATACATCACTACTGGGAAAACCATAGCTTTAATTATACGGACCTTTGTTGGCAAGGTGATGTCTCTTTTTTATATTATTGGAAGCAAAAGGAGAGAGGGAACCTGAAAATGGCGTTGAAATATTATAAATAGTAACAATAAACACCCTAGTTGTTTCAATTTCATGAGAGCCTTCTCATGAATTGAATTCCCATCCTTGCTTATCTGGAAGTCCTTTCTGTCATATATATATATATATGTTTTTGTGTGTTCTTTTATCTGTTCCTCTAGCAATAGACCGTATTTTTCTGTGTATAAGACGATGTTTTTTGCTTTTAAAAAATCAGCAAAAAATTGGGGCTCGTCAGATGGTACACAGGGTTCTGGCTCGGATCGCGGGTTGCAGTTTGCCGACTCAGACCCAAAAAGAAGCTTAACAACTTTTAGGACAATCACCCCCCAAAAAAAGCTCAAGAACTTTCAGCTGCCGATCGTCCCTGGACATGGCGAGCAAGGGGAGCCCGGCAGGCTCTGGCTGAGCTCACCCAGCGGCCCTGCGAGCCAAAGACGGCACTCACTCTGTAGCTATCACTGTTTGTTCGGTGGCTGCAGCACCAGAAAGAGGTGCTCAGCTCCACTATTCAAGCAGCAGGAGGAGGAAGAATAGCTTGCATAAAAAACCCCTGCCAGTGCTGCTGCTGCCACTGCTGCTCTTGTCAACCAGCCACCGTGGTTTTGGGAACCCTAATTTATAATGATGATGATGATGATGATTTATTATTTTATACCCCAGCCAGAACCAAGCTCAGAGCAGCTAACACCAATAAAATTAGAATAAAATCTAAAATGGGGAAAAATCGGTTAATTAAAATACGGGTTAAAATACAATTTAAAATGCAGCCTCTTTTTAGTAGTAGCCCATAAATCGAAACCATAAGGGGAGGGTCAGACAAAGTTCAAACCAAAGGCCAGGCAGAACAGCTCCATCTTGCAAGCCCTGCGGAAATATGTCAAATCCCGCAGGGCCCTGGTCTCTTGTGGCAGAGCGTTCCACCAAGTCGGGGCCAGTACTAAAAAGGCCCTGGCCCTAGTTGAGACCAATCTAACCATCTTGTTACTTGTGGACCTTAAGGTCCTCCGCGGGGCATACCAGGAGAGGCAGTCCCGTAGGTACTGATTAAGAAATACTGATTTCTTAATTGTGGGTTCAAAAAAATAGAGGCTGCCTTATACATAAGGGCGTCCTATGGTATTCCTATTCTGATTTATGATTTATAAATAATTCAGTGAAGGAAAAACGAGTTACTCCATTTGGTAGTGGTTAAAGTTATGTATTTGTTTTGAAATACTAGGCTTTCACTGTTATAAAAGCAGCTTGTTATTTTCAACAAAGGAGACCCTTGTGAGCATTCATCCTTCATTGCTTTAAACTATGAGCAGAAGTTCCCTTTGTGCTAACCTGTGTTGGGATAAGCTGGAGCACCATGGGCAAAGTCAACTGCCAACTTGGTTTCATTGGGGGGGTATTTAATTTAATTTAATTTTTCTTTCCAGATCTCACGAATGCTGGCAGCTAAAACAGCCTTGACTATCCGTTACGATGCTCTCGGAGACTCGAGCAGCGCTGAGATGGGAGCAGAAAACAGGTTGAAAGTCGAGACAAGGCTGAGGCACTTGGAGGAGAAAGGGGTGAGCCTGCAAAAACATGGAAAGACAATTTTATGTGGTTATTTTATTATTATTATTTCTATACCGCCCTATACCCGAAGGTCTCAGGGCGGTTCACATAACGGATGCTTCTCGGTGGCGGCAGCAGTCCACACTGCTTAAAGTACTTTATAGAGTGTAGTGATGAAGCTGGAAGATGTGCAGAGGAGGGTAACCAAGGCTATCAGGTCTAGAAACCGAGCTTTATGAAGAACGGTTGAAGGAGCTGGGTACGTTTAGCCTGAAAAAGAGGAGACCAAGAGAGGAGATCATCATCATCATTCATTCATGGGAGCCAGTGTGATGTAGTGGTTAAGAGGGGTGGACTGGTGAACCGGGTTCGCGTCTCCGCTCCTCCACATGCAGCTGCTGGGTGACCTTGGGCTAGTCACACTTCTCTGAAGTCTCTCAGCCCCACTCACCTCACAGAGTGTTTGTTGTGGGGGAGGAAGGGAAAGGAGATTGTTAGCCGCTTTGAGACTCCTTTGGGTAGCGATAAAGCGGGATATCAAATCCAAACTCTTCTTCTTCTCTTCTTCATTTTTTAATTTGCATACCGTCTTTCTATCTTACAATACAGTCATACCTCGGGTTAAATATGCTTCAGGGTTGAGCGTTTTCAGGTTATGCTCCGCAGCGACCCAGAAGTAACGGAGCACATTATTTCCGGGTCTCGCCGCTCGCACATGCGCAGACGCTCAGAATGACGTCATGCGCAGAAGCGGAGAAACGCAACCCGCAGTCGCATGTTACGTTTACTTCAGGATGCGAACAGGGCACCGGAACGGATCCCGTTCGTATCCAGAGGTGCCGCTGTACTCAAGGCGGTTTACAAGATGAAGAAACAAAAAATGTACATCTTATAAATGTACATCCAATGCAATACAAAATGTACATCCAATGCAATACAAAAATGTGATAATAAAACTTTAAGATAGGCAACCTACATCAAAAAAGTAACATTCAACAATCACTAGAATAGTATTAAATGATAATAACATATACAAGTTAAACAGAAATCCACTCAACAGTTACAATAAATAATTTCTAAACTATAATCAATAAAACAATGGCAAGCCGCAGTACATAAAATAATACAATACAAATTGAGAAGCAGAGACTAGAGGGTAGAGCAAGGCAGGTGGAAGGAGGCCTTGCCTGATGGAGTCTCTTCCCTCATAGTTCTTTCTCCAGGCCTAGCTTCCTTATGAGGACTCCTAGGGTCAGAGGGTGGGGCAAGGCAGGTGGAAAAATATGACAGCCATCCTCCTATATCTCAAGGGCCGTCACACGGAAGAAGGAACAAGCTTGTTTTCTCCTGCTCTGGAGGGTAGGACTCGAAACAATGGCTTCGAGTTACAAGAAAGGCGATTCCAACTAGACGTCAGAAGAAGCTTTCTGACAGTAAGAGCTGATTGACAGTCTCCCTCAAGAGGTAGTGGAGTCTCCTTGGAAGTTTTAAGCAGAGGTTGGATGGCCATCTGTCATGGATGGCATTTGGACTAGATGTCTCTTGGGGTCCCGTCCAATTCTACCGTTCCATGAGACATCAGTTGACACATTGGCAGTAAAGGCAGAGATAAGGTCAACTTCCAACTATTTGCCTGCATTCCCATTCCAGGCCACCTTTTATTCCATGGATCTATCAGCTTGGCTGGGATGCAGGTGGCACTGTGGGTTAAACCACAGAGCCTGCGACTTGCCGATCAGAAGGTCGGCGGTTCGAATCCCTGCAATGGGGTGAGCTCCCGTTGCTCGGTCCCTGCTCCTGCCAACCTAGCAGTTCGAAAGCACGTCAAAGTGCAAGTAGATAAATAGGTACCGCTCCAGCGGGAAGGTAAACGGCGTTTCCGTGCGCTGCTCTGGTTTGCCAGAAGCAGCTTAGTCGGCCCATAAAGCAAGATGAGCGCCGCAACTCCAGAGTCAGTCACAACTGGACCTAATGGTCAGGGGTCCCTTTACCTTGATCAGCTTGGCTCTTCCTTTGCAACACAGCTCAAACTCAAGCTGCGTTATGAAGGAAAAAATGGGTCATCTGGCCTCAGGTGGGTGACCCCCACCCACCTGTCAAGATGACCCACCTATGGGGGTGGGAAGTTCAGAATCCAGAGTAGGAGAAACATTAGGCTTTGGAGAACTCCTGAAAGCATGAGGGGTGGGAATTGCAGCAGGAGAAGGAAGGAAAGGGCCTTGCTAGATCTTTGCTTGGTTCATTCACACAGCATGGAATCTGGACTTTGGAAACGTCAAAGCACCGAACTTTTCATTCTGCACATACCAGGTGGCTGTGGTTGACTCTCGACTCGCTCAGTTCTCATCCACGCTGTTTCTTAATTCCTTTTCTTCTGGGATATGGAACTGGTGTCCCACAAGAAGGCATGGAAATCCTAGGATTTGCTGTTAACCGCCCAGTGGAAGGAGATCCAAATAGTTCAGCCCAGCCTTCCAGATGTTTTTGGACTACAACATTATCAGCCTTAGCCAGACCCTATAATGATGGGGTTGGGGAGAGTTGTTGTCCCGAACATCTGGAGAACATCAGGCTTGCGGAGGCTGTTTTAGCCCAGCCCGTGTTTCTTCCGCGAGGAGAGAGCCAAGGTTCCCCTGTTATTAGGAGTAGTTCACTCCAGCCTGCTTTTTCTTATGAGAACCTGTGATCAGCTTTAATTCTTCTTAGCAATGTTGTGCCAACATTTTATCATCAGTCATTTGTTCCTCATAACTGTGCCTTTCTCCCCCTCAGATAAGACGGATAAGTGGCACGGGAAAAGCCCTGGCCAGGGCAGACAAATATCAGCACAAGAGGTTGGTAGTTGTATGTTTTGTTTTGTTTTTCTTTTGCTTCCCAAATGCTTGCGTTTTAATTTTTCCTCACTGTCTCCTGCATTGGTGGAAACATTTTCAATATTCTCAGCACAGCCTTGCTTGCTGCAAGGTTGCATGTCTCAGGTTGCATGTTTGGCTCGTTGCTAGCTCTCTTCTTTTTTTCCTTACCTTGGTGGCGGCGTTTTAGTTTAATACAGATTAATAATACAACCTTTGTGCATTATGAGCCGAAGGAGTCCAGATACCAGCCCATAGTGGATAGAACACCACGTGTTTCCTAATACGGTGGCACCTTGGTTCTCAAACTGCTCAAACACACATTTTTAAAGAAACCGGAAGCTTTTTTATTAGGCATTTTAACAATAAGTATTCCAAAAGAAAAAAAAAGAGTGCTTCTTTACGCAACAACAGCAGCCAGAATGTTGGAATATTGGAAAAACGAGTTAACACCAACCTTGACTTCACCAAAATGACAGAACTAATAAGACATCACTCAGGAGACAAGGTTAAAAAAGAATGGGATTACTTTAAAAATTATCTCCAAAATATGGTTCCAGTAACAACACTTGTTGTGCCTAGACTAATTTTACAGGTATAAGGGAAATTCCGTGTGTGTTTTTAAATAATTGAATACAGATTACTTAAGTGTAAGAGATGTGTAGTAGCCAGAAAGAGTTAGGGGGAAGTAAAAAAAAACATATAAGGGACTCAAACCGGTTTAGAGGAACAGAAAGAATGTGACTGTAAGGGAAAAAGAGAGAGAAAAGCAGAAATATGAAGGTAACTTCTTTCTAGGAACTTTATATATAGAATATTCAAATTATGGTTTGTACTCCTGAAATGATTTTGTGTATTGGACAAATATTCCGCCCCCCTTTTCTTTGTTTCCTTTTCCTTGTTCTCCTCATTTTGATTTTGGATCGTTGTTGATTGTTTTTCTGTTTGCAAAATTAATACAGCATGCATATGTATACATATGCGCATATATATATATAAAACACACACACACACACACACACACACACACACACACACACACACATATATACACACACACACACACACACACACACACACACACACATTGTTTGTAGCCAGGGCCACAAACAAACAAACGACCACACAATCCTTTGGAAGACAGAGACGCAAGAGGGCATCAGAGGAGGGAGAAAAGGAAAGAGGGACAGAGGCCAGTGCTGTCCACGGTGCCCCTGACCATCCTTCAAGACATCCCACGGTTCGCTGGTTGAAAACCAGTGCCCAAAGTCATTCAGGCTAAGAAAAGATGGGCGTGATCTTCGGTTCTCGTGCTTTTTCCTTGCATTTTTTTAAAAACCAAAATAAAACTCCTTTTGTCATTCAAGTGAAGTGAAAACATACGACCCTTCTGGGGAGTCGACGCTTCCTCCGGTCCCAGGAAAGCGCAAACGTGAATTGGAAGACGAGGAGGAGGAGACGACGACGACAGCAGGCCCAGGAAAAGCAAAGAAGGCGAAAATAGTAGAAATCAAAGGTTAGTTGCTGTGCCTCCGGAATCTCAGTTGCGTCTGAAGTCACTTGATTGGCTTCCACCTCCTTTGTGTAAATGTACTTTTGTAAAATGGTTTCCTTGCCGGCCGTTGGACTCGCCACTATGCTCTCTTTGTGTAGCCTGAAACAAATTTGATGGGCTTCCCAGTCTGCTTGAAAGGTTCCGCAAATCATCTTCCATTCTGCCTCTTCCAAACTTCTGGGAAGAGTGCCTGGCATTTTGTAGCCAAAGCAGCAAGAGCCACATAAAGAAACTTTTTGTGTGTGTGGAGCTGGTGTTGGTGGGGAGATCAATCAGGTTTGGAGAAAGACAAAAACTCCTTCTCAGGATAAGTCCCTAAAGCGGGGGGGGGGGGGGGAGAAGTACCTTCCAAACAGCCCAAAGGAAACTTTTTTAAAAAATATTTTTTATTAATTTTAACATATAAATTATAATACATACCACAAAACTTCACAACTTATACAATCTTTTTTTTTTTTGGACTTCCATCAGCACCTCTGATGATCCACCGTTTTTGTCACTTCTTATGCATTTCTTAAATTCATATTGCCTTTAATTATCTTAACTAACCATCCTCCCCTTTATCCATTTTTGCAATAGTTCCAATAATTCACCTCACAAAACTTCTTGCAAACCTACAAACGTAGTCTGATCATCACAATTACTTTTCAAATAGTCTGTAAATTTACACCAGTCTTCTGTGAATCTCTGGTCCTGCAGATTTCGAATCCTTCCTGTTAGTTTGTCTAGTTCTGCATAGTCCATTAATTTCATCCTCCATTCTTCTTTCGTCGGTAATTCTTCTTGCTTCCATTTTTGTGCCAATAATATTCTTGCTGCCGTCGTTGCATATAAAAACATTCTTTCTATTTACATTCTTTTCTATTTATATCAGTTCCTACAATGCCCAGTAAAAAAGCCCAAAGGAAACTCAGTGGAATGGGAGGAACGATAGAACAGAATTGGAGGAAGGGAGACAAAAATCAAATACAGCCGTACCTTGGTTATCACACGCCCTGGTACTCAGACGTTTTGGCTGTCGAACGCCGCAAACCCGGAAGTGAATGTTCCGGCTTGCAAACATTCTTTGGAACTCAAACGTCTGACGGGGCTTCCGATTCGCTGCAGGAGCTTCCTGCAGCCAATCGGAAGCCGCGCTTTGGTTTCCGAACGTTTTAGAAGCTGAACAGACTTCCGAAATGGATTCCGTTCAACTTCCAAGGTGCGACTGTAGAGGGATCAAAATAATTCATTGTCTGTTGTGCACAACAGTCTTCCCCCACCCCTTGATCAAAATGGAGGGTGGGGGGGAAACGGCTTACTCTTCTTTCCCGGCAAAAAAATACCCCCAGGACTGGGCACGTTCAGTGGGCAAGGAATGTGATGGGCTGACTTCACTTGCAGAAACGAATTGCCACCTTTTCATTTTAATTGGTGACAGCCCCTTCTGGGCTGGGTTTGCCAGTCGACTGCTGCGGTGTTTTGATGATGTTGTTGTTGTTGATGATGATGATGATGATATTTTATTTATATCCCGCCCTCCTCCTTGGGCTAGAGTTCTGTGAGGATTACCAAAGAAGGGGGTCAGACTGTGCCTTGGCCAAAGGCCTGGTGGAACAGCTCTGTCTTGCAGGCCCTGCGGAAAGATGTCAAGTCCCGCAGGGCCCTAGTCTCTTGTGGCAGAGCGTTCCACCAGATCGGGGCCACAGCCAAAAAATGCCCTGGCTCTGGTTGAGGCCAGCCTAACCTCCCTGTGGCCCAGGACCTCCAAGATGCTTTTGTTTGAAGACCGTAGGGTCCTCCGTGGGACCTACCAGGAGAGGGCGGTCCCATAGGTACGAGGGTCCTAGGCCGTATATGGCTTTAAATGTTAAAACCAGCACCTTAAACCTGATCCTGTACTCCACTGGTAGCCAGTGCAGCTGATATAGCACCGGGTGAATGTGATCCCACGGAGAGGACCCCATAAGGAGTCTCGCCGCGGCATTCTGCACCCGCTGGAGTTTCTGGGTCAGTCTCAAGGGCAGCCCCACATAGAGTGAGTTACAATAATCAAGTCTGGAGGTGACCGTCGCGTGGATCACAGTGGCTAGGTCAGGGCGAGAGAGGTAAGGCGCCAACTGCTTAGCTTGGCGGAGATGAAAAAATGCCGCCTTTGTTATAGCTGCAATCTGCGCCTCCATGGAAAGGGAGGTGTTGAAGATTACACCCAAACTCTTAACGGACGGTGCTGGCACTAATTGCGCCCCGCAAGAGATGGGAGTTGCCCCCCCAATCTCATATCGCCCCGTCCCAGCCACAGGACCTCTGTCTTCGAAGGATTTAGCTTCAACCGGCTCCCACATAACCATCCAGCCACAGCTTCCAAACCTCTGGTCAGTGTGCCTGGGGCCGAGTCAGGATGGCCATCCGTCAACAGATAGAGTTGGGTGTCATCAGCATAGGAAAAGGCTCCTAGCCCAAAGGAGCTTGCGAAGAAGAAAAGTCATCTATCTAGTCTGAGTTTTCTCATTTAGAACTCTGTTAAGGAGCAGCCACCCTGCATCTTGGTTTGCCATGCAGATAACCACATATCTGGAGTGCCTGCATGCAAAGCAGGAGTGCAGGATACGTGCTTATTAAAGAGTTCCCCATGTCGGAACGAGTACTGAGCCCACTGTCCTCTAAATCTCCACAGCGATGGTCTGTTCAGCTTCACAATTCTCCCTCTCTTGACAGATTGCCAAAGCCTGAGGCTTTAGTTTTTGTTGGCTGAAAACATCCTTTTTTAGTGGAGTTTTGTAGCTTTGGTACTCGGAATGCTGTGTGTTGCCCACAGTCCTCCGGGCTAAAAGCGATGGGTGTTTTCCATCCAAAGGCTCTTTATTCATAAGTGGGTCTAATAGAATAGGGCCAGTGTTTGTCAAAAGACAGAACGGTATAGTCCAAAATATTGTATACCAACTTAATTCTTATTTATATTGATACATTCCTTCTTCAAATGGAGTCAGAGTTGAGTTGGGGGAACATAAGATGGTTTGAGCATATTACCGTGATCCTGGTCTGACTGCACTGGCTACCAGCTAGTTTCCGGGCCCAATCCAAAGTGCTGGTTTTGACCTATAAAGCCATAAATGGCTCAGGACTGCAATACCTCAAGGACCGCCTCTTCCTATATGAACCTACCCGGAGCCTGAGATCATCTTCTGACGCCCTTCTTTGTGTCCCTCCTCCTCGAGAGGTCCAGAGGGTGGCAACATAAGAACGGGGCCTTCTCTGCAGTGGCTCCCCGTCTGTGGAATGCTCTCCCCAGCGAAGTTCGCCTGGCGCCTTCATTATACACCTTTAGGCGCCAGGCAAAAATGTTCCTTTTTAACCAGGCCTTTGGTTGACCTGATTTACCTCCTATGCCCTTTTAAAATGTGGGTTTTTGGGGGGGGCACTATTGGGTTGTTTTTGATTTTTATTATGTATTTTGTGGTTTTATATCTTGATTTTATTCTGTGAACCACCCTGAGACCCCGTGTATAGGGCGGTATATAAATTCAATTAATTCTTCTTTTTCTTCTTCTTCTTTATTTCTTACATTTATATACCACCTTTATCTTCCAAGGATCTCAAGGTGGTGTACATGGTGTACAGAAGGCCGAGGGCCTTCTGGCGGTTCCCTCATTGCGAGAAGTAAGGTTACAATAATATAATAATAATTTTCCCCATAGTGGAGGAAGAGGAAGTGGAGGAAGAGGAAGAGCAGGAGGAACCTGTCGTCAAGAAGAAGAAGAAGAAGAAGGAGAAAAAGATGAAAGCTCAGGAAGAAGCTGCTTGGGTAGCGGATGAGGAAGAAGAAGAACCATCAACTAGCATTTCAGTCGAGGTAAGATGCTTCAAATCGTCCAAGATGACATATGCTGCTGTAGTGAAAACTTGTGGCAGCCGCACGTCCATAATTCGGTTTGTCAGTCGCTTGTTGGAGGGTTGAATGAACATGGGCACGCTAGGAATGCTTACTGTTTGAATTGCAGGAGTTAAAAAACCTGCATGATCTGGATCATGGGTAGGCAGACTATTCTCCCCCCCCCCCAATAATATTTATTATTTTTCATACAAAAACATAACAAAAGAGAGAGTAAACAATAATAAAAGGGGGGGGGAGAGAAAAGGATATGAAACATAAAATACATCAACTCACTACGTAAACTAAAACTTAATTAATTAATTAAAATCCATCTTCATAAATGTATTACTTGGCTTCCTCTAATCTCTTCCATCTGAATTTCTTAGTAATTATATATAGCAGTTTCCAATATCATTATTTCATGAAACCATATCACAGTCATAATCATATTTCCTAACTTTTCTTATCGTACATGTTCTTATTTATTTATTTAATCCTAATTTAGTCCTAGGCCTAATTAATTCTTTCAAGTGGTTACATATCTTTAATATTGTGGGTAGGCAGACTAAGGCCCTGGGGCCGGATCCGGCCCAATCGCCTTCTAAACCTGGCCCGCAGACGGTCTGGGAATCGGCGTGTTTTTACATGAGTAGAATGTGTCCTTTTATTTAAAATGCATCTATGGGTTGTTTGTGGGGCCTGCCTGGTGTTTTTACATGAGTAGAATGTGTGGTTTTATTTAAAATGCATCTCTGGGTTATTTGTGGGCCATAGGAATTCGTTCATTCCCCCCCCAAAAAATATAGTCTCTCCCCCCCCCCCCCCGAGATCTGAGAGACAGTGGACCGGTCCCCTGCTGAAAAGGTTTACACACCTCTGATCTGGAATGTCAGAGCGTATGGGGAAACAGCGCTTTTCCTAAATACCTTGATGCATCTGTCAGAATTGCGTGGAGCCCACCCTCATGAAAAAAGACAATTGCCTGCTTATGTACCCTGTAAAGTTAAAGGGACCCCTGACCATTAGGTCCAGTCGTGACCGACTCTGGGGTTGCGGCGCTCATCTCACTTTATTGGCCGAGGAAGCCGGCGTACAGCTTCCAAGTCATGTGGCCAGCATGACTAAGCCGCTTCTGGCGAACCAGAGCAGCGGACAGAAACGCCATTTACCTTCCCGCCGGAGCGGCACCTATTTATCTACTTGCACTTTGACGTGCTTTCGAACTGCTAGGTGGGCAGGAGCAGGGACTGAGCAACGGGCGCTCACCCCGTCGCGGGGATTTGAACCGCCGTCCTTCTGATCGGCAAGTCCTAGGCTCTGTGGCTTAACCCACGGCACCACCCACGTCCCTTTATGTACCCTGTAGCCATGTCTTATTCCACAACCCTCCAACGTCTCGTTCTGCAGAGCCATTCAAGGCTTTGACGAACCAGAGAGCTCTTGCCGGGGCAGAAACGACCCTCTTCAGCCTCATGTGCGTCACAAGCCGCATGCGTTGACATGCGTGCACTCGGCGTCGCATAGCAGCGGCCCGGTCCCAGTGGCGCAGTTCCGAGGAGGAGCTATTTTGGAAGCAGGTGTGGCCCACGCTGCTGCGTTTTGATTGGCGAGCATCTTGCCTCCAGTTAAACTTCTCCGTAAATGGAGGGAGAAGGGCTTTGTTCTGCTGAGATGCTTAGAGATGAAAGCTTCTCTTCTCTTGCTGAGTGCTGTTGACTCATTTCATTAGGGTCATATCGATGGTAACCATGGATCCCTGCGGTTCTCGCGAGCCTCTCCGTCTAAAGAGATTAGCAAAGAGGGAGCAGAATAGGACCGTGCCTCTGCTGCTCACATCTCAAAGGAAAAACCCAAAAACCCTTAGATGCAAATCAATCTTCCTAATTTTGAATTTTGTATATTTCATAATTGGGAGTAGAGAGGTAACAACGCTTATTCTTTTTCCAGACTTCAGAGAAGAAGAAGAAAAAGAAAAAGAAGATTAAAGAGGAGCCGGAAGATGATTAAGAGGAAGAAAGCACAATCTCCCTGGGCATGGTGTCGATGTGGTTTTGGAGACAGCTGCCCCAAAAATGTAATTTGCCCCACAATTAGGCAAGGCCGACAAATTCTTCCCACTTTCTGTGGAGCAGATCCACCCTCCATTCTCAGTTTCTTAGTCAGAACAGCAAATTTAATCTCTGCTCTGGTGTTTCTTTGCAATGCTAACAAACTGCTTTGAGAGTTTGCCTGTCTCTAAAAAGCAATATTATACATGTTTGAAAACTGGTAACATTTTCCAACAGCAAGACTCCTTTATCTTCCTTCAGTATAAATTTTTAGAACACACTGAGTCTGAAAAAAAATACTGTGTGTGTGTGTGTGTGTGTGTGTGTGTGTGTGTGTACATACATGGATGTTTCTTTCCAGTCAGCTGAAATTCTACTTAAAGGTAAAGGGACCACTGACCATTAGGTCCAGTCGTGACTGACTCTGGGGTTGCGGCGCTCATCTCGCTTTATTGGCCAAGGGAGCCGGCGTACAGCTTCCGGGTCATGTGGCCAGCAGGACTAAGCCGCTTCTGGCGAACCCACAGCGCCACCCGCGTCCCTCTGAAATTCTACCTACTTTTTTTAAAATTTCATGAAATATACTGAGGGAGCTTGGGGGTGAAAGGGGAAGATATCTAGCAAATAGGTCAGGATACAGTTCATACTCAGTTTGTGGTGAAAAAAGCATCCACTGGGGTTGGGTTAACACTTGCTAGCACCTGGGAAGGCAGGAAAGGGAATAGCCAATTTATGGAGTTCAACCTGGTTCTATAGACTTCTCCCCCAGATTATCTCCTGTTTTTGCCCAAGACTGGACTTTTCGTCACAGCAAATGCAAGGACACCATACTTCTTCACCAGATACCTTACAAGCCATGAGCAGGGAACGGGCAGCCTTCACTCAGCCTCACTGAAAGGGCTCTTGTGTGTGTGTGTTTTGTTTTTTTAAAATGATATTTATTAAGGTTTCAAAGAAAAGATTACATAGATAAGAAAAAAGGAAAAAAAGAAAGAAATAAAAAAGAAAAAATGCAAAATACAGAAAAAAGATAAAAAACACTTTAAAAACACATCAATCTTTCCATGCCTTACATTTCATTTCATTTCCTTTCTTCCCTGACCTCTTCAGACCTCCCTTTTTTGTATTCCAGTTCAATTAGTTAATTCAGCAATTCCTTTCCCTCTTTATCTTTGTCTTAATCCTTTAACTTAATATATTATAACTTTGGATTTTCACCTTTTAACAATCCATTTTTACATACACCTTTATAACATTGCTGCTAAAACCACTTAACTTCATTCTGACATCATTCTAACATTCATTAATTTTGCAGTATTTCTGTAAATAGTCTTTAAACTTCTTCCAATCTTCTTCCACCGACTCTTCTCCCTGGTCTCGGATTCTGCCAGTCATTTCCAGGGCTCTTGTGTTTTTCCCCCTTTCCATCCTTTTGCTTTCCAGGGTTCGGAGGGAAATCAGACAGAACAGCAGGGGAGGGGGTTGACCCTCCAGATGTTGAACTACAACTCCCATAATCCCTGACCATCTGCTAGGCTGGCCGGAGCTGATGGGAATTGGAGTCTCACGAACTCCACCCCTGCAGATTGGGTGGGGAGCAACTTTCTTCAGACGGAGTGAAGCCAAGCCTTCGCTCTTAAGCTTGCTCAGGAGACACAAAGGACAAGAACATTTCCCCAAAGTCTAAAATGTCTCCTGTGAGTGATGGCATACTCTAAGCACCACGGCCACCATTTACAACAACAACAACTAAATGTTTCCAAACAGCTGGTTTTCTTTCTTTGTACAGTGGTACCTCGGGTAGGGACACAGGTGGCGCTGTGGGTTAAACCACAGAGCCAAGGGGTCGGTGGTTGCTCAGTCCCTGCTCCTGCCAACCTAGCAGTTCGAAAGCAAGTCAAAGTGCAAGTAGATAAATAGGTACCACTCCAGCGGGAAGGTAAACAGTGTTGCCCTGCTATGGTTCGCCAGAAGCAGCTTAGTCATGCTGGCCACTTGACCCAGAAGCTGTACGCCGGCTCCCTCAGCCAATAAAGCGAGATGAGCGCCGCAACTCCAGAGTCGGTCACAATTGGACCTAATGATCAGGGGTCCCTTTACCTTTACCTTACCTCGGGCTAAGAACTTAATTCGTTCTGGAGGTCTGTTCTTAACCTGAAACTGTTCTTAACCTGAAGCACCACTTTAGCTAATAGGGCCTCCCGCTGCTGTCGTGCCACCGGAGCACGATTTCTGTTCTCATCCTGAAGCAAAGTTCTTAACCTGAGGTACTATTTCTGGGTTAGCGGAGTCTGTAACCTGAAGCGTCTGTAACCCAAGGTACCACTGTAATTTGTAGTTTTAGATTCAGGAAATGGTGACTTAAGACAACAGACTTGAACACACACTTGCTGAATAATCTGACGGAAGTTAAAGGCAGTTACGTCAACCATCAACAATGATCGAAAGATATTCAGATAAGCACACATGCAAAAAGATAACGTTGCCTTTTCGTTTAACAAATGGAGGAACTTCTCTCGTGAGTTGGACAGACGCCGTAGCTCCCAGACCCAACCCGTGTGCCAGATAGCCATTTGTTTCCCAGAATGACGTGTGACCTTTGGGGAAAGTGGTTAGCATGACCCAATCCTTCCTGCAAGAACAGCAGTTCCCAGACATTTTATTATGTAACACCTCTCTGTGCTGAACTAACCGCTCTGCTATTTGCTCTGTCAGCCCCAGCCAACATGGGCAAAGGTCAGAGATTTTGGGCATGTGAGTTCCAACAACCTCTTGGAGGGCACCAGGTTGGGGAAGCTCACCCTGTAGAGTAGAGCAGGGGTAGCATTGTGTGAGGCCCTCTAGAGGTTGTTGGACTTCTCCCATCAGTGTATCCATGGTTCCCCCTTCCCATTTGGTAGGACCCCAGTCTAATGGAAGCTGGTGAAACTTGGACCTGATGGAGGTCACATGGGTGAAGGGAGAAGAGAGTGATGGGAAAAGGTTGTAATATTAAGTCAACCACACTCTGACCTTGTTTCCCTGTTAAGGGAGGAGCTCAGTGCAGTGTACCCTTAACATAATAATAGTAATAGTAATTTATTTATACCCTGCCCATCTGGCTGGGTTTCCCCATCCACTCTGGGCAGCTTCCAACAAAACACTAAGATACAATAACCTATTAAACATTAAAAGCTTCCCTAAACAGGGCTGCCTTCAGATGTCTTCTAAAAGTTTGGTAGTTATTTTTCTCTTTGACACCTGGTGGGAGGGTGTTCCACAGGGCGGGGGCCACTACCGAGAAGGCCCTCTGCCTGGTTCCCTGTAACTTGCAGTGGGCAGAGGACTACAGGCAGCAGACGTCATTCCCCAAAATAAAATTGTAGTAATGACCCCGCTGTCATATAGTGAGCTTCATGGCTGGGTGAGGTTTTGAACCCAGGTCTCCCAGGCCCTAGCCCAATAGCCCTACCACCAAACCTAGGGACGTGGCGAGTCCCTGTGACATGGTGAGCTCCCATTGCTCTGTCCCAGCTTCTGCCAACCTAGCAGTTCGAAAGCACACCAGTCCAAGTAGATAAATAGGTACCATTGTGGTGGGAAGATAAATGCCGTTTCCATTCGCTCCGTCATGGTGTCCCATTGCACTAGAAGCGGTTTAGTCCTTCTGGCCACACGACACGGAAAGCTGTCTGCGGACAAACATCGGCTCCCTCGGCCTGAAAGCAAGATGAGCACTGCAACCCCATAGTCACCTTTGGCTCGAGTTAACCGTCCAGGGCTTTTTTTACCGTTGAACCTGTACACTGCAGCTTCTTTATAAATCAAAACACAATATTAATTACCCTTTTGTTTCTCAGAGCTCTTCCAACAATTGATGTCATCAAGTATCACTGGCACATGGCAGGGCGGAATGGAAGTGGCGCTAGGATGAGGCGGCAGGAAAGTTGGGGAAACTTTGGGGGGCGGTGATGGCAGTTCAGGTGTGTGTCCACCTGGGGTAAAGGTAAAGTAAAGGGACCCCTAACCATTAGGTCCAGTCGTGACTGACTCTAGGGTTGCGGCGCTCATCTCGCTTTATTGGCCAAGGGAGCCGGTGTACAGCTTCCAGGTCATGTGGCCAGCATGACTAAGCCGCTTCTCGCGAACCAGAGCAGCGCGTGGAAACGCTGTTTACCTTCCCGCCGGAGTGGTACCTATTTATCTACTTGCACTTTGAGGTCGAACTGCTAGGTTGGCAGGAGCAGGGACCGAGCAATGGGAGCTCACCCCGTCGCGGGGATTCGAACCGCCAACCTTCTGATCGGCAAGCCCTAGGCTCAGTGGTTTAACCCAAAGCGCCACCTGCGTCCCCCCACCTGGGGTAAACCACGGTAAACTCTTGATTCCGATGTTCAAAATCCTACTTGCGGTCTGTGAGACACGCTACTTATTAAGTGTTGAGAGAGGTTCTGTGCGGAAGCTTTTTGCATCTTGAAGATCTAGATTGTTGCGGAATACAGTGGTACCTCGGGTTAAGAACTTAATTTGTTCTGGAGGTCTGTTCTTAACCTGAAACTGTTCTTAACCTGAAGCACCACTTTAGCTAATGGGGCCTCCCGCTGCCGCTGTGCGATTTCTGTTCTCATGCTGAAGCAAAGTTCTTAACCCGAAGTGCTAATTCTGGGTTAGTGAAGAACCTGAAGTGTATGTAACCCGAAGTACCACTGTAGTTTTTTGGGACACACACACACACACACACACACACACACACCCTAATGACAAAGTGATGCCTTGAAGTCTGGAAGACAGGCAGCTATTTATGAAGCACTGGTTGCATCACCATAACACGGTAGAGATAAAGTGAGTGCTCCGTAAGTGCATTGCAACACACCATGAAGCAATCGTGGGCCGCTGTATGACAAGTATGTTTTACTGTCTGGCTCAGTAGGCATCTGTGGGGAAGAAGAAGGAGAAATATCTTTGAGGACTTTGTTTCCCTATGTTCTGATTAGATTGACAGAGCCAGTGTGGTAGAACACAAAGGTGAGATAAGGATCAATCACTCCTCTAGAGATGGGAGGGTCTCTACGTTTCGGTTCTCTTCATTCCTCCCCGACCCATAAATCTTAAATTTTTCACATTTCTGCTGCAATTTTGTGAGTGCCCAGGCCTGTGTTTCCCTCACTCAGGAGCCCAGTTATGTCACCCTTGGCCTGCCAAGCTGGCAGCCTCTCACCCTTCTTCGAACACCCTCCCTTGTGGAGTGTTCCCTCAGCCTCCTGTCTCCCCTTTCCTTGAGGGTGCCGCAGGACACACACACACT